GTTCCAGCCTACACTAGGTCTGGTCACAGATCTGCTCTGTCCCCCTCCCTGTGGGGCATGGAAGGTTTCTGGACTAGTTTGGTCTTCTTCAAGCCTCAGGCTGCATTTTCTCCTTGTGAAGGCTGCCAAAGGGGAGGGTGTAGAAGGCTGTGTGCCTGGTTTGGACTTTTCAGTTGGTCCTGACAATGTAACACTTTGTAAAGTGCTCTTGTCTAAAACTGGGTAAAATCAGACCAGTTTACTTTCAGGTGACCACACACACACACACACACACACACACACACACACACACACACACACACAGAGTCTTCCTCTATTGAAGGTATTCAAAAAGGCCAATTGGTAAAATACCTGGCTAAACAAGCAAGCCCTGGGGGGGGAAAAATACGGCCTAGAAAAAGTGCTTTGTTAAAGTCTTGCCTTAAATTTTTGTCACCTGCAAGAGTAAGATTGGAAAAAAAAAGCTCTTGCCACTAAATTTTAGAAAACGTACATACAACTGATTTTCATTTTTGTGCGCTTTAAGATCTGTGTGTGTGAACATGTTCAGATAAAAATTGTCAGCATGCTGTAACAATTAGGTAAGTTTAAGTTTAAAATTCAAAAGGTTATGAGGTTTGGACATTACCAAAAATTTTTAAAGAAGTTTTACATTGTTTTAAACAGCTTTTTAATGATTCTTTAACTTGAAAATTAGAAAATCTGGTATTTTAAAAGCTGGTATTTTAGAATGCATAAGGCTGTTTACACTGTAATCAAGTTATCTGGCTTAACAAAAAGTATTGGCTGTTTGGGATTTAGTTCCCTTGGCTAAAATTTAGGGATAAGTACTAGAAATTTAAATGTGAAGGTTTGTTTAACACTGTCAAAGACTTGTTCTGTCTGTCTAAAACAGTGTATTTCATTCAAGGACCAAGGGAAAAGAAAAGGGAAAAAGTTAGAGTCCAACAGAAGACCTATGTTTAGGGGTGAAGGGTGAACCCACAGAAGTGCAGCTCAGCCGGTCATGCATGGTGGGACAGGCCCTGGGGGGAGTCCACGCAGGGTGGAAGAGGGCAAGCTGGCACAAAGGCAGCTCATCAAACCCTGAAGAGTTGGATTGGGTGTGTGCCCATTCCAAAGGAGGGGCCAAGTGGCCCATCTTTGTCCTGTCCCTTTTCCTTGCAGATAGACACTGGAAAAAAGATGGTAAAAATGAGCGATGTAATGATCTGATTGGTATTGCTAAAACTGCCCCTTGAATATATTAAAATTAAAAAGGCCTTTAAAAATGGGTTTAAAAGTTTATTTGTATAATGTGATTTGCTCACAATGACATTCTGCAATTGGATGTTTCTTTTTTAAAGGCATAAAGGTTAAGTCTAGCTCTTGATACAGTGATGGTGATTGTAATTCTTGCATTAAGGAAAAATTGTCATTTGAGTTCAAAAGTTTTTAATGTGTATCTGTTTTAACACAAGCAGCCAAGAGGCAATGAGTGACATCTAGCCTCAAGATTTCAAGGGATTTTTCAAAATGCAACTGAAAACTAAAGTATAAAATATTAAAACAGATTAATAAGAGGTTTTCAAAAATTAGGAATGGATTTCTGTATATAAAGTTTAAAAGAAAAATTGTTCTTAACATTTGCCTCAAAATGCAAAAAGGAAAACTTAGGATTACCAAAATAATTGCTTAATTGCTATTTCAGTTTGCTCATATAGGTTTTTTGTACCAGTTCCCAGCAGGCTCACAAAAAGGAGTGAGGTTTCTTGCAAGTTTGTCAGATGTAACTTTGGCTCTTAATAAGTTACAGGGAAAAGCATGCATAAAAGCTACTTCCATGTTGACCACCTTGTTGCTTTTAATTGGAGTAAAGTGGCCTTTTATAAGACTCATTGATCTGCAAACTGGTTCGAAGCCAGCCCAGGCAGAAAAAGGTCCCTGTGAGACTGTCACCTCTAATCAGCCAGCAGAGTGCTGAAAGAGCAAGCAGTTGCTTTGGGACTCAAAGTGGCAGAGTGCTACTTTTGAGCTGGAAAGCTGAGGCACAGCACTCAAGCCCTGAGTTCAAGTCGTCACCAACTAAGGGAAATGCCAATGAGGCATTTATCCCAGTGTGGAGAAGACACTCCTGGGACAAGAGCAATGGAGGAGCATCCAGAGGCAGTAAGCCACTGCTTGGATGGCAGAAATAATGTAAGATCCGGGAGTCATTTGTGCGTGGCCCTTCAAAAATTGGTCAGAGCCAGGAGGTCATGGGAAGATAAAAGTTTGTAAGCATGCCTAATGTCCATGACTATCTACCTTGTAAGGGGCAGGAACTTGCCAGTCCTCTGTGATAGTAGTAGAAAGCTAAAGTTACAAAATGTGGGGGATAGTTTAAATCCCAACCTCTGTATGTTCCCAAAGCCCTAATAGGCAGTAACTTTTTTTTTTTGAGGGGGGGTCCAGTCGTGGGGTCCGAACTCTGGGCCTGGGTGTTGTCCCTCAGCTCTTCAGCTCAAGGCTAGCATGCTACCACTTGAGCCATAGCACCACTTCTGGCATTTTTTATTATCTGCTTAATTGGTGCTGAGGAATTGAACCCAGGGCCTCATGCATGCAAGGCAAATGCTCTACCACTGAGCTATCTTCCCAGTCCTGGCAGTAACTTTTGAGCTGACACCAGCTACATAAAATTCATCTGTTCAGGAAAAAAAGTTTGTAAACCTGAGAGTGTGTCCCTATAGATATCTGCCTGAAGGCTTGCATTGGTAACTTAGGCATTATTAGGGTCACTAGAGATCACATTCCTAAGCCATCCAGAAAGATGTTTTCGCAAACTAGAGTGCTAAACAAGCTACATGCTGTAGCTGGAGAAAAGTTCTGTGCATTTGTCAAAAGTTAAAATATTGTTCTTAATGACATCTAACCCTGGTAACCTCTATGTAAAATAGGCTAAGGTTATGGGTTCCCAGCTAGGTAGGATCAATGTCCCTGAAGTCAGCTTGAAGAAGTTACAGAAGATGGGCTTTCACCCATCAACCCCCTTTTAAGATCAAGAGTCCAGAGTCCACTTTGGAAAAATGAGGTAAAATAGATAAAATATTTTTTAAAAGGCGTAAGAATAGTGTTAACAGGTATGCAAGAATGGAGACTATCTGTCGGAGATGGTTTCAAGACCAAGCCTTCTGTGCCTGTTTACAAAAAATATCTGGTTAGTAAAAAAAAAAAAAAAAATGTTGTCATCTTGGTAAATTGTCCTGGGTGTAAACAGTCTTAAAAACCATGGTTTCCCGTATTTGCAATAACTAGTATATGTCTGAGTCAAGCAGATAAGTTGATGTTAGGGGAATGAATCCCAAGATAAGTATTCAAATTTTTTGTTTTTTTTTCCTTTCACGCAATTGTTTCTAAGATGATTTCTATTTGTTTCTAAGATGATTTCTATGTTGCTTTGTATGTCCCTCCCACACCGTATAACCCATGCTTTCACTATATTTGATGTTGGTATAATTTGTGAAAGGGAAGGGAAAAAACAAATCGTTTAACTAGGGATACAGGTGGACCCATTGCAACAATGAGAATACAAGTCGTTATGTCGAGAAATGAACTTTACAACTTTGGTGGGGGGAGGATTGGGTGGGGGGGCGGGGGGAGTATGGGAAGGATGGGAAGGGGAAACAAAGAGGAGGAAACAATGCTTGATAAGAAATGTACTCATTATCTTGCCCATGTAATTGTAACTCCTCTGCATGGTATTCTCACAATTTAAAAAAAAAATTAAAATAAAAAAAAAAAAACCAATGGGGCCACAGCCTGCCAAGCTTATGTAACCAGTCTGTGTAGGAATTTGCAGCCCAGCATGAGGTGTGACAGACCCTTGGAGCCACTGAGAGACCCTGCTGCTGCTACTGGACACGCTAATGGGTAAAGTTCAATGACAGTCTGACAGTTATCTGGAGGAAATAGACATTGTCACCCAGACCACCTCTACCGTGGAAAAAGTAGACTCAACTTCTGCCTGATTCCATCACCTGAGACTGCTTCCCAGTGGAAAACTGCTTTGAGTCTGCTAAAAATTGGGCAGTTTTAAATTCAAGCCATAAAGAAACTCAGGAAAAGAAAAGGATAGTAAAGAAAGCCTTGGGAAAGGAATTGGGGAAAAAATGATCTCTGGATAAGAAAGGATTTGAAAAGGAAAAGATTGTCTTATCAGACTGAAAAAGGGAAGAAGATAAACCCCAGAAAGTTTAAGTATGTAGCAAATGGTACACATATGTCTTAAAATTGGAGCAGTAAAAATGCTGGTCCTTCGGACTCAATGTACAAGAGGATATACAATTGGCAGAAGAATCAAGGAATTGACTCATTTTCAAAGACAAGGGGGGGATGTTGGGACCCCATCTTAATGTCAGGACCCAGTGAGCCTATGTGACTCCACCCTGGTTAAATATCCATCTTGTTGTTTACAAGTTTAGGAAAAATGTGGAATGCAAGTCTCTGATAACAGAGCCCAGAGGCCAGGTGGACAAGTCCAATCAGTACCAGCACATATGTAACACCCGCCCACCAAGGAATGCAAACCCCACTTCCCCCCACTCCCAACGCCCCCCACTTTCCCCCATCCCCCCAAACCTGCATGCCCAAACTGACCAAAGTGGTAGGCTAGTTTAAACAACTGCGTAGGGATAAGTTGTAGCCTCATTGGTCACCTGTGTGTGGCCCCCACATAACAGTACGATTTTGTGCAAGTGTTGCAATGCTATTGGTCACCTGTGTATGGCCAGCCTACTTGCGTGCCTGTTCCCTATAAAAATTAGCCCGGGCAGTTGAGCGGGGTTCGCTCTCTGCCGAGTTGGCCCTGACAAGTCAGTCTGTTTCTAGATGCTTGGTGCAAAATACAGCTTTGTCTGACTTTCACTTTGTTTCAGTCTCGTTCCTTTGATGACAGACCCCAATATTGGGAGACCACTCCAAAACTACCTAAAGATAATGGAAACTAAAATAAAAGAGAAAATGACTCATTGAAGTTCAAATTCATCCTATGTAAGTATATGTGTTGGCTCAACTTTGGCAGTTGGCTCAATCCCAATTTACAAATTACCAGCTGAAGGCAAGGAATTATTTAGGCACCATATACATTTCCAGCCAAGGTGGTTAATGGTCTACAGGCACCATTGTGTTACCTTTTCTAATGCAGAAGGGGTACTTCACCTCCCCTCTGTGGCACTTCACAGAGAGTTCAGAGGGCAAGGTGGATGGAGACAGGCCATAGCCCTCCTTACACATGAATTCTATCAAATCTCCATGGAAGATTTTCCCTTCAGGTTTCCACTTCATCTCAATGTTGTTCTTGGTCATGTTGTCTTCACTCAGGACGCATGGCTCTGAAAAAAACAAATGATTTCTATGGTATGAATCACGATGGGAATAGCACAGGAAAGGACAGACATCACAGTGGCCAATCAGACATTCCCCACTTACCCATGCAAACAGGGGGAGATGACCAAACTCCTTTTTCACAATGGGACGTTTTGGACCCATTCAATAGGTAATATTCATTGCACCTGTACTCCACTGATGACCCAGGTGTGTAACTTGCCAGCACTCCACCAACAACAGCCCCATTTGTGATATTAGGTGGAGGCCCACAGTTCTCAGTTTGTTCTAAGAAAAAAGGTTTCAAAATTAGTATGAATTTATATCAATACCATGATACAATCTACTCACCTAAATTACCATACCTCAATTTCAGAAATATCTAATTTAGGACAATTGGTTTCTAAATTCATGGCTGTCTATAACTACTTTTCCGCTAAATGAAAAATATGTTCCGCTCAAGTAGGTTTTTTTTAATAAAGCAATAATAAATAGTGAGAGAAACGATTCCTCTTTTATCTCTTTTCTTTTTTGCAGAGGAATTGTGGTACAGATCTTAAAATATTCGCACAGGGAGGGAAGTGATGTTCTCCAGCTAAAAGACCTGATTTCAGTCCCATACTGGTCTCTGGGTTTGGCTCCTATTATTTTCTTCCTTCTCTCTGCTTTTCATCTCAGTTCTCAATCAACCCATGGATTAAATATCTACTGTTTTTTTAAAATCTTTGTTTCTCTTTAGAACCTTTCTCCTCCTCTATTCAGCATTCTCCTTAGATTTTGCCATATGTTCAATATCTGATCCAGAAATGGGAAGCAAGGTAGGCTGGGTAGCACCCAGGGGTGATGGTTCAGCTTGGTGATAACCTCCAATCAAACACAAGAGCAGGGACAGGGCTCAGAGATATTCACAATGGCCAGACACAGAAATACTGTCTGCTACAATCCGCCAAGGTCATGACCAGAGTGCTGTGCATTCATGTTGTAAGTCAGGAGGAGGAAGGAGGAACAAAGCCATGGAGTGCCCTTTTCTTGTTCTCCAAAAAAGCATTCTTACTCTGGTGAGTCCTTCAATGCTCAAAGGCCTTTGCTTTCACACAGGTCATGTGACAGCATGAATCTATTTTAAACCTCTATTGGCTTCACACATTGTTGACCCTGACTTCACTTCTAGATTGTCCCAGGGTCACAAATACATGGTAGTAGCAATATGCTTCTAGGTTATGAACAATGGTCTGTGCCTATGCGTATGTAGCTAAACAAGTAGAATGGAAAATCATGCCCTCCAGGTTTATCTGTTCATAGTAATGGTAGCATACGCACTGACACACTCTGGGGGAGATGACCACTGTCCATGATGATACTCTATCTCTTTTGGTCCTTGGAGTTGGTATCCCGTTTCACAGCGGTACTCCACTTTGCCCCCACAGGAATAAGCCCTGGAATTTTGGATTGGTGAGCCATTCTGGATGCTGGGTGGTTGCTCACAGGATATACTCTTCTTTTCTGGAAAGACAGAAAGCCAGAGCATCCCCTTAGCTATAGAGCAGACAGTGCTACAGGGAAAGATAATCAAGACATTACCCACCAACACATTTAGGGGGCTCCGTCCATTTTCCATTTTCACAGTGCATTTCTGCTGGCCCCTGGAGCTCAAAATGCAGTTCACATTCTATGCGAACTATTTCTCCCTGACGGTAAGTTTGGGAATAACTTTGATTTTTTGAATTTAGAGGCACAGGTGGAGGGGGACATCGATTTCTTCTTCCTTACAGAAAAACAGCAGCCTATTTAGTCATACAATTACAAACTATAATGAAGCTTCAGCAAGAATGTATGATCCAGACCCATAGAAAATGGTGGCACACAGAGTATAGGACTGCCCCCACCCCACATCCACCTCCCTATGTCAATGAGTAGGAACAATGGCTTGCTCTTACACACACACACAAACACACACACACACACACACACACACACACAAGACTATGGATCAGTGTATGATCGATTATGCAAATACAACTTTCCAGCATAAATTTGTAAAAGTATTCTTACTGTTAGGCCCTTTCCAGTTTTTGAAGAAGCCAGGCATTCTATTGGGAGCTTCAAAAGGGAGCTATATGCATGTGTTGTGTGTGAGTATGTCTGTGTGTGTGACTAAAATTCACATCAGTCATGTGGCTGATTAAGAAAGTGTTACTTCAAGGCTGAGAGTGGTCAGGCAATTCCCAGTGAAAAAAATTTATTTATTATAATAAAAGACTTTATAATATAGATTTTAAAGTACTACAAAGCTTAAAATGTTTTAAATGCAATATCTAAAGATGGCTGAAATATAGGAATGTTTTCAAAGACAACATTTGATTTTAAAAAGCAGCACAAGAGCTAGAGATTTGTCAGCACAGACATATTTTTTTCCACAGCTCATAAAAATTAAAGCTCACTGAGTGAGGAGACATCCCTTTTCTAGATATGACATTTAAACATTTTACCTTCACAAAAAGGAGACTCTGGGTACCACCCAAATGTATAGCACTGAATCAAATCAGATCCACTTAGATAGTAATTTTCATGACAGAAAAACTGAACTACATCTCCTTCCTCATAGGTTTGCTTCACAGGATAAAAATAGCCATTTTCTATTAATCTTAGAGTAGGACACGTTGATCCTAAAAAAAAAAAAAAAATTAAAGAATAGAGAAAAATGCAAAATCATGTTTGTTTTTTCCAGCTGGGACAAAAATTTACTGACTTCTTTCTATATCTGGAACAAACATTACTGCATTTGCTTTAGTCTGTTTTTAATTCATAAAAACACACTGCAACTATATAAGAAATAAACATATAGAACCTCAACAAAATCTGTGGGTTGTTGTGGGGGAGGGAAAGGAGGAGAAAAATGAGGGAAGGGGTAACAAGTTTGACAAGAAATGTACTCACTCGCTTACTTATGTAACTGTACATCACCTTGACAATAAAAAAAAAAAAAGCTGTGGCTCAATAGAGGATAGAAGAGAGCAAAGAGAATAGCTCTGTGGCGGGGGTAGGGGGTACAGACACCAAGAAGGGACTGTGTTAAAGAGAGCAAAAGAGAATAAACAGTCAAATTTTTTGTATGAAAATGGTACAGTGAAACCTGTTCAAATTATATTAGGAAAAAGGAAGAAGCTAAGAGAAAGAAATAGAGGGGGCTGAATTGGCCATTTTCATCCTATGAAGCAAACCTATGAAGAAGGAGATATAGTTCAGTTTTTCTGCCGTGAAAATTATTCTGATTTTATTCAGATTAATTGGCTGGAATGTATTGTACATATGCATGGAAATCTCACAATGAAATCTCCCCTTGTACAGGTCATGTATGATCATCAGAATTGAGAGATTTAAATGATCAAAGCCTACCACTAGGTTAACATATAACTATATACCTATTCTCATGATAATTTATATGCACTTCAGGAGGAGATGGATCTCTGTGTGTGGAGGAGGACTTACGAGTGCATTGTGGGGTGAGCGCCCATCCATTTGGGAGGCATTCTACCTCTTCTACCTGTTTTCCTCCAGCAGTGTAGAAACCAGCAGCACATTCGTACAGCACTTTGTCCTTCACGTTGAATGTTTTCTGGGTTGTGTAATAATTTCCATTATGCAATTCAGGGGACAAACACGTTTCTAAAAAGAGGTGAGTTGTTCATCTTATAAATGTCATCAGTAACATAGAGTATTAAAAAGAAATCTCAAGATGAATTTTTTAATAAACGGCAAAATCAAGTCTCAGTAAAATCGTAACATAGTCCACGTTTGCCTTTGCCTCTTTAGCCTCTTCTGTCCTCCTCCCTGGGAACTGTCACGCCCTTTCTTCTTCACATTCAGGTCCCCTGTACTGACTAAAAGCCACAACTCAAATGAAGTCCCATGACACGACAACTTGTCTATCACCTTCCATCCATGGATTTTTACCATCTCAACAATTTACCACGTTAACAAGTGATTCTTTAACAAAGAATAATTGTTACCTACATAGTGAAGGGAAGGCTTATTAATAATTTTATTTTATTCCATTTCAAGCTTTCCTTATTAGGCCATAGAAAATTGCTGGAGAGGGGATATGTTACCAGTGTTGAGAATCTAAAGATTAAGAAAATTTTGGGCATTTGAGAAAAACAACTAGCATCAACTTCCCATATTTGCAGACTTCATGAAAAATGAAGTCTATGAAATAAAAATCCCGATCTGTGAAAGAGAGTGCTAGCATCAAAAAAAAAAATCTCCTTTCTTCAGTGCTAAGAAATGATCCTTACACACATACCATGTTCCTTCCTACAAGCTGGGAGAGAAGACCACCCATGAGCAAGACATCGAACCTCTTCTACATGCTTCCCGCCTGTGGTTTTGTATCCTGCAGCACAGCTGTAACGCATAGTATCACCAATTTTGTATAATACTTTCACATCAGAAATGTAACCATTATTCAGTTCAGGCTTAGAGCATTTTCCTGTGGGGGGAAAAAATTCTTTGTTTAACATAATGACAAAATTTAACTTGTATTTTACTATGTGGTAAAGTTAAGACAAAGGTATAAATCATAGTAACCATAGCTGGAATTTGAAAGAGACATAAATTCTTTGAGTCTACAGTTCTTTGATTTAATTTCAGGAATATCTTAGCGCATGCTGCATAAAATTTCTTTGGAAATGGCTTCCATTTGATATTGACTTGTTTTGTATTTACAAATTTCAGTTTTTGTAGTCATTCCTACCCTTAACCCATCTTCTTTCAGAAAATACATCTTTCTCTGTCACTGATGATGAAACAAGGGATTTTTGGCATCTACTTTCTGATGAGTAATAATCTATTGTGTTTGAGAAAGCAACAGAAACATATACCTAGTTAAAAGATGTCCTTCAAATGCCATTTCTTAATATGAAAAATTTGTTCATTCATGCTTTTGGCCAATATTTTGGAATCACCTACCTCCACAACACTCAGTTCTCAGCTCTTGTCAACTGTGATTAAAATTTACTCCTCAAAGCCTTTGAGAGTACCCTTATTTTAGTCAACACTTGTAACATAAACGTGCTAAAGAAATCAGCATTCTATACTGTTCTATGTGTGTGTGTATATGCGCGCCACTATGTACTGATTCTGGGGCTTGAACTCAGGGCCTGGGCACTGTCCCTGAGTTTTTCATTCAAGACTAGTGTTCCATCACTAGAGACTCAGTTCCACTTCTAGCTTTTTTGCTGGTTAAGGAGATAAGAATCTCAAAGACCTGGCTTTGGGCTGCCATCCCCAGATCTCAGACACCTGAGTAACTAGGGTTATATGCATGAACCACCATACTCAGCTGGTGCTCTATAATTTTTATTACATGTATTATTAGATTTCTTAACAAACCATTTTGGAAGAATTAAGAGGCTTGTCCAAGGGTTAATGTTACTGTACACACGTTTAGTACTTGCTGTGTGGCACTCTACCTCACTGAAGCAATGTTAACCAGCATTATGGATGAGGAATGCCAATCCGGAATGCGTACGTCTGGTCTTCAGTGGAGAAGCTAGGCTCACATGCTGTCCGTCTGACTGTCATTACACTATCCTCTTTAACATTCTATCTCCACAGATAGTTAATATCTCTGTGTTCTAGATATCAGTGAGCTTTACTTATTAAAGTTAAACTATGTTCTATGTTAAGAAAAAAAATGAGTGCAATGCCTAAATTATGGTCTGTCTTGAAGTCATGGGATGACTATGTATTTTTCTAAAGAATAAACACTCATGGAGTATGAATGTTTAGGTCACTGTCCTGAACAGACTGTTTAACAGACTACATGGACCACACTTTGTACTAGGCACAACTTCTCATTAGAGAAGTCTTAGCTCAACAGCATTCAGGTGACCCAGAGAAAGCTGAGTAACACTGTCATTACACCATGACTTGACCTGAACTAAGAAGCAAACCAATGACGACTCTCTCACAAATTTGAACCCAAAATTTAGGAAAAGACAATTTTCTACCAATAGTAGAAGGGAAGTTGGCATACAAAGGACTGAGGAGTTTGCAAGCAATGAAACACTGGATGACAAGCTTGTCCTGGCGGAGGCCAGCGTCTTGAACATTATCTGGCTTCCTACACAAAATAACGCATAGAAGCAATCCCTCATTGCTTGAAATGACTCAAATGCATCTCCTGTCACTTACAATGAAAAAAAGAAAAGAAAGAAAGTTACTATTCTCCGTCCCTTCACAAGGATACAGAATTTACAGAATTTCAGATTTTCCAAAAAGTACTTTATTGGCTGATTTTATCCTCCAAAGGTATTAATCATTTTCTATGTTTTATAGACATTAGTCAGCTCCTTGAACAGACCACTGCATTGGGTACTGCAGCATCTTGAGGACAAAGCATGCAACTTACGGATGCACCTTGGCGCTGGGTTCCAGCCTTCTGTTGTACATTTGGTTTTCGCTTTTTGTTTTCCAAGTTCAGTTGTATAGCCAGCCAAGCAGTAGAAAGACAACCTTTTGTGTAGGCGCATCGGAAAGTAAAAGTTTTTAAAAGTGTAATAATACTGGGCAAGCATTCCATTTTCCACATTTGGAAAATCGCAGTGTCCCTCTGAAATGAATAAAATGGAAGCTGAAAATAGAAAAAAACTAATCTAGAACCATGAAAGCAATGGCATATTTTTATTTCCAGTCAACTTATACTTAATTGATTACCTAAACTTCTTAAAGTGGTGTCACAACACTCCAAGAAGCCCCCATCCAATTTCCCCCATCATGATTGGCTAGCATCTCTAAACAACTCTGCTAGTCAGGGTAAGACTGAAGGCGTTTCTAGCTTTGTACTCTAGTGCAGAACGTACTACCTCAGACACACTGTAAAAGGCACATATGTATTTTAAACTTTTTTTTTTATTGTGAAGATACCGTACAGAGGGGTTACAATTACATGGGCAAGACAATTACATGGGCAAGATAACGAGTACAATTCTTATCGAGCATTGTTGCCTCCTCTTTGTTTACTTTCTAGTAGTCAAATTAATAAAAGCAAAAATGGGCAGTTGGGATCCACTCTAATAATATACTTCATTTGATTCAATATATTAAAATATTATACATTTTTATTCTTCCCTTCTTCCTTAAAATCTAGGGGGAACCAGGCCCTGAGGCTCGCATCTGTCATTTCAGCTGTGCAGGAAGCACATATAAGAGAATCTTGATCCAAGATGGCCTGGGTATAAACTTGAGATGCTAGTTGAAATACAATGAAAAGTGGAAAGGATTAGGGGAAGATGGTCAACTGCTGAGCAATGGCAAGTGCAAGACTGTAAGTTAAAACTCTAGTACCATAAAAATACATCTATACATGTATGTGTAAATATAGATTTTATACTTATAATACCTATTTATATTTTTTAGTCTGATATGGAATATCAGACAAGTGATAACAACAAGTGATTTGAACAAGAACAATCATGATAGTTAAATGGTCAGAAATCATATTCAACCTTAGTCATCAAGGATATATACATTTAAATACCACACATTAGGAATGAAAATCTACTAGAGCTGCTGAAATGAGGAAGACAGTACCTCTTAATAATAAGTGAAGATCATGAAAAGAGAAGACCTCACACTAAAATCAGAACATAAATTGGTACAATGAGAAAATACACCGGTAATATTTATTAAAGCAGAATATGAACTCCAAGACATGGACACAAGAGGTTTTTCTTTGTTGTTGTTTTTTTTTAAATGAACTATGTGATTCTTTCTTCTTTTGTGCTTTCTCCCCTATGGATTATCCTGTCACTGTATTTGATTTTGGTGCTCTTAGTATTGTCTATACGTTTATCTGAATTAGGGAAGGGAAGGGGAACAAAAAAAAAGGTAAGACAAAGGACAAAGGGGGAACCAATGCAACAGTGACAATCACAAGACGATATGCAGGAAATGATCTATGCAACTTGGGGGGAGGCTGGGAGGGAGAGAAAGAGGGAGAAAAATGAGGGAGGAGTGACAAGTTCAACAAGAAATGTACTCACTGCCTCATTTACGTAACTATAACGTCTATGTACATCACTTTGACAATAAAACTAAAATTTTAATTTAAAAAGCTGAATATGTACCTTATGTTATCCAACAGAAACACATATTAATTAGCACAACCTTCATACTACTGCTATTCATATGCTCCCCTAAATTGGAAGTAGTCTAAGTGTCCTTTGATGACAGAAAAACACAGATAGCATTTAGACTGGGGACATAATGGAATACTTCAGAAGAGCACACATGTGTGTGTGATGAACAGGTTATCAAATGGAAGAAGCTAGAAACATGGGTCATCTAGCTTTTACAAAGAACAAACTAACTCCTGGGAAAAGAGGTCTTCCTGTAGTGCCTTAGAGAAGACATTTAGAAGGTTTCAGGGGGTGCTCTTCATGTTCTGTATCTTGAGCTGGGGGCACGGGGGGGTATCAGATTGGATACACCTATATAAAACTACATGATTTTTCTATTTTTCTGTATTATAGGTATCTATTTTACAAATCTGTTTTCATGTTAGCAATCTTGAAATAATAAAGACGCTGAAGAGAAAGTTAATCTCTAGGAGTTGTGTTGACAAATAAGAGTCCTTGGTAGAAGAAAGTGAGATCACATGGCTTTACCAGAGTCTAACCTCATGCTGCCCTGACCCGTAAAATGATAATAGTATCAGCCAAGGTTGGAGAAAACGTGCGTCAAAAATGAGCAGCATACAACTGCCAGTGTTTAAGTGGAGAAGCAGAAGACATGTACAGGACAGTCCCCATCCCAAGAACTCTTACCACTTTCCATACCCAAGAAATTCACAAAGGAAACCCTGCAACAATGCCGTGGAAGATGAATGTACCGGGTTGTCCCGAGAGCTGCGGCTGCTGGGTAAAGTGGGACAGCAAATGGGTGTTCAGTCCTAGGTGTGGCTTCAAAGCCTCTGCCTTGGAGCAGGCCCTTCCCTCCACAGGAGCACATTACATTACTGGAAAGGTAGGTGACATACCTTGAAAAACACACATTCAGGAGAAAAATTAATAGGAAATAGAAGGATCTTAGACACAGTGAAAGAGAATTCCCAAGCCGGACAATAAATATCAGATAAAGCAAGTTTAACCCACAGGTGGAGAATTTCAAAGACCAGAGATAAGGGAGGCTATAAAGACAACAGATACATAGTACATGAAAACAGAATGCTTAATGTATATCGCGTCTTCAGTATGGAAAACATTAGAACAGAATGGGTTTAGCCAAAGAATAATCAGCACAGCAAAATATACTCATATACAAATAGTATATAAATATAATCTTACAATTCCTACTTTAGGACAGAAAGAGACCATCACGCACATTTCTTGAGGTCCTATCACACTGTACGATTCAGAGGTACAGTAAAAAGACAGGAAATAGAAGGCAAAAGTTAACAAGTTTGATTGTATCAGAATTAAGGATTTTTTTCTATGACAGTCATTGTCTATAAAACATACACATAATATTTTGAAATGAGAAATTTGCAATGGCTAAAATGGACAAGTCAAAACTTGGTGTCCAGAGTTCCCACAAAGCAGATATCAAGAGATATAAAGCAAAGGCAAAAGCTAAATGAGGAAATCATAGAAGTCTCAACAAGTATATAAGGAGATGTAGTAACTTACTACCATACAGAGAATTTCAGTCTATAAAAATGAGACACTAGACAGGCCCATGCCTATAATCCTATCTCCTCTGGAGGATGAGATCTGAGGATCACATTTCAAAACCAGCTCAGGAAGAAAAGACCGTGAGACTCCTACCTCTAGCAAAAAGCCAGAAGCAGAGCTTTGGCTCAAGTGGTAGAGTGCCAACCTTGAATGAAAAAGCTAAGGGACAGTACCTAGACCCCAAGTTCAAGCCCCAGAACAGGCACAAAAAGTGAGATTCTACTTTATGAATAGCTTCTCAGGTAGCATGAAAGTAGACAATATGGAGTGCTGGTAAGGAGGCTGGGAAGTGAGGACCGCAGCCTCTTTTGAAGTTAACATAGATTGTATTGCACACAGCCGTTCTGCAAGGCATCTGTCACCATACACTCCAGGCAACCAAGTCCAAACATGACGCAGCATTCCCACCTTTGAGTGAAAAAATTCTCACAGGGAGAATTTTTTTCTTTCAGAAGAGCAGATGAGTAAAATATATGAAATACTATGCAGCAATTAAAGGCAACAAAGTAGGAAAGTAGAAAAGTGGAAATATATTGAATAACATCAAGTGCAATGAAACAATAAGTTAAAATCTACAGTATGTTTTCATTCATGTGAGTATAAAGACTATGGACAAAACAAGACACGTACAAAGACACCTGCATGGGTAACATATGAAAACACTGCAGTGGGAGCAGTGGAATTTAAGATGAGGAATAAAGAAAGGAATTGTATGAATAAAGCGAACCGAAGGCTTTCCCTAGCCAGGTCTGATTACACATCAGGAAATGATTTTTGGTGTTTGTATTTTTGTTTTGCCAGTACCTGAGTTTTAACTCAGCTCTGAACATTCTTTTTTTTTTTGGGGGGGGGGGGAGGGGGAGAAGGGGGTAGTCCAGTCATGGGGCCTGAACTCTGGGCCTGGGCGCTGTCCCTCAGCTCTTCAGCTCAAGGCTAGCGCTCTACCACTTGAGCCACAGCGCCACTTCCGGCTTTTTTCTTTTTGCTTATGTGGTGCTGAGGAATCGAACCCAGGGCCTCATGCAGGCAAGGCAAGCACTCTACCACTGAGCCACCTTCCCAGCCCAACACAGTTCTGGGCCCCGAGGTTCTCAATGGTGGCTAGGGAGATCAGTGTGAGTGTCTATGAGCAGCTCACTTGTTTTGCTTGTGTGGAATGAAATTATACCCACGTAATAAAAAATTAGCTAGAATAGTTCAAAGTCATCTTAATATAGATATAGACAAATACGTCCATTGGTATTTCCCTATTTAGACAGAAAAATAACAAAAATGTTCCTCGGGTATAAGTTTTCCCTTTATAGACTTAAACACAGCAAATGAGACAAGTTTGGGTTCACTTTCATAAGGACTGCAGACATTTTGGGTGGGAAATTGGTAGTATATATATTCAATTGGCAATTCTAACTTATAGGCTATTTTAGATCAAAACATTCTGTAAGGTGGCCCTTCGGGAAAAGGCTCTGGCTGGGTTTCCTGCCTCCTCTTGTACATATTCCATCTTGCAGGGTGCTAAGAGACTGCTCTGTGCAGATCCCTAAATCCTCCATCTAATTACACTGGTAACCTTCCCAATGACACACACCAACACCCTGCTGGCCTTCCATTCTCACTCCCACCTTACACACTAGGAACTCTGCCTCTACAGATTTCTAGTCATTAGGAAAGCCACAGGTATTGATTTGTCCGGACAGTTCTTATTCATGTTGCCCAGACAGAATTGTTAATAGATCACATTTCTCACTCAAAAGTGTTCAATGAATAAATCACTAAGATAAAGAGTCTCAGTATCAAAGGGAGAAAAATCTTCTGATATATAGCTCTCTTCCCTTCTGAACAGAGAAGTAAAATCATACTTGTTTTGTTAATGTGAAGAGTGGATTTTTCCATAAAGTTCTAAAGTTAAAAAAATGTGATTTTGAAACTAACACGTTATAAACCAGACACCCTTTAAAGTATTTTAGATCCTGGTTTCTGGTGTCTCCAATCTTAGAGAAATAAGCAAGCAGATTTTGTTGTGTTCTTCTAAGTTATGCAACTATTATAAGAACATTACACTAAATCTTCCCACAGGAAAAAAAAGGTTTCCTACACACACACACACACACACACACACACACACACACACACACACACACACATATAATAACAAGTTATAAAACGCTTGCTATACAATTGACACATCAAAATGAAAGATTAGATCAAAATTCAAGGTGCAAGAATCAACATTAGAATACAGACTACTAAGAATTAATTTTACCTTCTGCACAGATTTCTCCCGAGATCATTAATACAATAACAAAAACCAAATCTTCCCACCTCATCTTCAGTGGTACGTTTCGCAAAGATTTGAACAACTCCAAAGCACCCAGTGGCTTGTCATCATGTGCACAATACTTCTCCTGAAGAAAAAGTTAATAATTTACAACATCTGTCTAAGTCCCTTTGGAACAGGTCTCATATTGCACTTAAAATATTTTCCAATAGTGTCAAAATAATACAGCTGTAGGAATGGATGTTGCTTTCATACCCTGGTCAGACAAGAATAGGCTAGTCAACATGGGCAGCAGTAGCAGAGCACATATAATTCATACAGGCTGCATAAAAAATAAGGGGTATTTTCAACCCAGATTCCCAAACATAAGTTCATAGAGCAAAGTTCACCTGGCCATTGGTGTGTACTACCACTGATCAAGAGAAGGGATGAACTTAGGAACACAAATTGTTGGAAATCCGGTGTTAAGGTAGGCTGCCGTCTGGACTGCACTCCTGAAAGACATAACTGTGGCAAGCAATGCTAGAAAGCAATTATTAAAAACAGTCAGTCATATGTAACACAAGAGTTTAATCTTACACCAAGTAGAGAGATAAACACACTGCCATATCCTTGGCCTTTTTATGAGAAATAACTTGATGCAAGTCCATAGTTCAAATTGTATCTCATTTCCTTCAAATGAAACATACTAACAAAAGTGTGCACACCCTAAATGCAAAAACCAATATATTCCCACCAAGTGAAAATATCCATGAGTACAGAACTCAGAATTAGGAACAAGAAACCAAGCTACAGCATCTTTGATAACCACCTGTGACAAAGATTCTCCTTACTACTAACAGCATGGGTTAATTTTTGCCTAGACACAAATGGCATCATTAATCTTATTTTCTTTCATGCCTGGTCCCTTTTGCCTAACACTTACTTTTTATTTTTTTTTTTTTATTTTTTTATTTTTCCTGTTTATGTGGTGCTGAGGAATCGAACCCAGGGCCTCATGCATGAAAGGCAAGCGCCCTACCACTGAGCCACTTTCCCAGCCCCAACACTTACTTTTTAGATTCATCCATATTTTGAGATTTGGCCAATAGTTTCTTTCCTAATCATATTCCATTCTGTGATCATGCCACCAATAATTTATTCATGCCACTGATCATTGAAAACAATGGGTGATTTACTTTAAGGAAATCATAGGCTATCTGCTTATTTTCGAAAATTTTTATTTGAAAACTTTGAAACAGAACCTCTTTTTGATTCTGCCATTGATATTTTGCTACAGTCTCTTAAGTGCTTCAATCAGTTCAACTTTTAAAATATCTCCAGGATTTTTGTATTTTGCATAATTGAAAGTTTGTATCCTTTGACCAATACATCTCTATTCCCATACTCTACCCTACCATTTCCCTAGGCAAGGGCACTTTGCTCTGCTTCTGTTTGAGTATTTTAAATACCACCTGTGAGAGAATGGAGTACTCATCTTTCCATGTCTGCCCATTTCAACCAACACAATCCAAGGCCATTCATGATGTCATAAAGAAGCCATTGTAGTTACTTGTTGCTCTCCTTTACTGACTCACCCATCTCCATGGACATTAGATGGTTTCCATACATGGGCTATTGTGTATAATACTGAAGTGGGCCTTGTTTTTGTCATTTTAATCCTATGGATAATAATAAGCTAGACTGGAGAGGGGCTGTGTGGTCTTTCATAATAACCCATTCTTGCAGGGACTGTGAGCCTCAACCGACCCATTCAGCAAGATCAGAAGGGGTCCACTGAGAGGGCGGGGTCCGCACACAGTGCTTAGTCTCCACCTCTTAGAGGTTCCACCTCACCCTGAAAGCAAGGGACCAGGCTTCCACCAATGGATCTCAGAGGGACGAACTGTACCTAATGCCTGACGGTTAGTTTGTTTCTAAATTTATTAGAACTTTAAATCAGAAATGTGCCCATTTTTCTTTTGTCCAATCTGTTAGCACACGTCATGGCTCATGATGTTCTTCTATGGTTCTTTTGATTGTTGTGCGGTCAGGACATTCCTGGGGTTTGTGTATCCTGCCGGGGTAGAAAGCAAGGAATGAACTTCTCCCTCCACATCCCACACATACGTTCTGTGAACTGTGTCGGTTTGCTTTGTACTGTTGTGTGTTGTCATAAGCAAATATTTGTCATTATTTTTGCCCTTGTCTGTTACTAACAGTCATTTTCATGCCCTCATGGCACTATGACCACTCTTCATAATTGTCTTATAATTACCTTCAGTAGTGAGATTTATATTTTCATTTGCATTTATGTTGTTTAGCAACTTTTTGTTTCAACTTCAACAATTCCCTTTAGTGTTTTTGATAAAACTGATCTAGTGCCAATAATATACTTACACTGGTCAATTAAGTCTTAATGGTATCACTTACCAAAATTATTTATTTATACTAAAATTCTGTTAAATGAAGAAAAAGTAATGGGAGAGTCATGATGAAAATATGCTTGGAAAATACTTAGCACTAAGAGCTCCTAACATACTTTATAGTTTGCCAAATTCTCCAATATAAAATTTAATACATCAATATATTATTTATCAAAGCAAAATTATAAGTAAAAAAAATTCAGACTACTTAGGTTTAATCCTTAAATTGCCCCAACAAATTATCTAAGTAAATAGTCTTTCTAGCTAATTCTGATTTATTTCAAAGTTATTTTTATGGTGTCCATAGATAAACAGATTTTGGAATTTCAAACCATCATCAGAATTCGTTTCTGTGACCCCTAAATAACACAGACACTTTGTAGGTAACCTAAAACTGTGCAAAAAGAGAAAAGATTTACTTTCAAAACTGGAAAACTCCAAGTCTATGGTGCATAAATGGACAAGTTCTTATTAAAAAGCAAGATGCACTCATCCCATGGCAAGTTGCAGCCCCCAGCAGTTAAACGGAGGATCTTGGTCATATCCAGTGGGCAGGGGCCAGGCCAGGATTCCCATTGGGAAGCGGCTTGCCTGTCTAGAGGCTTCAGCCAGGAAGATACAAATGGGATACAAATTCCATTTGCAGGATTATTTTATAGTCTCCCCATATATTAAGTGTGCAGACAGAATCTTCAATTTCTAACATTTTTTATTTTTAAAAATGCCTCAACTTATAAGTAAAACAAGAATACTTTGTTGGTGGGAATGTAAGCTTGTTCAACCAGTCTGAAAAGCAGTGTGGAGGTTCCTCAAAAAAATTAAACATAAAACTATGATCGTACGATTCAGCATTTCTACTCCTGGACATTTACCCAAGAATTACAAACCAGGATACAGTAAAGCCACCAGTACAACCATGTTTAATGCAGCACTATTCACCTTCATCAGCCTAGATGCCCCTCAATGGACGAATGGATCAATAATATGTGGTATATATTCACAATGGAATTTTACTATCCATTAGAAAAAATGGTATTGTGCCATTTGTAAAGAAAGTAGAGGACCTGAAAAATTATACTAAGTGAAATCAGGCCCTTACATGTGGAAGCCAGATACACTGGGGTGCTATGCAAATGTATCCAAATGTATCAACTGAAATAAGGTAGACTCAAGAGAATTCAAATAGTGCAATTCTTTATAAAGGGTAAAGTCAAAGTTCAGAAAAATAAAATATCAGGAAGCAGGTCCTCAAAAGGGATGGGGTGAAGTCAAGGGGAATGAAGACGAGGAGAGGGGGGTATGTAGTCTAAAAGCCAATGGATATGCTACAAAGTTGAGAAAAGTGAGGGAAGGGATAGATAGGGGAGAGATGGGTGAGAATGTTGAAAGGGGTGATACTTTACTCAAGATATATTGTGTTAATAAACTACTCTGTTAAATGGCAGTTCCTTTGAACAACTACTTAAAGATAATTAAAAACACAATGACAGTAATCATTGTTGTTTCCTTTTGGAATAGGACTACATTCAAACTAATATAATACTTTAAGATAATAGATATGAATAACAGCATTGTAATCTTGTGACATACTAGCCTGTTATATATGTAAAACTAAAACCAAGGAAGAATTTAATAAATTCGAGTTATTTAAAATATATGCGTTTATTTTTAATACAAAGTCAGATTTTAAAAACTATACAGCAAAAGCAGGAAGACACTTTACATACTCATGATCAGCTACAATATTTCTTTAGACTGTCCACACTGAAAATATTTACATTTACTAATAAGGGATGCCAAGTGTATCCATCAGCATTTGAATAGCTTGCAGGGAATTTTTCACTTCATCCATATTGTCTCTTCTCAAAACCCAAGCTGGTTCCAGCCTGTTTTAAAAAATGGACGTCAGATTAGTAAGTTTTCTCTTAACCTGTGACTCTTCTGAAAACACCCTATTCCTTCCTTCCTTCCTCCTTTACTTTTCTTCCTTCCTTCCTTTACTTTTCTTCCTTCCTTCCTTCCTTCCTGCCTGCCTGCCTGCCTGCCTCTCCTTCCTCCTTCCTTCTTTCCTTCCTCTTTCCTTCTTCCTTACCTACCTCTCTTCCTAAGGTATGAGAATGTTACAGCCCTGCTCCTTTCTAGTATTAAGACTCATCTAATGACATTGTCTTCTTCAAAGCTTATGTTTTTACCACTGCCTTTTGTCATCTGCCAAACACAATTTCTTTTCTGTTCTTGGCCTTTGCTCGACTGCTATCTCCATTCTCAGTAAAATCAACATTCCTTTGGCCTACGGGCCAACAGGAGGTGGAATGTGTCAACTTTCCCTCCATTCCTCCTCATCCAATCCTTTCTCACATGGCCTTTGTGGGACATTGTCTCACTAGACACTCACTGTCTTGATCAGAAAGCATATTGCCACTGAAATCTCCATGCGAGAGGTTTGTTCTCCACTTCTCAATCACTTGTGTCACCTGCATTCGTAAGGACACTGACCTAATTCCTTCACTCCAGAGACCTCCAGTTCACTCAGCCTCAACAGGTCATCCGTCGTCCTTCTCACTTCCTCCTTCATCAGCTTAGTTCACCAATGTCTTCCCCCTCTGCAGATGCCATTAACTCCACTTATCCCTCCTACTAAAGTCATCTGCAAATTGAATAAAAACACCTGCTTTCTCCATCCCTGCACAGATGAATACCACTCAGTTACAACTACACAACTAGTCTGGAATGTTGCTTTGCCATTTGCAGGCCTAAAAGGGGGCATTTGAAATCACCTCAGGTGCTCCTTTTCTCTCCAGGATTCCCATTTTAATCCCGTTTCTCTTTCAAACATCCCCTCCACTTCTGCTAAACTACTTCTGAAGATGCTGGATTATAATCTCCTGATTCACTGAGAAATGTATCATTCAGAGGAAGTTTGGGTATCTTCTCATATAAATTCCTCCTACATACATTTCTGTCTTCTTATACTTGACTGCTAAACCAAACATCAATGAGTGGACAAAATCTGTTGTGAGCATACAACAGCAGAGTACTGAGTGAAGTCATCAATGCTGACCATTTCCCAAACCAGTGAAACACCAGTGTGCTGTGCTAGGCTGGCTCTTCTGCTCAGCAGGGTTCTGCTCTTCCCATGGTGCACTTGTACTTTCCTCATTTCTGTCGTATTTCCCAGGCTTTTCCAAAACAAAACATGTGAGTCACCATTTCCCCCACTCTATCTTCAGCTTTAACTTCACTTGTCATCGCTCAGGACCCTGCTATTGCATACCAGAGGTGATTTCCAGTCAGTCTCCTTCAGAACTCTGTGCTACACTCTATCTGAGCAAAGTTGTCAGGCTTGTGTGAAGCTGTTACAGCAGCCTACAATAACTAACATAAGGAGTATTGTAGGAGGACTAGAAACTGACATCTTGGCATATAGCAATTCTGAAAGCCATTAAAAATTAGACACTAATATTACTATGGAAAATAAAAATGATATGCCAAAATTACGATAGTCACCTTGGTGTTACCAAATACCCAAAGTTAGAGTAGTATTACTTCATTATCTCCTTTAGGGTTACCAAAAATACCACCCTGGTTCTATGTTGTTTCTCCACTGTCAAGAATATTACCTTGTTCAGGCAAGGTAGTTCATTTCTATAGTCCTACTTACTCAGGAGGTCCTCTGCTCAAGAAAAGTCAGGGTAAAAAGTTAACAGTCTCAACAAAAACAAATTGGGCGTGATGGCATATAACTAGAATCCCAGCTACACCAAGGAAAAAGGAGATCTACTTGGACAAAAATGGGAAGACTTTGAGAAAATAACCACAGGCAAAAAGGACTGGGAAAATGGCTCAGATGGTAGAGCACTCAAAGTCTTAAAACTCAATCCCTAGTACCACCCCCAAAAAACCCCCACTTATGGTAAGCAGTAAGACAAAGTAGTGGTGACTAAGCATTAGACTGCTTACCTGGAGACTATCCTGGTCCTCATGGGTGTTTCTGGAAGTAAGGGCATGCAGACAGAAGCACTTTTCTTTTGTTTACCGGGTATTCTCTCTATATTCATCTTATGCTTACGAGCAGTGAGTTTGTAGATACTATAAATACAGTCAACAACTTTGGATCTAATTCTTACATCCTAAAAGAGAAAAGGTACATTTATTAAAACCTAAAATTACATTTTTCTCTATCTTCCTAGAATAGCAAAATCAATTATCATCACCAATATGCAGTAAGTTCTTGAGCTTTAACAATCAAGAGCAAAGCACTCTAACTTCGGCAGGTGGATTAATTTAAATTATGAACAAATTTTACAAAAGTCAATTATAAGAAAGACAAATATCCCAAAGTTATACCTGACTCCAGATTGAGCACAGAAGGGACATGCAATCAAGTAAACCAGTCGCTTGAACCTGACCTTCTTCTCAAAGCTCATAACCTCCCTAGCTAGGTAAACATAACCTCTTGAGCAGGCCACCACAAATGTACCCTTTCACCATCCTGAGACAGGCCCTCCTGAATCCATTCCCCATTCAGTAGCCAGGGTGATATTATAGTTTACACAGATGAAACCACTCTTGGGTTAAAATTCTTTCATGGTTTCCACTGTTACCAAAACCAAGGCAACAATCTGAACAATCTAGTCCCAAGTTATGGTTACTCCAAGTTTATTGTTACAACTGGGGACAAAGGCAAAGGCCATGTCACAGAAAAATCTTGAAATACTTACGATTGCAAAAGGAGGACAGAGAAATGTATGTATGCATGTGTATATGTACACACATACTGACACAAAAGAAAAACAAAAAACAGATAACTGATGAATACTTACAGAGGCTCGATTTCTTGCCTTCAACAAGACAGCCAACAAACAGCAAGTTTTTGTAAAAATGCTGCCACTCTTGTCTGCCACTTTATCACCAGGCTTCTCTCGGTACATCTGCAAAAGCTCCAAGAGCGTGTCCACACAATTTTCTACCTCGTAAACTGCTGAAGTTGTCTTCTCGTACTTGAAGAGAAGAGACTCTAATTAGAAGTTATAATAAAAACATTTTTTTAAACAGACCAGCCAGAAAGAAAGTTCAGGGCCAACCTTTGTTTCCAATGCTGAGTCTGCTTCTATGCATATTTGCCTCTTCACCTTTTCTTTCCCTTCTACCTCCCAGTCCCACAATCAATACACACATGCATATATAACTCAAATCTGAAATCACAAAGGACATCTCGAAATAAATAAAAGCAAGGTGTTCAATATGAGGCCATTTTAGTAAATACATCTCTGAGGACAAAGGTAAATTTTCTGGAATAACTGTAGTTTAAGATAACAAATAAAAGGAAGACCTAATTTAGGTCAACTGCTTGCTTCTTGACAGAAAAATGAGCTTGCTTTCAAATAAAACAGTAATTTTGAGTCTCCAATATGTTTTTGAATGACTCATTTATCCACTTGTATCAGTAGATTTACACTGAAATTTGCATGATAACAATTTTTGTTATGGCAAAAATTTCAAAAAAATCAATAACTAACCTTATAATGAATATTTATAAAAGCATTTCAGGCCTAACTCATTTAATGCACAATGAGACGGACCTATAACCAGCAGATCTGGGATTCAAATCCAAGTCATTTGGCATTGGTTTTGAGTTCTTGGTGACTACTTCTCAATATACCAGGTCAATGTGGTTTTAAGTGTGTAGGAAACTAAATCTTCCATCCCAATGCCTTGGATTGCACTCAGCTTCTAGAAGTAGTAGTATCCCTTCTCTATAAAATGGATTAGGAATTACTTTAGAGGAACATTAATTGGATTAAATTAAATAATGAGTGAAGATATCTGCATGTAGACATGAAAAATAAACGTTCATTACTAGTAATATAATAAAGACAAAACTAAACTGTACAAAAATTACTGTTTCCACATAGAGCTATGGTAACAGAGTAAGCATTGTTCCTCACTGGGACTCATGAGCGTAGATGATCACATTTCTTGAATAATAAGTATTTCATTGCTAACATTGAAACCTACCTTAGCAACATGAAGTAAGACTTGAATGGCATATCTGATGACTTCCATACATGGAACACTACGATTACAACTTCGGATTAAAACAAATATTTTAGACACTGCTCCACCATTTGCCATGTTCTCACAACAAAGTGGAGACAATCTAGTCACTACCTCTGAAAGAGAATGAGAAAAAACCACAATAAAAAAATGAGTAAATCCATGCCAGGCACCGCTGGCTCATACCTGTAATCCTAGCCACACAGGAGGCAGCTGTATGAAGCAAGCTGGGCAAGAAATATAAAGAGACTCTTATTTCCAGTTAACCACCAAAAAGCTGGAAGTAGAGCTGTGGTTCAGGACACACACACACACACACACACACACACACACACACACACACACACACACACACACACACACACACACACACACACACACACACACACACACACACACACACACACACACACACACACACACACACACACACACACACACACGAACTCAGCACTCCTCATTTTAAACAAGATGTGATTATGACAAACTCACCCAGGTGCTTTAAAGCCTCAAGAATGACAGAAAGGTGCTTTGATGTGGAAAGATAGTGAAGAGCCAGAGCAGTTCTTTTGTAGAGCTTGTCTTCTTCTCGAATCTCCTGGTTGACAGCTTGAAGACTCAATCGTATAGCTTTAATTTTCTTACAATCACTTTTTTTCCTCAAAGAGTAACCTCTCCATAATGCCTTCGAAAATAAAGCCAAATGGCTTCATTACAGCCAGTAACATTTTCACAATTAACACAATGTAAATAATTTTTCCTCAAATTCATATAATACACCAGAACCATTACAATTAAAACATTAGTATGGCTCTAACGTTATACTAAAACTATAGAATTTTCACTTACCTGAATCTTGATGATTCTACTATTCAATTTTTCCTGTCTTTTGCAAAGAAGAAATTGGCGCACTGCTTTCTGTATTACTGACGCAGCTCTGTTTTGGTGTTTCAGACGTTCCTGAACTTCATGCTCAATTTCAATCAACCTTTTCTGTTGCATTTTTTTTCGAAACCATCTCTGTTTAAAACATAGGAATGTTTTTTCCCCTCATTTTTACATCAGGTTTTTTAATTGTACAAACACATGCACACACACACGCACACATACAAACATGAAAGGTAAAGAATGGCAAATACTTCCTGATCCACCTTGGTGACAATCCCTCAGTCCCACTTGGTGCAAACCTTCCCAAGCCTGTGTTGGACGTACAGTCCTGTCTTTATTTTACAACTTATGTAAAACTTCTATCAAACTGCATTGCTTTGCAATTTGTGTTTTCTAGCCAGTACTTCATATGTAAATATTCTAATATATACAAATAAGATTCTTCTCCAGGGTTTACAATGATTATCAATCATACTACAAAAGGACATCAGATAGAAAAATGGGAAAAGTATATAAAAAAAAATTTGTTTTGGTCGGTTGTGGGGCTTGAACTCAGGACTTGGCCATTGTCCCTCAGCTTTTCAGCTCAAGGTTAAAGCTCTACCACTTAAGCCACAGTGCCACTCCCAAAAAACATTTTTAAAAGTACACAAGAATAAGAACTTTGAGGGGGCTGGAAAGGTGGCTCAGTGGTAGAGTGCTTGCCTTGCATGCCTGAGGTCCTGGGTTCGATTCCTCAGCACCACATAAGCAAAAAGAAAAAAAAGCTGGAAGTGGCGCTGTGGCTCAAGTGGTAGAGCGCTAGCCTTGAGCTGAAGAGCTGAGGACAGCGCCCAGGCCCAGAGTTCAGGCCCCACAACTGGACCCAAAACAAAAAAAAAGAATAAGAACTTTGACGACTAACAAATGTAAAAAATATTTTAGAACTGTTAGTAATCAAATAAACCCAAAACAAAAACAAGAGAATCATTCCAACTCATTTGAATGGCAAAACAATCAGGATGTCTTTGGAGGCCACTGTTGGCCAGGATGGAGGAACAGAGGCTCTCAGACTTTAGCAGCAGGCAAGTAAATGAGCATGATTACATCCCAGAATAATTCAAAACTTTATTTCTATGACATAAAATATCAACCAATTTCTAACCCTCAAATCATGCTGGTAGTTACACAATGACAGCCTAATATATGGCCACAGAATAAGACATTTGGAAGTGGTCAATTATCCTAATTTTTCAACAAAAATATTTTATCTTACAGTTTTACTGCAGAGGAAAAGCTAACCTGAATACAGATGACTGAATCCACATGCCTCTCGGCACTCCTCACAGTCCTGTGACGTCTATATGCTCTCTGAATTCTAAGGGCAGTCAGGTGGAAAAATGCAGCTGCAGTGAAGGGAAGGAGGCGAATTCGAGCCTTCTGTTCTACACTCTAGGGAAGAGAGAATTAAAAAGTACCACATTAGTAATCACATATCTAAAAAAAAAATCAGTGTTTATTTTGTAGAAATGAATTGACTATTATAATTATTTCCATTTTAATCTAAAGTACCTATAATTATTTATTATACAATATTTCTAATAGTGTTAACTCATAAGTCAGGGTACAGAAGCAAAATTATATTTTGGACCCTACCCTAAAGAGAAACAGCATTTAGATTAAGTGGACTACACAATTAACAACTAGGTGAGCTGGAGAATGGTGTGTTTCACAGATATGAAAAGGCAATAAAGCAATTATTTCTAAACCCATGCACAAACTCCTGCCAAAACTGAGCACCAGGCTCAACAGATAACTGTTGGTCTCTTCCCTCTTGATTCTTTTCATTGTGGGGGAAAACAGACCCACAGCACCCTCGCTAGGTATGAGAAGTAAAGTGGCCATATCAAAACCTCGGAGGAAGCTTCTAGCAGCTCTGAGAACCACACACTGGAGCAAAAGCATGCCCTAGGCTGCCCAGAGACATAGCTGCCCAAGGGTACCAATTAAAATGGCCTTAATTCAGTCAAGGTACGTGTGTTTTACAAACTTCCACCTACAAATGGAAGGACCTTGGACCCATCACTTCTGTAAATGCTTCCTATCCTTCATCATGAGCAACTACTTCATACGATTGCTATCAAATGCTGGCCTATGTTAAGTGCCAGTAGTAAGAGTAATAATTGTGGTTCTATATAGTGACAGCAAATATTACATCAACACTGAAATTTGTAAGTAAAATTTTAATTTAATAAAAATTAGGCATCGTATTTATTCTACAACTTTATATGAAAAATTTTAAACATCATCTAAAGAACATGTTATTATGTTATACTATCTTCTACTCATTACAATTTTCTCCAGACTGTTTATTTTCACTGAAGTCATCTCAAACTTTAAAGAACATTATGTGTGTGTGTGTGTGTGTGTGTGTGTGTGTGTGTGTACACATATACTCGGAAAAAAACACTAAAAAATGGCATTTTTACAGAGGAATATAATTTTTAATTGACTGCAATATAAGTCTGTAAGATCAATGCTCATTTGGGTTTTGAGAATATTTGTTTTCTGTTTCCTGTATAAATGAGTTTTTATTTCACCTACTTTTCCTGTGATTTGTTCACGAGTGACTCTTCCAGAAAGCACTGCTCTCCATTTTCTCTGTATGATAACTACTGATACTCTCATCTTCAAAAACCTAAAAAGTAGTTGTTAGAAAGAAATCTCAAAATACTTTAATCTATTCAGTAAGTGTTTACTGCTGCCCACACCTTTAAATACTGAGAAAATATAAGAAAAACATTGACATTATAAAAACAAGTGAAAAACATATAATCCATACTTTCGTTCTTGCAGTCAGAATTGTACACACATACAGGGGCCAGGAGAGGGGAGAGGAGAGGGAAGGAGAAAGGGGCAGGGGAGAAGGAAGAAAACGAAGAGGAACTGTTTATCAATTGATAACACTCATGGAGTAAAAATGTGGCATGAGAAATAATTCTGAACAAGATCAAAAGAAAGTCATGAGAGGGGTCCAAAGAAAATCCTAGACAAAAGGGTGCAAGTTCAAATAGAAAATGAAATCTGAGTTTCAGAGAGGACATGATTGTTAAGAAGACATCATCAAATCTAACTGGGACATTTATATGAAAATAGTGCATTTTAATATGTCCTTGGGTATTGAAGAAAAAATCCAAAATATGAGCTTCTCTTATTACCATGTTTTTTTAGAAAATAAGGCTCAGCATCACTGAGAAAAAGCACTATTTGGTCCAGAAAAACAAGATAGAAGTCCTTAACAAGGACAGTAAGAACTGTAATCCATAATTAAGCCCCACATGGAATTGGTCCAGGAGTTCCTCAAACTGTGATATGCCCTCCTAAAAAGGACTTCAAAACAAGCACTGATGCAATAATTCTGAGTTATGCAGACAAGGGGGTAATTATAGCCATCATCAGTAAGGATAAAGAGTATAGAGAAGGGCCAGGCATGAAGGTGTGGACCTTTAATCACTGCAATGGGAAGAGAAGCTAAGAAACCATGAGTTCAACACCAGCCTGGCCTACACACAGGAAACCCTTGTCTCAAAAACAAAACCCAAGGAATGAGGATATAGCTCAGTGACTTAGTACCGGTCGAGCATGTACACCAAGCTAGGTTTGATCCTCAGCACCATACAGAAGAGTATGGAGAATACAGAATTTAAAAAAAAAAAAAAAGGATAAAAAGAAATTTTCCCAGAAGTTAATTTTAAAAAATGGTTGAATGCACTAGTAAGGAATCAGGAAAAAAACATTTTATTCACTTCCTGCTTTCATCTTTCCCTGAAATCCTATGCACTTGAATCAAACACGAACTAAATTGTAGTATCAAACCTATGCTGCATCTCTAAAGCATTAGAAAAGCCCAAGGAATATACTAGTTTTCCAATAAAGAAAACACTCCCACCACACACACACACAGAGGGAAAAAAAACAAAACAAAAAACAAAACACATGATCTAAGCATTGCAAATATTTAAGAGAAAAACCCACCCAGTGCTATTTGCACTAGGACTTGGCTACTGCACATGGCTGTGATACATTACCGGGTCCTCTCCTGCTTGGCGTGGAAGTAACGCTGAACAATTTTAACAGCGTTTAATATGGCTAGATATTCTCTGCGTGCTCTCCAACCCCTATACCAGGCTTGAATCTTGCAGGTGGCATTCACTTCATGTACATATTTCTTAGCTTTGTATCTTCTCCATGCAGCCTATTAAACACATCAATACAACAAGGATGAAACATCTGTCCATCTCTCTGAGAACAAGGCACTTGCTGTTGTGAACGCCTATTGTGTGCTTTATCACACAGGCCCTGAGGCTGGCTGCCAGCCCACCCAGACCTACTTTAACCAATGCTTTCCAGGGGCCAGTCATGTATGATTCAAGTCTTCGCCTCAACCCACCACTGAGAAACGGAAAAGAAATGAACATATCCCCTAGCCCATCTCTCAGGAGAAAGGACAAAGTGGAACTAGATCCCACTCTGTACATGCTCTGTTGTGTTTGGCCTGCCACAGACTCCTAAAAGGTCCCTCTGATCATCCAATTTTGGTAGACCTGTGGCTAACTAAAACTATTAGCTACAAATTACTGAAGTAAGCACCAAAACTATAAGTGAAAAACTAGGAATAATAAATAAGAGAAGTAGCAGCCTTTTCTCTAACTTAGGGATGGGGAAATCAAGAACCTAGAGAAATCAAGTTAATGCCACACAGGAAAATACAGTAGGGGAGCTATCCTGGTGAATATTTGCAACGATCTTGTGGAAAGATGATGGAGCTCTCTTATTAGTGTTCCTCATACTAACTATGGGGGAAGGGGAGAGGCAGGAGCTGCCACTGGTACTGTTGGAAACTGCAGATGATCTCAGCAGAGACAACCGTTATAAGCAAAAAGGTCCCTGTGTGAAATACAATTTTATAATTTAATTCCATAAGAAAATTGATTTTTCTCCCTAGGATGGTTATTTTGGCCCCTCTGTAATCTCTATTGAATAAACCAACTAGTGCATCTAACATCTTGGTCCACCTCTCCATCCTGTACATTTGGAACTGGAGTATTCTTTCTCTCCTTTGTCTCTCAACCCTTGGCTTCTGAACACCATAATCTTTTAAATTTTCTTCTTTCCCTCTTAATAACATTTTCTGGCTGCTTCTCCAAATATCCTTTATTCTTATATTCTGTCCAAAGCTTTGTCCTTCTTAACTTGTCTTAATCTGGAAGATAAAAGCTCAGTGTTTTGTTTTTATAACCCAAGGCTATCCATAATTTGACTTCCGCTATGGCAAGCCCAGGTTTTCAATCACTATTTGTTGTCCTCTCTGTTCCCCGTCTCCCTCCACCCCACCCCACATTACCTCCTCCATCTGGAATGATCTCTCCAAACACTTTATTTATAAGACTATTTCCAATGCATCCTTTAGCCTAACATTTCAATTTAAATGGCATCCACTCCAGGAAGCTTTTCCTGGCCAGAAATAACTTCAGCCTGTTTCCAGCAACATATACTTCTCATTAAAATTGTCCTTTCTTGTTCACTTCAGTTCTCACTCAGCCTCACACTCAGGACAGATGCATCACTTTACCAGCACTAGCATCTTGAATGAAAACCTAAGCTCAGCATTAGGAAGATAGCAAACACCTGTAGGCTGAAATCTGAGCAGGCAGAACAGAAACCGATTAGATCTCAGGTTCATTTCTTGGATTCATTTCATTCTTCCTGAACACCTACCAATTAATTCCCCCTTTCTCAGTTCTCTATTTTAAAAGAGAGGTAATACCCCACATTTCTCACACCCTGAGAAGTTGATTAAACAAAATAAGTGCTTCAAAGCCAAAAGAGCTAAGCCTTGAATAAAGTCTAGCTATGGTAGTAGGTTGGGTTTAGAGATCAGTAGAGGAATGTTATCCTGTTTGACGTGTACTGTAAAAATAACATTTCATCTTCAATTTTTTCACATTAAAAACAAGAAACATTCTTCCAGCAGGGCTGTAATGAGAAGCAGCCAAGCGAAGCATAGGGAAAGTCCCAGAAGATTCCAGTTATGATGTCACAGCTCAGTTATTATCAGTGTTGCTTCCCATTAGCAAGTACTCCACACTCCACTTCAAAATAACCAGACTATTATTCTTCATGACCTCAAGTTCATTCATAGTCAAATAACAGACCTAAAAGTTATCTCTGTAAGTTAAATATACAAATACCTGTTTGTTTGTTTTTTGGGTCCGGTCGTGGGGCCTGAACTCTGGGCCTGGGCGCTGTCCCTCAGCTCTTCAGCTCAAGGCTAGCGCTCTACCACTTGAGCCACAGGCGCCACTTCTGGCTTTTTTCTTTTTGCTTATGTGGTGCTGAGGAATCGAACCCAGGGCCTCATGCATGCAAGGCAAGCACTCTACCACTGAGCCACCTTCCCAGCCCCAAATACCTGAATTTTTATGGCACTAGTTTTAATTTTCTGAAACTTCCTTTTCTGTATGAATCTTCTCATTCCAGCTTGAATCATGATAACACGGCTCCTGGTTTGTAAATAAACTTGTCTTTGGTGTTTTGTAGACAGAAAGGCTCTGTAGTGGTTCTGTAAAACCAACACAGCTTTCCTATATAGTAAAAACTGTTTTCTGGTTTTCCAGGTCCTGAAACACTGCTGTAAGGTGACAGCAGCTCTCCTCTGTCGAAGAAAACTTGTGCGATGAACAGCCATGTGCAGGAAGGACTGAATCCGTAGGGCCGCACGCTCCTGTGCTTGTAGGTCAGGACAAGGGCTCTGCATGGGCACAGTGGCCCTCTCAGATGGATACTCTGTTTCCTGTGAACAAGCAAATCATACGGTGTTGCACACCCGTCTTCTAACTGTAACTAACAGCCCCACTTTGAACAGCCTCACCTGAGTTTTAATTCTGTAATAATGAAGTGTAGTGTAGAGTGGTTATTGAGTTTTTTGTTTTGTGCCCATCTTGGGGCTTGAACTCAGAGCCTGGGCACTGACTCTTAGCTTTTACTAAGCCTAGTGCTCTGCCACTTGTGCCAGTTCACTTCTGTGTATGTGCGTGTGTGGTTAATTACACTTTTCTGCCCACAATGCTCAGATCTCAGCCTCCTGAGTAGCTAGGATTACACATGGGCAACTCCTCAGTTTGAGTTCTAATTCTGTAACAGCTGAGTATAGTCAGCCTACGGACACATCATTTCTTGAGACATCTATTTTTTGGCTTCTGCCTAAATTTTATGCATCTAAAAGTAGATTGAATACTTTGTGCAGCTTTCTGAACTGTTAATTTTTCTTGTCATTTTTACTCTGACATACAGTATAGACTTTATGTCAGGGTTTGTTGTTTGTTTTTAAAACCGGATAAACAACTCAATCTTGTGGACCAGGTATAACGAATGGCTTGGCAGCCAGGTGGCTGTGATGGATGTCCCTTCTTACCTTAAATCCTCGGTAAGGCAAGTCTACTGAGGCAGCGGCTTGGGAGTATGCTGCAGCTGATGCTCTGTATCTTCTCTGGACAGAAATGACGGCAGCTCTCAGGCAAAGATAACGTCTTCTGGTTTTACAGGCTTTGAAATACTTCTGAATAACAATGGCAGCCTCGTGTTCTTTCTCAGCCTGTTTCCTTCTGGTCATGTCTTGAAAACTGGCATCAGTGCAACTTGCCTGGAACTGAAGAGCTTTCTGTTTTTTACTTGTCCTATAATGTTCTTGTACTACTCTTGTAGCCCACTGAACTTTCTGGTAGAAACAATACTGCTTAGACATTCGATATGTGCTTTGTATGATGACAGCAGCCCTGTATTTTTTCCTTAGAAGCTGTCTTGCTTTCATTCCTCTATAAGCAGCTTGAATGACCACAGCGGAATGCCATCGTCTAGTAAAATTCTCTCTTTGCAATTTGGCAGCTCGGTATGTTCGGTAATGTTGTTGAATTAGAATCGAGGCACGTTTCCACTGCTGAAATATCACGTACGTTGTGTGCATTCTAAAAGTGGCCTGAATGAGAAGTGCAGCCCTGTGCATGTTTTGTAACTTCTTCTTCACCATCAATCTCCGGTAAGATGACTGGATGCTAATGGCTGCCTTTCGTAACTCCAAGAATTGGTGCCTCTTGCATCTGGCATAAATGGTGGCTCGGTATTTCCTCTGAACAAAAACAGCAGCTCTCTTGAGAGAAATGAATCTCCTCCTCATCACAAAGGATCTGAATCTACTCTGAATAAGTGTTGCAGATAAATGCATTTCCTTCACATGCCTCCTCACTTTCGTTGCCCTGAACGCAGCCTGGAGGATCACAGCAGACCTTCTTAGTGTGATGAAATGCTGTCTCTGCTTCTTCGAAGCTCTGTTTGCCCGGTGTTGCTTCTGGATCACAGCTGAGGCCTGTTTCAAGGCCCGGTATCTCACACATGCTCGGTGCATCCTGAAAGCAGCCTGGATGCACGTAGCAGCCTTGTGCATCTCTCTCACCTTTTTCCTTACAATCCACCCTCTATAGGATGACTGGATTTGAGTAACAGCCCTTCGCACTAGCAGAAACTGTTGTAACTGATGCCTGGCCAAGAGCTTTGCTCGGTATTTCCTCTGAACAAAAACAGCAGCTCTCTTGAGAGAAATGAATCTCCTCCTCATCACAAAGGATCTGAATCTATACTGAATAAGTGTTGCAGACAAATGCATTTCTTTCACATGCCTCCTCGCTTTCATTGCCCTGAATGCAGCCTGGAGAATCACAGCAGACATTCTTAGTGAGATAAAATGCAGCCTCTGCCTTTTTGCAGCTCTGTTTGCCCGGTGTTGCTTCTGGATCACAGCTGAGGCCTGTTTCAAGGCCCGGTATCTCACACATGCTCGGTGCATCCTGAAAGCAGCCTGGATGCACGTAGCAGCCTTGTGCATCTCTCTCACTTTCTTTCTTACAATCCACCCTCTATAGAATGACTGGATTTGAATAACTGCCCTTCGCACCAGCAGAAATTGCTGTAACTGATGCCTGGCCAAGAGCTTTGCTCGGTATTTCCTCTGAACAAAAACAGCAGCTCTCTTGAGAGAAATGAATCTCCTCCTCATCACAAAGGATCTGAATCTATACTGAATAAGTGTTGCAGACAAATGCATTTCTTTCACATGCCTCCTCGCTTTCATTGCCCTGAATGCAGCCTGGAGAATCACAGCAGACTTTCTTAGTGTGATAAAATGCAGCCTCTGCCTTTTTGCAGCTCTGTTTGCCCGGTGTTGCTTCTGGATCACAGCTGAGGCCTGTTTCAAGGCCCGGTATCTCACACATGCTCGGTGCATCCTGAAAGCAGCCTGGATGCACGTAGCAGCCTTGTGCATCTCTCTCACTTTCTTTCTTACAATCCACCCTCTATAGAATGACTGGATTTGAATAACTGCCCTTCGCACCAGCAGAAATTGCTGTAACTGATGCCTGGCCAAGAGCTTTGCTCGGTATTTCCTCTGAACAAAAACAGCAGCTCTCTTGAGAGAAATGAATCTCCTCCTCATCACAAAGGATCTGAATCTATACTGAATAAGTGTTGCAGACAAATGCATTTCTTTCACATGCCTCCTCGCTTTCATTGCCCTGAATGCAGCCTGGAGAATCACAGCAGACCTTCTTAGTGTGATAAAACGCAGCCTCTGCCTTTTTGCAGCTCTGTTTGCCCAGTGTTGCTTCTGGATCACAGCTGAGGCCTGTTTCAAGGCCCGGTATCTCACACATGCTCGGTGCATCCTGAAAGCAGCCTGGATGCATATAGCAGCCTTATGCATCTCTCTCACTTTCTTTCTTACAATCCACCCTCTATAGAATGACTGGATTTGAATAACTGCCCTTCGCACCAGCAGAAATTGTTGTAACTGATGCCTGGCCAAGAGCTTTGCGCGGCATTTTCTTTGAACCCAAACCACAGTTTTCTGGAGACAGAGGAATTTTCTTCTCACCATCAGAGTTCTAAATCTCCTCTGAATAAGAGTGGCAGCCGAATGCATAGCTTTTACATATCTCCTGACCATCATTCCCCTGCCAGCAGCCTGCAGGAGAACTGCAGAACGCCACAGCCTGCTATACCTCTGAAACTGTCTCCTTCCTTCCTTCACTGCTCGGTATCTCTGCTGCACTATCTGTGTCACTTTCTTTAACTTGGTGTAGTACATTTGCTGCCTGTATCTTCTATAGTGGGATTGAATCAGTGTGGCTGCCACCTGCCTCTTTCTCATAGCCTGCCTGACTCTAGCTCCTCTAAACCTGGCCTGAAGAATACCAATGGCCTTCAAAACTCTAAGGTACTTTGCACGCTGAGTTTTACCTTCATGATAGGCTCTGAACCTTACTTGAATTATAACAGCTGCTCTTCTCATTGCGTGGTATCGTGACCTTGACTGATGCATTTTAAACATCGCTTGAATACAAGTGGCAGACCTGTGCATGTGTTGAATCTGCTGCCTTACCCTAGTGCCTCTGTAAACAGCCTGGATTTTCATCGCTGATTTCTTTAAATTAAGGTATCTCTTTCGTTGCTGGTTTGCAATTTTAGTGTTTTGATACCATCTCTGAATGACAACAGCAGCACTTCTGTAAGTGATGTATTTCTTCTGGGCTTTGTAAGCTCTGTATTTAGACTGTATAGTGATTGCTGCTCTGTTCCAATCTTTTATTCTTTTTCTCACTTCCGCCCCACGGTAAACCGACTGCAAAGTTACAGCAGCTGCTTTTGTCTTCAAATATAAGCAATGCTGCTCTTTTCCAAGACGGTAAGCCCGATAACATGTTTGAATCAGTAGAGCAGCTTTCCTGATCGTTTTCCACCGGCTGTGTTGAGCGTGCATTCTGTAGCAGGACTGTATGAGGATGGCACAGGTGTGCCACCGCTGGACCTCTCTCCTCAGTGCCCACCCTCTCCATGCAGCCTGGAGCACCAGCACGGCACGGCGGAGTTCAACATAGGCCCTACGCTGCTGCCTTCCAGCCCGCCATGCTCGCAGGTGCCGCTGGATGACCACAGCTGCCATTTTCCAGGATTTAAACTGCCTCTGGGCCTGGATCATTCGAAATCCAGACTGGATCTTCACTGCTGCTTGATGTTCCTTTCTGATCTGCTTCCGAACTCTCCAGCCCCGATAGCCAGATTGAAGAGCAATTGCAGCCACTCTTGTCTTTAAAAACCATGTTCTTAAATCTCGAGCAGCCTTACATGCCCTGTGCCACCTCTGAATCTTGACAGCAGACTGCAGCACCAACTGATATTTCACCCTTTTGCTATAGCCTCTAAAAGCAGTCTGAATTTTAACAGCTGCGACAGATTGCTGTTTGATGAGCCGGCGAGCTCGGTAACCTCTGTAGGCTGCTTGCAAACAGACAGCTGCTCTTCTGACTCGCAAGAATTTCTTCCTCTGGTTGACTTGCGCCCTGTAGGCACGATAGCGAATCTGGAGGAGCAGAACCGCGCTGTAGGTGTACAGGTAGCACTGCCTCATCTTTCTCATTCTGAAGTAAGACTGCAGTACAACCACTGCTTTTCTCTGCATCCTCATCTGTTTTCGGGCCAGCCATCCTCTACATAAAGCTTGCAATTTGACACAAGACTCACGTACCTGTAAATATTCCTTTCTCCTGCATGCAGCCAGTCTTTTGGACCTGTATCGTCGCTGGATAGACAGGGCAGCTGCTTTTAACTGTGCATAGCGTCCGCGTGCTTGCTTCATCCTGACAATAGACTGCAACTTTATGGTAGTATTTCTTAGGATCAGAAATTTCTTTCTTGAAATATAAGCACGAAAATATGACTGAATCTTTATGACAGATTTGCGGATATAAAGAAATGCATTCCTAGCTTGCAGCGCTCTGTAGGTAGACTGTAGAACAATGACAGCAGATCGTGTTTTTTGGTAAGATACTCGAACTCTCCTGGCTGAAACGCAAGCTTGGAAATGAGTCTGAATTATGATAGCGGCTCTCTTCATCTTCTTGTATTTCTGTAATTGCTGATTTCTTCTTACACATGCCTGCAATTTGATAACCATCTGCCTTAAGCTTAAAAAACAAAGTCTGTCCTGTCTCATTCTCCAATATGACTGCAACACACAAGCAGCTCTAACTTGCCTGTGCAAATGACGAGCTTTCATTCTCCTGAAAGCAGACTGCAGTCGAATGGCCGCAGCTTGCTTTTTTAAGTAGCTGGTGCGTTCAGCCTTTCCCTTCAGATAGGCTCTGAAGTATTTCTGCAGAGTCAGGGCGGATGCTTTCTTTCTTTTATATAACTTTTGGGCTTGAAAGCACCGAAATGTTCTTTGAATGACAACAATGCAAGATCTAGTATAAGCATATTTCTGTAATTGCCTGTGCATTCTGTACCATGATTGTATGATGATGGCAGACTTCTCCCTGGCTTGCTTCCGGACCTGCCATTTTCTAACAGCTCTTTGCAGTATTATTGCAGCTTTTACTTGTTGTTGAACTTTACGTCGCTTCCATCTTCGAAACATGGACTGGATTACAAGGGACGCAGATTTCAGCATTTTATATCTTTGTTGATCTCTTCTTCTTTGAACACAAGCACACCAATGCCTCTGTATTGTAACTATGGCCCAGCGTTTTCTTTTATAAGATGTAACAGCAATTATCATTCGTATCCTGGATTGCAGGAAGACTGAATAATACTTCAAACTCAAAAATCTTTTTCTAGTGGAATATCTTCTCCAATATGCCTGGGAAATATAAGAAAGGACACAAAATATTTAAAAATACTTTAGAAAGAATTAATTTTCTGACATTCTCCCTAAAAAGTAACACAAGGAATTTAAAGACCAATGCATGTTTACACACTACTTCTCTGGAGTTTGTAGGTTTATTTTTACATTGACTTATCTGTAGTCAATTCCGAAATCCATCTCAATCTTAATTATATTGACAATGTAATTGTATCACAGTCTTAAGACATAAAAGAACTTATGTTGAAATAGAAGAAAAAAATCAAGTCTTTTTGATTACCTATTGTTCTAAGTAATTTTCTAGGATTTTCTAGATCTTCTATAGTCCCCTTTCTTCACAGTGCTAAGCCATCTTGTAACAATTAAGAACAGTTAATGTGTGCCATAGTCTCATCTCTACAGGTCTGGTAATGCAAATACAGCAGGCTCTCTGCATCCATTGTTGTTTACCTATCAATTCCAACAAGAATAGAAAAGGAGCTGGGTGCCGATGGCTCACACCTATCATCCTAGCTAATAAGGAGGTGAGATCTGATGATCACGGTTCAAAGCCAGCCTAGGCAGGAAAGTCCATGAGACTCATCTCCAATGAACCATCAGAAAATTGGAAGTGGTGCTGTGGCTCAAGTGGTAGAGTGCTAGCCTTGAGCTGAAGAGCTAAGGAACAGCAGCCAGGCCGACAGTTCAAGCCCCATGACCCTCCCCCCCAAAAAAGATAGAAAAGGTTTCAAAAGAAAAAAACATTGTCTGTTCTGAACATAAACTTTTTGGGGGTAGGGGAAAGGGAGGGAGGCAGTAAAATAACAACCCCTTTTTATTTCCTGCTGGTCTTTTGTTAGCATATCTTGCTCATAAACACATTCTAACCATACCACAACATAAACTCTTTGGTCATTATGCCCTAACAATCAAACATAACAACTATGTACATAGTACTCACATGACATTATGTAATCTACAATTAAGTATAGGATTAAATAGGTTGTGCATGTGCATAGGTTTGATGAAAAATAAGTATGCTACTTGTGATTTTCTATTTTTGAAGACATGCAGATTTTGATACCTTCTGGGGTATACAAACAATTTTATCGTGGCTCATTAGGGATGACTACAGAAGAGTTTGAGAAATACCTGAGCTTGATCACTTTCAGAGTTTTTTTTTTTTAATTACAACTTGCTTCCTTTTGCCAAAGTTAGAACTATATATGTACAATTTTTTTTATTAAGACTTATTTTCTTTTGCCAAATTTAGAACTACAGATGTACAATTAGGAAGTAGAATTGTTTTGGAAAGCTACAGTTAGAAGGTAAACTCTTCAAATTCAACAACCTGGGCTGGCAGGTCCTGAGCTAATGCCAGTTGCTGGTATCTACTGGGCTGCTGGCAACCAAACTCTAAATATTCTCATTGTAACCTTGTCTAAAACATCACAAACTTCACATATCTGCAGGCGAGTGTTGTGTTGGTCTTATTTCTTCTCACGAGGAAGTGTAGCAATAAGCGCTGGATACCTCATGGGCCTAAAGCACTGATGGGAATACAGGAGTGCTGGGCCTGGGCACACCTATCCTAGGTTGAGCAGAACTGAGAGGAGCCTGTGCCTGCTGAGGGGAGAGAGGAGCAGGGCAGACCCTATAAGCTTGACCACCTTCTATCACAAAGGCTCTGCTCTACTCTTCATCCTGATGAGAAGTAATATATACATATCACTGGTTCTCTTTCTATGAAGGAACATAATAGGGTAACAACATATACTCAATAGTTAAAAATTACCTGTGAAAAATGAATTTGAAAACTGTAAGCTCTTTTACAAATATAAGTTGATTATCAAAACTGCCAGAAAAGAAATAAGGCAAAGTATGGCAAAAACAGTGCTCAGAGCTGCAGAGCACTATCTATTCAGCTTTCCTCCTTCTCCTGACAAAATAGTTATATGAAAATGTCAAATCTTCCAATTGAGAATACAGAGTCTGAGGATAAAGTGGCCTGACTTATACTCTCTTCTAAAGCATTATGACTAGTCTGCTGCTGACCATTCAATCCATTTTTATATATGACAAAGGAGGTAAGTTCATCTTCTCTAACAACTTTGCTGATTCCAAAGGTGATTTTATCAGCACACTGATCTGTCTGTGAAAAATAAGTTTTCACATGGAGCATACTACAAATAACTTAATTCTCATGGCCACCTAGTGACTTGGCCTTCTTTCCTTATTTAAAGAAGGGGCACTTTAGTCACAAAATCTGTCCAAGTATATGAAGTCATCTACTATTAGTATCTATTGCAGTATCGACGCTGCTTAGATTAAGATCATTTAATATTGTGGTAGACTCTTCGGCTCTCTCAGTACCCCAAATGTTTGTCAGTCTTCGTTTTTTCCTCTTAGAAAAGATGCAGAGCATTGGCTGGGCCGCATGTGGGTGTAACCACAGACAGAGTCAAGTACTGTACTTAACGCTTCAGTTCCTTGGCCCCAGAGCCAAACAAGGCATCTACAGGGAACTAGGATATAAGGAAGTCTGCAGAGGGGAGCTCAGAAAAGCTAACTGACAATGTTGTTCATGAATTTCAAGGCTTACTACCAAGCTGGGCACATTAGAACCTAGACTACAGCAGACTGCAAACCTTAAGAACTGAAGTGAGAGAAAGAGCAATCGAGAGCCCTAGTAGTGACACATATATGGCATCATAACCATGGAAGACGGATGCAAACTTCTAGCCTGAATCCAACAGGTGGGATCAGCTCCTAAAACTAAAATATTAACACTCTCCTTAGGGTTTAAATGAAACATCAACAATACGTAAGATACAATTACAAATTATCTGTCATATGTCATAGCAGGAAAATGTCAACTTGCCCAGGAAAAGATAACAGGGGCAAGTGGTGAGATGACAGGCATTGCAAGCATCTGGTACAGACTCAGTGAAAAGGGTCCAACAGCCTGAAACTAATGCAAAAACATCCAAGACATGCATGGGAACAGAACCTCAGACCACAATAACCACAGCAAAAAGTCTCACTGGCCTGGCACAATACATGAATGGAGGAGAAAGAAAAGTTGATGAACTTGGAGATAAAAATTATCTGCATGGAATAAGAGGAAAATGGATTCAACAAACTAGGAAAACAGAGCAGTTCTCAGCGGGATAAAGAACATGGATGTAAGCCTACTGCTAACCTCAAACGTAATGGTGATAAACTATCCTTACCTTCAAAAGGACAGAGCAAAAAGCAGGCTACACCCCCCCACCACGCCTAACCCCCTCACAGCAAAGGTCCTGAAACACCACTATTATTCACAGAAAACATCATGATCTATCTATCTAGAAAACCCCCAAAATGAACAACAGAAATTCTGGAATAAGCAAATCCAGCAAAGTTAGAATTCGAAAATGTATTTTACATGAATCGTCAAAAGGTATTTAGGTATAAATCTTGCAAAACATGTACAAGATCTGTACATGCAAAACCCTAGAAGCCTTGACTGAAAAAATGCAAATCAGTTATAGAAAATATAAACAAAAAGATACATTACATTCTTATATAGGAAAACTCAATGCTACTAAGATACTACCTTTTATCATTTTTTTCAATGAAACGTGACTAGAAAGCCAGTGGCAAACACTAACACAACGTAGCCAGAGAGGAATGACATATGACCTACAGAAAAATAATTAACTGAAATAAAATGCTTCATCAGACAGCAAGATGATCAGAGAGAACTGACAAAGCATGTTCTGAGTGCTAACAAAAAGGAGCTGTAAATAATAACAATACATTCCTGAAAAAAGAAAAAAAGGTCAGGAAAAGTAGCATCAGAAATGAAGGCAAAACAACAACAAAAATGATAAAAATCTAACAGATGAAGAAAGACTCCTTATGTGCTTGTGATTATTAATGTCTATAGAGGCAAATACCCAGAAAGCTGATGAGTCTATGGAGTGTACAGTGGTACATCTTCTATATTGACTCTACATTGCTTCCAAAGATATAAAAAAGAAGTATACTCTGTAACCCCAAAGACAGCCACTAAAAAGCATATGCAGAATACAAATTAAATAAGGATATAAACTAAAATGTGTTCAAGTAACTGATAATAGGAAAGGGGAAAAGAGTAGGAATTTGGCATGCCAAGGAGAAGAGTGGTATAGATGCTGACATGTTCCATAGAGTGGAAGACTGTAAATCTCTAATAAAAACAAGGAAGGCATGTTTTCTCCTTCAGAGAGCAGAAGGCATTTCGATCATTTGCAGAAGTTTTGCAAGTAGTGAGAGGAGTATACTCTCTAGTTCCACACTCTTGAATTCAACTAACAAAAGACTGAAAATTACTTGAGAAAAAATAGATGCCTGTACCCAACATGAAAACTGTTTTTCTCTTGTCATTATCTGCTAAACAATACAGCATAACAAAAATCAGCATCTGCATGGTACTGAGTAATCTAAACATGATTGGAAATACACGTGGCCAATCATTAAGTCTTATGTAAATACACCATTGTATAAGGGACTCGAGCAGTCCCAGATTTTGGTCATACTGGTCCTCAGCCAAGCTCAGATTCCAAGGGGCAACATAAGACAAAGACTGCTAAAATAGAATCAATCACTAAAATGTTTATCATATCTGTCATTCTTCCTGAAAGCCTATCATTAATAATGATTACATTCAAAAATTAGTCCAAGATACCATACCTGAATAATTGTTGCTGATGCATTTTGAATTTTCTCCAGTTTTTCCTCTTTTAAGATTAATAACTGTCTCTGTGCTAAGACTCTTCGCCAACATTTCTGAAGGACTAGTGCTGCAGTAACCTCTTTTTTCCATCGCTGTCTGCTTAGAAAATTGATTACAGCTTTCTGGATAATTCTTGCAGCTTTGTCTCGCTCCTTAAAATGAATGAAGGAATGAATGAATAAATAACAAGTATTCGTTCTTAAGACCTTAAACTGTTCTTTGTAAGATAATCGATTTTTTAAATTGATTTAATCAAACTGATCCTTAACTGCCTCCAGGCATGTCAACACAACCAGCAGATGTGCTTTCAGGTAACTTGTTTGATGAACCAGATTCCAAGAAACCATCCAAGATAAAGTGATATAAATATGTTTGAGCTACCATAAATCCTCATTAAATAAAGTTAATTTGAAGTGTAACAGGGGACCTTTCTCAGAGTAGAGTCTAGAGAATTTATGCCTGAGCTTCAGGGAGGGGATGTACAGTATGAAAAGGAAATGCTTTGCAGCATAAGAAAGCATTGCCTATTATTGGGACAAAGCAACTCAAAAGAGGAGACTGATAAAATACTGTTTCCTTCAGCACAGAAGGCACTGAAGCATTAAGCCTAGATAGGTTCAAGAAGAGTTCAACTTTATAAGAAGAGGACCTGAGAACGCCCTATAGGCTCTATGTTCACAGAGGAGGCACCTGCCTAGAGAACCTGACAGGCCAGCTCCTTCCCTCCATATTACTGTTGGCATTACTTCTCAAAATAAACTACTACATTATGATGAATAACAATGTACTTTATATACGTACTTAATGACTGACACATTTAAATCACGTAAGAACAGATCTGATCCTTGGGACAGTGAGGAAACTGAATCCCAGGAGTCAACTGGCTTATCTGTTTTCAGCCAACAAAGGCAGGGTTTGAACCAGGCGTCTGGCTCTAGTCCATGCTCTGATCACTTTGCTGTACTCTCCAAGGCTGTACTCATCACTTCACTTTACATGAACTGGAAGCCAGAATACTAGTCGAAATGAGTAATATATATACTACGTATGACCACCTTTTATATTGCTACCAGGGTCAAGCCACCAGACAAGCATGGACTTTACAGAAAGTGTAACCACAGACCCAATTACACAGTATGGAAACACAGTAGGCAGAATACCTTCCTAACATCTGTGAAGTTCTGAGTTCGAACCCAGTACCACTACTAAATAAACCTTAGCATCTTAGAAAGTGCAATTCATACTACGATGTTTTCATTTTCTAGAATTACCTTATAGTGTTTTAGATCTTTTTTTAGCTTATGTTTTCTCCAAGCCGTCTGTATGAGTCGAGCAGCCCTGATCTCTTTACGAAGATCCAAAAGCCTTGCACAGAGGAATGACAAATAGGTAATAACAACCTAAGGGAAAAGACAAGATGAGAGCAGATCAACAGAATATGTGACATACTGTCACACTGAGACTTACGACCAGGTTCTTAATCAAGAGAGACTTCTCTCCCTTGCCTTTTCATCAGGAATTGTATTCGACATATCTGAATGATGGATCATAGCAGGTATTCCACCCAGGTCTCTTGCTGCAGATGTTACCAAACGAAAATTTTTCTTTTCATTTTCTAGAAGCTCTTTGTGTAGTTCTGAGGCATTTTCTAGTACACAAAGTGAAAAGGAAAACAGAATTAGACTGCTGCAGTTCAGACTCACATATGGCAAAGAATCAGAGAAGTTAATCAGCAAAACAAAGGGGGCCGACCGTGATCCAATGCTTGAAAAGACACATCCAGAATACTATCGTCACATTCGGAGGAGGAGTTCAATACCACGGAGCCTGTCTGCGTGCACTCCACAGTCTGGGTGGTGCGCTGACACACAGCATCCAAAGGCAAATAGCAAGGATGGTAGTGGTGGATCAGGTAACATAAAACACGGCCATCTGAGAAAGACACTGTGAAATTCTCCACCTGAGAGGAAGTACCAGAAAAATAATTAGCTTTACTTAGAGATGAATATAAACATAATAGTTCTGTAGTCTTTCTCTCTGTTTATGTCAGTACTGAGATAAGCAGTCAGGGCCTTGTGCTTGTTTGGCTTTCTTGGTTTGCTTTCTAGGCTGGTATTGTACACTTAAGCCATTCCTCCAGTACAGCTTTTTCCCAGTTATTTTGGAGATGAGGTCTCACTGACATTTCTGCCTGGGCTGGCTTTCAACAAAGATCATCTAAATTGCAGCTTCCTGAGAAGCTAAGATTATAGGCATGATCTAACAGTACCTGGCTTCAATTCCCTCTAAATAGTGAATAGAATCATACTACTAGTAGCAACAAGTATAACATTCACTCATTCTATTATTAATAATCAATGGCTAATAATCAATTGCTGATCGATTAAAACTGTTAAATACTAACCACTTCATTTGAGGAAAAGCTTGTCTATATAAACTTCAAAAATGCAAGAAAATATTTTATCCATCTAGGAAGACTTCAGCTGAGGTTTATTTAAAGATGTTATGTTGAAATAAAAGGAAAACGACTTACCTTCTTATTGTAGAAGGCACACACTGCATTTACCCACTCCATCAACAACTTCACACTGTCACTGTATTGTTCAAGGGGGGCACTATTCCTTTTGTCTTTTTTCTTGTTCATAGTGGCATCAGAATAACATGATAGTGCAGAAATTGCTTTTCTTATGCTGTGTGTGTGTTTTAGGAAGTCAATTTCTTCCCTTAGTTGTTCTAAATTAAGGGAAATATCCACCTGAAACATACAAAAAAAAAATTTTTTTTTTTTGGGTCTGGTCGTGGCGCCTGAACTCTGGGCCTGGGCGCTGTCCCTCAGCTCTTCAGCTCAAGGCTAGCACTCTTCCACTTGAGCCACAGCGCCACTTCTGGCTTTTTTCTTTTTGCTTATGTGGTGCTGAGGAATCGAACCCAGGGCCTCAGGCATGCAAGGCAAGCACTCTACCACTGAGCCACCTTCCCAGCCCCATACAAAATTTTTTAAAAAGACAATTTCTTAACTCAATTTTAAACTTGCAGAAATTAAAGCAACTGTCTTCTACTTAGAGAAATATGGAAGAAAAACAGACATCAAAAGAAAGGCCAAACTTTTCTTTTCATGCAAGTTGAAACTATGGAGAATTGGTAGACTGCTGAATGGTTAAGAACCTCTACTCTTTTACTCAGTAATATGAACTTTACTTTTAGATTCCTCACCAGTGAGGGAGACTTAAGATTAAATTGGAGTCACATAAAGCCATGATCACAGTTCCTTGAACAGTTTATAAACCACAGCAAGTGATAAGTACTTTTGCTAGTTTTTAGTTGATTCAAATTGATTTTCTAAATCAGTATTCAGAATTGATATATAGTACAGTGCGCCAAGCATGTACCAATACCTGAAAAGCACAGGCGATTTTCCAAAGCAATGCAAGAGTCTTTTCTCTGTGCCTATCCACAATGTCCTTGGAGAAGATAGGGTTTCCTATAAATGAGAATGCAGTAGGTCAACATGACATTTGTACACACTAATGCTAAAAGAGTAACTTGTAGCTCTATGTGGTTTTTACCATGTTCATCACTCAACTGAATTCCTCGTGATTTAAGAACTTGAAGGACTATATCAACATTGTGCATCTTTTGAAGACGGCTTATGGCAGGAATCCTGAGTTTCTTTGAAAGATTCCAGTTCTGTGTGAGAAGTTCCATGGTTCGCCTAAAGGTAAAGAAACTGTTTTCAGGTAAATCTGTTATATAAAAGTATACATTAAAAAAAAAAATCCATGTTCTCTGAAGGTGTGGCTCAAGCTGTTGACACAAGTCTACCAAGCAAAAGGCCCTGAGTTCAAACCTCTGAACCACAAACTAAACAAAAATCCATGCTGTTTTTAATAAATTTATATTGGAGACTTGTGTGGAAAAAGAAAAATGTCTCCAAGCAAAAATTATGAAGAAGTCAACTACAGTACAAAATAAAGTCTATTCCATCCAAAGAAGAAATATACACCTGCCACTCAAAACACAGCTAATTTTGAGGATTCCAGTTGGAAAAATACTTTAAGTCAGACATCATGAATTCATGTCAAATTCCATCATCTAAAACTTGGGCAAGAAGTTCTTCCTTCTCACCACATTTTATTCATGCACAAAGGAAGACTGGTAGAAACAGTGATACGCACCTTATGAAATTTTATGTTGATATAAAATTTTACTTAAGTGCTTGATATTTTAATTAGCTTTCTGACCTTTCAAACTACTGTTCTGAGACAGTAGTTCTTACCAATAGGCCCTAGTCACATTCTAACAAGGGGGAAAGAAGTGTGATTAAGAAAAAGGTATCTGAGCATAACAACAATATCTTTTTTCTTTTTATAAAGAAATCTCAGTTTCTTTAACCTTGAATTTACTCCATCATATATAAGAACAAATATTAAAGAGCATAAAGTAGTAATACAAGGTTTTAGTCTCTCCCACTAAACAAAATAATTCTATTTCTTATACTTACACAAGTCTCACCCCACATTGTAAATCCACAGCAAGATTTGTGACAGCAAAGTCAAATTCATCAAATGGCATCTGAACATGGCTCACGGGAAATCCCAATAAGCTAAGGTGACGGGAGAGATCCCCTTCACCACTCAGGAAATCTCGTGAAAAAGCCAGAAGAATATCTTTACTGGCCTATAAAGAAACAAGGTGCAGGTATCACATTTCAATACTGTAAGTCTATCTACAATAAAAACGAAGTCCTTCTGATCACTGTATACATAGAGAAATAAATAGTGTAAGAAGATTGTTAGCTTCATATGTATGGCAACTATGTAAGTTCCATATATTTCAAATGTAAGACATGTTTATAAATGGTTCGTGCTGGTTACCAGTGGCTTATACCTGTATATCATTAACTAGCTATTTCAGGAAGCTGAGATCTGAGGATCGCAGTTCAAAGCCAGCCTTCACAGAAATGCCCATGTAATTCTTATCTCTAATTAATTAGCAAAAAAGTAAAATAGCAAACAGTAAAAAAGTAAAATAGTAAATAGTAGAGTGGTAGCCTTAAACAACAAAGCTAAAGGACAATGACCATGCCCCAAGTTCAAGCCCTAGGAATAGTAGGTACACACATAAAAAATTGCTCACAATTAACAATAACTATAATGGCATTAATTTTATAATACATTATATCAAAATTAGGGGAAAATTCTCCAAAGTTAATTCCTCAGCAAGTTACATTCATTGTCAAGTCAACATAAAGAGTAAGGATGGGGATTGGAGATGTGGCTCAGGTGTTAGTGCCAGCAATGAGCAAAAGCATCAGGTACTGAGTTTGCATCAGGTACCCCATTCAAGTCCCAATCTCAGGCAAAATAAGAGTAAAGATGATGCGAACAAGCAGTCAACAGATAGACATGCATTCTATCAAGCAGTCAATAGATAGACATGCATTCCTTTACTACCCCAAAATATATTTTCTACAGAAAATACACCATAAAAAGCATCAGGTATTTCAAATGGGAAATATTATAAAACAAAAGAGAAAACTATACCTTGAATTCAGCATCTTTACAAAAGAGACAAGGGTCATGATCAATAAGTCTGGAAATCTTAGCATGATCAAGGAAGCAGACCAAGAGCAGTAATTTCTTCAGTGTAAACTTGGACAAAGCTTCTTCATGACCTGAAATAAAGACACACAAGTTCACCTATAAAAGGAAGCTTCACCTGAGACTATGGCAGTAACAGGCTAGCAAAAAATTAGGAGCAAAAACAAATAAAACACTGCCCTTATATCAGTACTTATTATTTATGAATCTATTGTATAATTATACAGGGAATGTTCAATTTAATATTTCTATTACAAGGAGATGCCATGTTAACATCAAGAGATTTAGCTGGTCTATTCAGCAAATACATAATAAGCACGTATCATCTTCACATTCCACCCTAGGTGCAACAATGTAAAATAGCAAATTACAAAAATAAACCTCACAGTACTTGGAACCTAGGTAAGAATGATTATAGTGATAGAGAAGCTGATGGAGAACAGTGAGAGAAGGAAGTCGAAAGAGATTGACTTGGATTGGTTTCTTGGGGGAAGTAGAATACAAGAAGACAAATGACTAGAAGACATAATGCCCAGTATAGAAGATGACCTGGAAGAAGACACACTCACCATCTCTATAGAGATGAGGCACAGTGGGATGTCTATACTCAGCTGCTATCTCGGGATTCCAAAGCAAGCGATTCAGAATGAACACAGCCAAGCCAAGGACATCACTATTGTCTTCCAAAGATATGAGTTCTCCATAAATTGTCTGAAAAAAACATCAATGCCAAAGTCAAGATTATGCTGTTTCTCAGAAAGCAAGGAATCCATTGCATCAGTGCAGAGTTGGCAATGAGCTGCTCCCTAAATCCTACGGACATGACACGGCTACTTCACTAGACAACTTCTTTAAACTGCACATGTCTCATGCATTTTTAGTGTTTATAATAGAAATGAAAAATGAGGACTAAAACATTCTTAAGCATCTGCCAAGCAATATTTATTTTTCTCTTAAGCTAAAGAATTATCAAATATTTGCATGTTAGTCAAATTTCACTGTCACTGTGTCCCAGCAAATCTGTTATTAAAGTACACTAAAGGCATGACTCAAGTAGTAGAGTGTCAGCTGTGAGCAAGAAAGCCAAGTAAGAGTGTGGAGTCCTGAGTTCAAGCCCCAGAACCAGCGCAAACAATAAATGAAGATTAACGAAAAAGACATTCATTTTCTACCCAATGATCTTGTTTTCAGCAAGCAATGTGGGGAATGTTAATTCAGCTACAGCTCCAATATTATTTGACATGTGAGGAACAGATGGTTAATATGTAACTTACTGAGTACCCAAAGTAATAAAATAAAAAAATCTTAGCACTGAAACAAGCTATGTCACTATACTTATTCTTACTTTTCTCTGAGTGTCAAGTTATTGATACAGAAAAGCCAGGTGACTACAAAAATCTTCAGTAGCCCTAAATATTCTTCTGTTCTTAACTTGGAATAAATAAAAGTAACAATGAAAGGTAAGAAACCTAGAAGACTAAAAGTACAGAACACACTACTATAAAAGCAATGTGTCTTCCACTAACTCCTGTCAGTAGCTGCTGACTCAAGTAGTTTTAACAAGCTGGAAATTAGAGAGCTAAAACAAAAAAAAGAAACTAGATAAGTAACTCAAACTCTGATGAAGATTTTATGAGAAATTCTCCATCAGAATACCTTGAAAAGTGCTCTGGCATCGGCCTATGAAGGTTCAAGACCTGGCTAATTACGCATTTGGCAAGTCAGCTTAACATCATACCCTTTGTTTTACTAGTGAAAATAATAACACATACCTCACTGAGTTCTAAAGAGTTTAAATTAGAAAAGGTAGGCAGAACAGTTTAGTCTTTTCAACTCTGAAAGTTCAAAAATGAGCTGGCTATAATTGTTTTTACATCTAGCACCACGTATGTATTTTTAAGACTACACAGGTAGCTTACTCTGTAACAATATGGAAATAACATAATGGTATGGCCCAGTCACTTAATGAGTATTATTAATTGACCTTATAACTTATATACAAATAATAAGCAAATGATTTTATAACTTTCATAAGTAAAACCTTATTTTATTAAAGAGCCTCTTATTAAAAGCATGTAAATTAAATATATATAAATATATTTTTTCCCCCAAATCTGAAATACATGCTCACCTCAAGGCCAATTCGAAGCCACAAAGGATTGTATGACAACAGCCAATTCAGGACTTTCTGCCGTTCACCTGAAATAAAATTGTTTAAATCAATAATCAAACAGACAATAAATAAAATTCCAGGGCAAAAATATCGACACAAAAAACAAAAAAACAATCATTACTCAAAAGTAAAGCTGTGTCTCAAGTGGTAGAGCACTAGCCTTGAGCAAAAAGACAACCCAGGGATAGCACCCATTGAGTTCAAGCTCTTAGAACCAGCACAAAATGCAAAACAAAGTCATATTTAAATAAGAAATAATTCTTAAATATATTCAGTCATATGAAAGTCTAGGCAGATATACTCAGCTTTGGAATACAAAAATCTCTTGTGTATAAATACACGAAAAAACTAAAATTAGTGCCTGGAAAAGCTAACTCAATTCCATGTTTATGGCAGCATTACTGACAACAGCCAAGATATGAATGGGTATAAAATCTCCATCAATAGATGAATGTATGAAAAAATGTACTGAGTACATCTACACAACGGAATCCTTGCAGCCTTGAAGAAGGAAATCCTGTCATTTGGTGAAATATGAATGAACTAGGAGGACATATTGTTACATAAAGCAAGCCTGGGACAGAAAGGGAAATACTGCATGATCTCTCTTGTACCGGGAGAGTACCCTGCAGTGTCTGGGGAGATGTTGATTAAAAGAATAAACACTCCAGGTAGGCAAGAAGAATAAACACTGGAGATCTATTACACCATAGAGCACTGTTCATTTGAATTTGCTGAGAGTAGGTGTCCAGTGGCCCTCAGCCCTGTACCCTCTGGGTGCTAGCTGGTAGGTGTTCATTAGCTGGACTGTGCTCTTCATTTCACCATGTATACACACACCAAAGTCACACATTTTGAAGGTACACCACACCTCAATAAATAAGCTGGGGGAAACAAAGTTCTCAGTCTCTAGAGCCTTAAACAATAAACTCAAGATTTCCATGACCATCTTACCCACATCTTTCCAGAGGTGTCTATCTTTTCGAACAAGTAACCGTCCGGCTTCAATTTCAATTTCGAGCCTTTTAATGGCTTTAACCATATTCTCAGAAGTAAACAGACAGCATGCCGTGCGTCGCAACCTATTCAGCCGGCAGCGGGCAGTATAGGCTCTGAGAGACACTTCCTCCTTTGTGGGTGCTTTAGGCACACTTACTTTGTGTGGATTCTCCACGCCCAGAAGAAGAGTGGCAGCATTTACTAGATTAAAAACAAAAGGATAATCGGTTCTAGTTAAACAACATCCCTATACACTCTTAAACTTAGTAATAAAATGCAAATTAAGTCAAATTTCTTCCCTGTGACCTCAAGCTGTCACCATGCAGTAAGCACCTTTGGTCATCCATCATTACAACCCACTGGCTCTACCTGCAGGAAGGGTCCTGAGGTTAGCCACCGTCACCATCCCACAGACGCATAGTTCTCAGCACCATCATCTGTAATTCACACTAAAAAAGGGGTCTAACTGGTTCTCTGTGTCCATATTCTTCATGAATTAACAAAAAGTTAAAATTTTAAGTTGTTTTTGTGCCTTTAACTCAGGGCCTGGGCACTGTCCCTGAGCTGTTGTGCTCAAGGTTAGTGCTCTATCATGTTGAGGCACAACTCCACTTCTAGCTTTTTGATGGTTAACTGGAAATAAAAGTCTTATGAACTTTCCTGCCTACGCCAGCTTTGAACTGTATTCCTCAAATTTCAGCTTCTTGAGTAGCAAGGACTACAGGCCTGAGCTATAAGCACCTGACAGAAATGTAATTTTTTTAAAGTAATTTAATTTTGAAATATTATTTGAAAAAAAAAATTTTTTTGTCTTAGGGATTTGAACTCAGGGTCTCATGCTTGTTAGACAGGTACTCTTCAGTTAAGCCACGCCTCCAGCCCATTTTTACACTGGTTATCTAAGTGAGATATGGTTCCTTTCATACTTGAGATGACAGGTTTGTACCATGATCCTCAACTTCTTCTGTCTGGGTTGCCTGGAATCAAAATCCTTTCCATCTCTCTCAGCCCTTCAAGCAGATAAACACTAGCTACTCAGGAAATAGATCTAAGGATCGTGGTAGTTAAAGCCTGTCTAGGTAAACAAATCTAAGAAACCTTTATCTTTAATTAACAAGCACAAAGCTGGAATTAGAAGGAAGGCTCAAGTGCAGAATGTCACTGAGTAAAAAGAAGTTGAGCAAGAATATAAGTCCTGAGTTCAAACTCCACTACGAACCTGTGTGATAAAGCATTTAATCTTAAGACAAGAACTTAATATTGAACCTTATTTTCTATTGAGGAAAAAAAAAGTCATTCAAGAGCTCATCTAATCCAAGGACTCCTTTAATATAGAAATTCTGTGCTACTTCCCTAAGAAATACAAACCACTCGCTGTCTGCTTGAATACAACAAGAAAAAACACTGTTGTACAAGACTTGTCTCCTCGATAATTTGACAACTTCCTAAAGAGTTTTCAGTATTCGGATCTGAAATTGATCCTGATCATGAACGTCTACACAAGAGCTGCACAAGAGCAAACTTCTTTCTCTTTCAAAAGAAAATGCTGTGCATTTCTACCATGTCCCAACTTGTCCCCACGCCTTAATCTTTCTCTTCCGGAATAAACACTGAAACATCTTAAGAATTCCTCATATGTTCAGAATTCGGGCACCTTTCCCACATACTTCTTTTTTATTGTGAGAATACCATACAGAGGAGTTACAATTACACGGGCAATCCCACGTACTTCTTTAAGGTGACTGACAATAGAGTCAACATACTCCCAATGATCAGGTCACAGATCCCGGATTGCACCGGCGGACCAGAGAATAAAATGCACAAAGAGAAAATAAATTCCAGTATTGTCAGTGCAGAAAAATCTATGTAGGTAATAATAACCATTAGCATTTAGGACAATGAATCCATGACTCATGCCATTAAGTACAAATAATACAATATACATAATTAAGAGTAATATTAAAATCAAATATAAATTTAATATTTACCTTCAGAAACGCTTGTTTTTACCGTGAAGTCATCAGGAGTCAATATAAAATTCAGCCACCAAGTGAAGCCCTGTTCCTGCTTTTCCTTCCAGCGTTCATCATAAAACATATTTTTGGCAGCAAACGGCATTGGGTGCCTGGGCATAGCTATCAATACAGTGAAATGATTGCATTGGAAGATTTCCTTTAAATTATTGTACAATATATGGCAAAAGGCTTTTCTTTACATTAGCAAACGCATCTTTAGAACTGTGAATAATATTTTCTTTTTACTACTTGCTAGAAAGAACTAAAATTATTTTGTTTATGAAATACCTTCAGAGTAAAAAGAGAAAAGATAATTATTTCTTGAATATCTAAAAACCCTAAGTCATCAGGAGTCAATTTCAGTAAAGTATGACAGAACATCCCAATCATAACTTGAATACACACTTAAAACATTCTTTAAGACAAAGCTGACTCATTTCCACTTGCAATACAATTAATGTTTCTTTCAGTGTCACTTTCTCAAATACCTTAAATACAATAAACACTTGCCTGTTTTTAATGGCTTGATGAAGGTCAGATTCGATTGTGCCACAGCAATAACGCGCTTTCTCCTTTTGCTCGTTTTAGAAATAGGTGTTTTAAATACTAATGAATCTAAAATTAAAAAAAAAAAAGAACAGCATCACAAAAACAAGCTCCCCAAGCAGTCAACTGACCTTAAAGTTAAATTTGAGATTTCCACAACCATATTCATTTAGCAAATACTCGGTAACTCCTGTGCTCCTGGTCCTATTGTCGTGAACTCAAGTGGTCAAAAAACACCAGCACCTGCACGTTTCTACAACTACAACCTAGATTCACTTATTCCAGACTCTATGTGAAGTGCAAGGAAAATGCAGAAATGAAAGATATGACCTCAACCATCTCTCAGTCTGGTATGGAAGAAGTTTAGAAGAGGCACAAATGCCCTTGGACACAGGAAGGCTCTAAGGCTGACTCGTAAGATGAAAACTAGGCATACTGCCTGGTGACCGAACTGCAGTAGGATAGCAAAAACCAGGCGAGAAACAGCATACAAGAGGACAGAAGAGGCAGCAACACCAACAGTAACAACAGCTAATACCTGAATACACTGCTATCTATATACCACCAAATACCGATCCCTTACTTATATAATTATCATAGCAAATCTAGGAGTATGAAAATTACCCGTAATTTACATAATTGGGATAATTTACATAGTAAGAGCAATTAAACCAGTGTGGTCAAGGCCATACAAGATAGGGAGTGGCAGGATTCGAACCTGGACTGAACAGCTGCACAGTCTGTATCAGTACTGTCAGCGCAAAAAAATCTATGTAGGTAAAAGTTAGTATCTCCATAAACTTTAGCATCTAGGACAATGAGTCTATGTAGATACATAGGTGTGGCAGGAGTCACAGATTCATTGTCCTAAATGCTAAAGGTCATGTAGGCACTTATTTCTGCACTGAAGGTACTGGTACAGGCTCTGCAACTCTGCCGTCTAGGTTGATGACAGTACAGGTTTTACTCCAGCATAAACTGCTACTGAAGTAAGCAAAGGAGTGTGGGCAGTCAGCAAACTACAAGCTACCATCCAGGATGAGACAGAGTCTAAAATGTTCCTGAAGGTCAAGGGTTAGGGTCAACAAGAAGCTTCCCACTGAGACAACTGCAGGACCCTCCCAGCCGAGGAGGAAGAGAACCAGGAGAGGGGATGGCAAGGCAGGATTCTAAGAAGGCTCAGAGTTCTGAACAGTTGCTAACAGTTCAAGAAGAAGAGCAGACATGATCACTGGATTTACAATTGACCAGATACTCTATTCGTCTGTTTTAAACAACTTTTAAAAGAATTCATATTCTCTTTCTGATAGCTCTCCTCTAGGTACTTATTGGCATACCTTTCTGCATATAGGTAATATTTGAGTGAAAAGGTATTTTCTTGAAGTAAAATCTCAACTGGAACAACACTTATGTTGGCTATTTCCCATTCCTCTCCAATCAGTCTGGCTCCATTCCTGGAACTTTTCTTACCAGGGCCAACAGCTATGGGTTAATCAGGTCAGAACTCTATCATACGAAGAGGAGCATCTGAGCTTCTATTTTCTCAAATGAAACAGGAAGATCATCAGTCCTGAGACCCTGACTGGGTTAAACCTCAGCTACATCACTTATTATTCTGTGACCTTGTGGAAAACTGCTCCATTTCTTAATTCAAAATACTTCTGCATTCATGATACTATACTTGAGGTAATGACATTTACTTCATAAGAATACTGTAAACGTTAAAGAAAGCAACAGGAAAGCACTCACAATTGTGGACACATTTTCAGAAAATGTTAATTACTATTATCAGGCCTGAGAGAAAAGGAAAGGTCGCAGGAGAAAGCGAGAGATGAGACAGCCTATAGCAAAGTGATAAAATATAGGCAAAAAAAAAAAAAAGAGTTGGCTTAATTGAGGTTAGTAATCATTAACAAATTCAGGATACAGCCTGGAGCTAGAATTTTGTGGGAAAACAAGGAAGGGAAAGATGGGTGAGTGAAGGGAGTGATGAATTACTGAATTCAAGCTGTAAGGATGGGATGAACATACCAGAGGTGAGGGAGATCAAGGAACTGCAAGTGTTGAAGGGTATGAAGAATGCTAGTGTGCACCTGTAGAGGAAAAGCTGAAATCATAGAGATGGTGACTAGAGACCAAGAGGCTTTTAAGGTGAATCATGGCCTTAGGAGGTACTGGCCAGAAGCCAGGTTTTTAGAAGACTCTCCTACAAGAGTTTGCCAATCATGTTAGAGTAGTGTGAGAGACAGTATCATATATCAGACTGAAAATTTGGGGAGTAATTATTTAAAACTCAGAATTAGTGCAGAAATTTCAGGAGCAAGCAAAATCTCAAGGTTTCCTATTGAAGAGGATCACAACTATTTCAGAATTTAGTCTTATACTACTATGCCATTTACTCCATATTTCTCTTATCAGATCCCTAACAGTTTAAGTCAACACAAGCTCATCAGCAACAGATTAAGCCAAAACAAAGAGATTTACTAAACCAACACAGGAAATACATCCTTTATGAATACACTTCCCCTAAAGATTTTAACAAAACTCACCAGATTTCTTCCTCAGGCTTAATTTCTCCCTGCTGCAACTATGTTTAGAGACAGGAGTTACCATCTTCTTGTCCTTTCTAACAGTTGATGTTTTAGATTCCGAGGGAGAAAAATGGATTCTTTTAATGTCACACACTTCCGAATGTTGTGTAAGGACGTCCTTCCCATCCAGATCCCCCATGCCTCCATCACTCTTCCGCTTACGGGCAGCCAGAGGAGTGATTTCATGTGCGTAATTCTCCAATTTCCTTTGGCTGGGATCTATAACTGGAATAACTGGAAGATGGAGAAGTGTCTCTCTCTCTCTCTGGTTACCTAGCACCTTTTCGCATTCACCTACCACACTGTTGAGACATCTTCTTGTTTGTGGCTTAGGGACGTCAGTTTGGTTTTCCCTGGCACAGGTGGGCTTCCTTCTAACAACAGTGGCAGTGAGTATCGGGCGTTTCTTAGGTTGTTTGTTGTGGCCTTGATAAGGAACATCTTGAACAGCAGAAAATGCAGGACGAGTCTGTTCTGTACAACTGGAATAGTTTGACTTTGTTTCTACAGGTTTTAATTCTTCAAAAATCTCCTTGGGAGTTTTTGAATGCTGTCGTTCAGGAACACGTAGTAAAACTCCATTTTCTTCCCAATCCCGAGAACACTGCAGGACCTGAGAACTTTCATTTGCTAATGGTTTACCTGTTTGCTGAGATATACATACATGTGGCATGTTATCCTTTACAAATTGACTTGGGGATAAAATAGTATGGATGGACCCTGATTGTAGATCCTGATTTAGCCCATAATTGTCCTTTACAAAAGAATCTGGGCTTAAAATTGCTTGGCAAATTTCGGGTAGGATTTTGGATTCCAAACACACAGGCTTCAAACTGTCCTTCGCAAATGTGTTTGCTGAGATATGTGTCATTAACCCTGGTTCATCATTAGCTGCCTGGCTGTTTTTTACAAAAGAATCTGGACTTATAAAATGTCTTTGGCTTTGTATAAAGTTCAAAGTCGAAGAACAATTTGGGGTACGAATAAGTTTACCATTCTCTTGACTTGAACCAGGAATATTAATGGAATTAAAGCAAGTTTCAGTTATGACTTTCTCATTGAAATGAAAGTCTTTTGAATTACCAGTTCCTTCTACTTGCTCTCCATTTTCAGAGGCAGGAAGAGATGAGTAGGCAGTAGATCGGCGTAGAAAAAGTGGCAAACAGGTTTCTCCATGGCACTCTTTGAAAGCAGGGCTGATAGGTGATATAGGTATTTTATTTTCTTCGAGAGCTAAAGCATTGCTTTTGGTTGGAGAACAGTCTTCACTGGTAGTGAGATTCTCACAAGCTTGCAGGGGGCTCCTAACTCTGGCTCCTTTCTGTGAAACATTAAATGTTTCATTGATATTTTGAGTATTTGAAATCCTTTTATGGTGAGTTGAAGAGACTGGAATTTTCTTCTTGCTAATGGTGTCCCAAAGACTCTTCTGTAAAAATAAGCAAATATGTTGATCAAGTTACAAGATGTTGACTGTTACTTTCATTTTTTTATTTTATTTATTTAGTGCTAGTCCTGGGGCTTGAACTCAGAGCTTGGGTGCTACCCTGAGTTTTTTTTCTCTAGGTTAGCATGTGCTAACACTTGAGCCACAGTGCCACTTCTGCTTTTTGATGATCAATTAGAGATAAGAGACCCATGGACTTTCCTGTCCAAGCTGGCTTCAAACTACAATCCTTAGATCTCAACCTCCTGAGTAGCTAGGATGACAGGTGTGAGTCACCAGTGACATATGTTACTTCCAGTCTATCACTGAAGTAGTACATAAGAATTCTTATATTATTAAACATTTTTCTGAGAGTATACACACAATGACTAAAATAGTATCTTTCATGCTAATTTATTTTATATGAAACAATAATAAAAAAAAAAAAACACAAGGAAGAGAATTACCTTTTTCTTTTTTTGTTCTTCAGCATTCCCTAATAATATAGCTTGGTGTTTCAGGATATCATTAACAACAAATGTCACAATCTCTCTTACTCGGCCCTCTTTCACCGGTGTCCAGGTAACAGAAATAACAATCTTTTCTTTAGGCTATAATCAAAGGAACAAATTTTAAATGATTACAATAATAATTATACAATAATCAAGATACACTATATCCAAATTAGAATAGGGAATAATAGTTATTCATCAATAATCCACAGTCTAAAAGCATTCAATAAGTCAAACATTTTTCCTACTCTCATTTTCCTGCTTATTTCAAGCTAAGGGGGAAAAAGTCACTAGCAGTAGCAGGGTCCAAGCTCATTATATGAAAGCAATGGAACAGGTAAGTTTCCGCATGATTTTTTTTTTTTTTTTGGTTGGTCGAGGGGCTTGAACTCTAGGCTTGGGCACTGTCCTTGCACCCTTCAGCTCAAGGCAAGCACTCTACCACTTGAGCCACAGCTACACTTCTAGTTTTTGAGTGGTTTATTGGACAGAAGAGTCTCATGGACTTTCCTGCCCGGGCTGGCTTTGAACCTCCATCCTCAGATCTCAGCCTCCTGAGTAGCTAGGATTACAGGCGTAAGCCACCGGCACCCGGCTTCCACATCATTTTTATTGGTTTAAAAAAAGCTCGTTATGGGGACTGGCATTCAAGTGTGTGCTTAGCATGCACAAGACTTCTGGTTTAAAAAAAATGTTCTTTATTATGAAAAGTACTTCTACGTCATAACAGCGACCCTACATCATACTCTATGTAAAAAGAAATATAAGTATGTACAACTAATTTCACTCTTCCAACAAACTCCTCTACCCTCCATATCTTAATACAAGTCTTTGCTAAGCAACCATGTTCCAGGCATGAGAGAAGGTACCCCTCCCCCTTTAACAAACTTGTTCAATGCTCACATCCCCAAGAAACAGGTACTATGGTGATGTGTGTTTTGCAGAGGAAATCATGAATGTCCAGACAGCTTCGCCACAGTCAAAGAGTTCAGTCTGACCCCAAGTTCAGACTTTAACATCAATACCACACCGCCTACCACAGAGAATCTGCCAAATACAAAGCCTTGACATGACAAACTTACTTCCTAAGGAAAAAGGTAAGTTTCTGTTTGAAAAGAGAACCAATAAAGCATTATATGCTGCTGGTTAAAATAAAAGTAATATAGAATCTGTTTGTTTGTTTGCCAGTTTTGGCTCTTTTGCTAGAGGCTAGTGCTAAGTCTCATGGACTTTTTTGCCCTGGTTGGTTTTGACTCAACGATTCTCAGATCTCAGTCTCCTAAGGAGTCAGGATTACATGTGTGAGCCATCTGTGTCCAGCAATAATTCAAATTTTACTCTACAATACCAGTCTAGAAACAGTAATTTACTTGTTTAACAAAATAGAAAAAAGTAAAAGCATTATGTAGACAAGAAAGCAATCTATCTTTTCACACAAAAGGACAGCTGCCATTCGCTGTTCATGCAACAAAAAGGAGGGTGACAGGTTCTGAAGTGCAGAGAGCCATTGTGACCATTAGGTGGCAGCTGAACTTAGTCTCCCTTGCTTACTCCTCAGTCTCTCCTTCCGGACCTTAGTAAGTAGCTAGTAAGTAGCTTAGTAAGTAGCTTAGTCAAGTAGCTCAAACCGCTTCCAATGCTTCCTATAAGTTCCTAGGTCCTACTCAAAAAGGACACAGTAGCCACAGAACACCATATGGATTTTGGTGAAGAGACTGAGAATATTACCCCAGGCAATGAGATGCAATGCAATGTTATTTTTTTGTTAATGCAGTTTGTTGGAACATTCATAAAATTAAACTTGATACACCACTACTGCACCCAGAACAAAGACAGAAAAGTGTGCAAGCATTCCGCATGTGTGGAAAACCACCCTGAGGAAGTCTGCCAGCTGTGGCCATTTAGGCAAAACACACGTTCACCAGAAAACGCGGTTGCTCCCTCTGAAAATGGGAACTAAAGAGCAAGCTTAAGACGGGAGGCTGCTGAAATAAGTAAACGGACGGATGGATGGACAGACAGCTAAGATGATGGACAGATCTCACAAATGTATTCGAAATCACCTTTGTAAGAAATGAGAATATTACAGAGTCCGCTCTTGGAAAGGGGGTGACAGTGACCCAGACGCACTGACATGTGACACGGAACCCCCTTGTTCTAGCTAGAGCTAAGAAAAACAGTTTGTAAGCTCCCATTTCCCGCCCGGGGAGCAGGGAACGCTTCCTCGTTCATCCTGATGTGCTAAAACCCTTGCCAAAAATAAGAATAAAAATCAAACAGGAAGTTCAAAAACGGCATCACCTAATGCGTCTAGAACAGCAAGGAACGTGTCTGTTTCTCGGCAACGTCCGTGTACCCGGCGCAAATCGCCGGCCGGGTCCACCCAGAGGTGATCCAGGTAGAGATGCCGTCGGGGATGCGCGGCGCATGCGCACTGGCTCCGGCGCCTGCAGGCGCGACCGTCCGCGGGGTACCGCACACAGGCGTGTACCGCACACACACACAGAGGCGTGTGCATCTACGCCGGGGGCGCCCCGGGGACCCCCCCGCCCCGCCCCGCCCCGCACCGCGGACCCGCGTCCCACCTGCAGCTCGCAGCGGCGCGGCTCCACGCTGAAGCCCCGGTCGGCGGCGGGGACGCGGACGTGCACCTCGGCCGCGTCGTCGTGCGGGTTGAGCAGCAGCAGGGGCCGCGTCCGCGACGCCCCCACGCGGACGTCGCCGAAGGAGACGAAGGGCGACCGGCAGAAGTGGCTGAGCGAGAGGACGGCCGGGGAGGCCGGCGAGGCCGCCGCCGGCTCCCGCCGCTCCGCGCCGCCGCCGCCCCGCTCCCAGCGGCTGCTCGCCGCTCGCCGGGTCGCCATGTCCCGGCCTCCTCCCGCCCCGCGTCCGCGGTGGTGAGCGCGGGGAACTTCCAAGGCAAAGCCGCCGGCCCTGAGCCCTCCGCACCCAGCGCGCGGGGAACGGCGCCCGCGGAGTCCCGCCCGGCTCCCGCCCGGTGTTTTTGCCTGCGTTTAAACTGCGCCTCTCCACCAATGGGCGCCCTCGGGCTCCGCCCCCCCTCGTCGCGACGCAGCCAATCGGGAAGCAGCGGCTGCCAGCCAATGGGGAGGCAGCGCCTCGTTTAAATGTTGGAGCGGCTGCCGGGTGCGGTGCTTCCTGCCCGGGAGGTGTCTCGGAGGCCTGGCAGCGAGGCCCGGGCCACGCCTGCCGCGAACGCAGTCACCGCGGGCGTCCCCGCACAAGCTCCCCCTCGTCCTCCCCGTCCTCCCCCTCCTCTTACCCCTCCTTCCCGTACTCCACCCCCCCCCCCCCCCCCCCCGGCACTGTCCCTTAACCTTTTCTACCACTGAAGTCACAGCCTCATGTCCAGCTTCTCACTGGTCGTTGGATGTGAGTCTCGTAGACTATCCTGGCCAGGCTGGCTTCAAACGGTGATCCTCAGATTTCAGCCCCCTGAGTAGCCAGGAGTACAAGCTCGGTGTCCCAACCTGTTTCCTACCCCCAGAAGACTGGTAGGAAGACTAGATTGATGTAACCTGAGATTCCCATGGGTAAGATTTTTGGTAAGGATCTGATCATGAGGGTTGTATATTAGCATAGAACTATGTGTTGGATTGCTGTGAACCCTTTTCATGTTTATCTCAAACTTGAACCTATGAGATACTTTGCAAGATTGGCATATAGCTACCTAGTAAGTGGAAAGGCCAGAATAGGTACCCAGACAACAGAGTACAGGTGTAGCTACAAGAGACACAGAAAGAAAAATCAAGAGTAGAAAAAAGCAAAATGAAGAAGAATTAGGAATCATATTCAGTGACACCCAATTTGACAATCTGACTTATTGAGTTATCCTAACAATATTTAATCAAAGTTGTTCATAGAGAATTATTTATAATCCTTCATGATTCATACACATTTTAGTAAGAATATAAATATGAATTACGATTATTTTCAAATATACTTAGTTTATATTTACTACTTACTGTGAATGTTATTTATCAGATTAACACTGTAAACAAACCCTCTCCAGACTAAAACACACTGTTGGAACTCCTAATATCTAATTATATAGTGATTATATATCTAATCTATCTAATTATAAAAGTGAAATAATTGTACACATACTATAGCGACATTATTAAGAGTTTCATGTACATTTGCTCTTAATCTTCATAGTAGTTGTTGACTAGCATTGTTTTGAGGAATTAGAATGATCTGTGCTCATAGTTTTTACTTGCTTTTCCACTGCTGCTTTCTGCTAATTTAAAACCTGCTCTTTGCTGTGGGATGCCACTCTGTGTTGGCTATGGCCATGGTTTTCTTACTTTGTGGTTCTCTTTTCCCTAGAAGAAGAGGAGGCCACAGTAGTGGCCTTGTCTCCCACTGCCTCATATATATCACACATAGCGGTAGAGGTCAGATGGACACTGTCTTTACCCATTTCCACCTCTCTGCTACTTATGGTTGCCTTACACCTGGCCACATCTTTACAATAGTCCATTTGTCAACATATCCTCTATTACACTGAATAAGAGTAATATAATTAACCTTGTGACCCTGACTAAGCAGGACTGAAGGTGTGATTCAGAGTGCCTGCCTAGAACAAAGTCTAGCCATTTCAAATCCCAGTACTACCAAAAAAGGAGGAGGAAGATGAGGCAGAGGAGGAGGAAGAAGAGGAGGGATAAATATTCTAGAATAAAGGTGATCCTATTTGAAAAAGCACAAGCATAATTCATGCTAGGGAGGAACAGATCCTGATGAGCTGAGCCACATAGTATCACTGTGACTACTTGAATTACTCCTAGTGGTAACGTGAGACAAGTATACATGGAAAGCAATGTATTCAAAGATCAAGAGGCTGCAGCATTCAGTTGTTATGCCAACATAAAGAATATAGTGCAACCCAGTTTTGCTTGACCATGCCAGACAACACAGAGAGGAGGAAAAATGAAAACCTGTGAAGCAAACAACTAAGGCTATTTTCTGAGAACCAGAAGCCATCCATAAAGCTCCAAAGAAATCCTTCAATTTCTATAGTCTTAGGAAAAATAATGGTCCAGGATTAAACCCAAATATCTGAAAGGAAACTCAAGGGCTGATAGTAAAATGTAACAGTACCATGTAAATGCCCATTGGTGCTAGTTCTTTTAGGCTGAGGTTGAGCAGATTTAAAAGGAGAAGGAATGGCCTGGAGTTCCAATCTGGAATGTTCCCCAGAGGGCCACATCAAGCATTGGTTCTCAGTGATATCGTCGTATGTGTACCAGGGTTTCATAGGTGGGGTCTAGCCATTTGCACCTACACACCAAAAGATGAGTTAAGGGTAAAGGGCAGAGAAAGGAAGTTTCTGATGTGGCATACAGCTGTGGAGAAAAAGCACTTCATCCCATCTTTCCTCAACAGTCATTTGCCTTAGGCTTAAATAGCAAGAAGAATGTGGGTGGGGAGTGAGAAGTCACAGGTGGGTTCTGGGGTCCTGAGTGGCAGTGACAGGTGCTCTGGAAGTGCTTTGTCTCTACATGGGTCAGGTGGAGCATGATTATACAAAATGAGTCGCTTATATCTGCTACCCAGTCTTGTTCTTCCTGGGTTCCAAGATGGCAGCGAAGTAACTGGCTCAGGAACGATGACATAGATATGGAGAGGAGGGACAAATGCTTAGCGTTTATCCTGGGCTTGGATGGTTTGCGCATTCAAGTGAGGACTTGTGCTCCTCAGTAAAAGCAACTGTTGGCACAAGTTACAAATTCATGTCTTGGATAGGACTAGTCCTTCCTCTCTCTCGTTCCCCAGGTAACAAGTGAGTGCACTCTTGCTCTTTCTTCCCACAGGCCTGACCCATCATCAGTGGAAACCTCTAGAAGTGTGAACCCAAATGAACCTCGTCATAGGCTGACTATCTCAGCAGGTATCTATCTTAGTTATAGAAAATGAACCCAGTGACATGTGGACAAAACCGAGAAGGAAGATCACTGTAATGTGTATTTCCAGAAACTTCCCTGGGCAGCAGGGCAGCCCCTTTTCCGGGTCCCACTTTGAGGGACCTGATTCTTTAGTCTTTGGTAACTGCATCAGGAACAAGGACTCATGACTCTGAAAATCTTGCTCAGTTTCTACCCTCTCTCAATCCTCATGAACTCTCCCTAGCCCAGGTTCCAAAAAATAAAATCTGGACAGAAGAACAAGGGAAAGATGTACTATGGGAGGAAATACGCTGCAGACCAAAAGAGTTATGAGACTCCGACAGTCTAGAGTAGATTATAATGGTGTTGGATCAAAGTGACTAGTCTTAAGAAATAATCAGGTCAAATTCGTCTTGGGTGTACTTTACCTAATCAATACATTGAATCAGTGGCTTTAATAGCCTGCGAGGTTCATTCATTAAAGGCTGAACTCAATAGAGCTATACGGTCCAAAAGATGGGAATGGAGAAAATTTGTTTGTACAATCTACTCAGCCAAACCTGCATTAAACCTTACACCACACGCACGCACACACACACACACTCACAGAGAGAGAGAGAGAGAGAGAGAAATGAATTAACCAGGATGACTTAAGAACCCTGGAAAAAATGTGGTGACTGTTCTTTATATTCCAGAAATGGTCTCAGTGGAAGTTTAATGAACATAAGCTTTGTCATCTCCAGAGGAATGACAGGACACACAAGTGGTCAGGGCCCATCAGTACTCACCTGACAAGGTGACACATGCTCACCACGATGTCAAAGATGGAACAATTGAGTCAGGGGTTTGTGACAGTAGCTAACCTTTGGGAATAAGCAGTGTACTGTGGTGCTGCTTGATTATATAAAATACTATATGACGTGTAATACTACATCTACAAAGAGGAAGCCTCATTGAAGTCTGTTTCATGGTGATGTCACAGCCCGTTGTCCAGTTGAGAGGGCCAGTACTCCTTGGCTATAAGAAAGGACTCTGCAACGTACATGCCATAAATCTTCACTTTTTCCAGAGGTAGCTGTAGCCATTTATTAATATATTGTGGACCAAGCGGAGCGAGATGAGACTATCCAGAGGTTTTTTAAAAGACACTAGCTCAGCTTTTCTGCTACACTTCAATGACAAAATGCCACCACAGCCCACAGGTCCTAGCAGGAGATGCTGGAGATTAAGGAATAAATGTACCTCGTCCTGAGTCTTTCTGACAGTGGCTGCTGCCTCCATCCAGCTCCAGAATATAGACTGGGAACCTTGTTAACAGCATTCTCACCCTGGGCTCCAGATCCAAGAACTGAGGGATCTGATAGAACCAAATAGAAAATCCCAAACGTGCCCCCTCCCCTCCTAGACAGTGATTATTCTGAAGGCTTGCCAAGCATTGGAATAGTGAGTGAATCCACATACAAACTTTGCTTTTTCCTTGTTTCCCTTCATTGGAGATACTAGATCCACTTCTGTATAAGTGATTGAATGCTTCTCTAGCTTCTGGGCTAGTTAGCCTTCCTGCCTTTAGTAATACTGTCTGCAGGGAGGGACCTCTGTCTTCTTGGTAGTTCTCAAAATATCAACTGTTGCATTTTTTTTGAAAGATTTGCTAATTCAACCTCTAGAACTGATTGACCTGAAAAGTCATCCCACTTGCAAGTTAGTGTCATAAACACTGGCTCAAGACACCACAGTCCTGAGTTAAAGACAAATGACTTCATTAGGCAAAGAAAAAGTAGGAGCCAGGCTGTGTCAGCATGTCCCATCGATTTCTCCTGTACCCCAAGTCTCATGGGAGCAATACAGAACACCACTGTTGGATGCCTGCCCACCGGGCAAGTGGGTTACGTGAGAAATTCGACTTTGAGTTAGTTTTCGATAGTGGTGTGCGTAGCTTAGAGGATACATCACAGGATCCTTAAGGAATGCCCTGAGAAACAATGTGGGTGAAGTTTAGTCATGACTGCATTCTTGGCAATCACAAAGTCGTGAAAGCCTGTTCAGGGGCTATGGTGAATTGTATTGCACGTTATATCTAATACATCTATGCAGTAAATTGTAAGACTGACATGTGTGTCTGTGTTGTGTGCGTGCCTGATGTCCTTTTAACTAGAGACTATTTGCACATGCACTGTGCCCATGGTGGCTGTGATGGGGTAGAAGCTAGGAAGGAGTTCAAAGAGGAGCTTTCCTTAGCAATGGCGGAGTGCATAACCTTCCGACGGAGGCCAATGCTAAACCTCAAGTGGGACCAACTAACCACTTGTAATACACAGTCTCATTCAACTTTTCCTACTCCCATGATGGAAATATTTTGCCTCTGTGGGATAAAAAGCATTTTCTGAGTATAGTACAGACCCAAGGACTGACAGGAAGCTTTGCCTCTAACCACTGAATCTGTGTTTTCCAAATGTCAAAATTTCTTTGCCTGTCCTCTCTTCAAAAAGGGGAGTTTACCTTGTGTTTCTTTCATGGGAACAGAAGTTGGTAGCTCCTAATGTGGCAGCAATGACGCAGTATTACTTCCACAGTGAGGCTAAAGGTTGAACTTAAAGCCTTGGTTTGTTCTTTCTGGGGGGAAAGAGGGGAATGTAGGATGGGAGATAGCTGCCATATCATGTAGGCAGCCCAAAGGAAAGGCCTTATGATACAGACGGGACAATGGTCACATGAGTGACTTTGGAAGTAAAGCATTCCCCAGAGATTCCAATGCTGATGAACATTTGACTCCAACCTCATGAAAGACTGAAAGACCCACCCAGCTAAACCACTTCCAAACTGCAGACCCTCAGGTCCTTTGAGGTAGTAACTATTTTGTTTTAAGCCACTAAATTTGGTCTGACTCGTTAGTAAGAGAGTACTGTATACAATATAAGCATCAGAGTATACATTCTGCAGAAATGGGCTTCTGGTCAGTTTTCTGGTCTTATAACACATGGAAACAGCTCCTTAATAGCAATTGTCTGCAGAAAGCTCTGTTGTGGACAAGGTGGAGACATAACAAGACTTGTGCACAGTCCAACTGAACACCATTTATGCCTTAACACTAGTGATCATTTCTTCCACAACCAGAATGCACAGATCTGAAAATAACCAGCAGATCTCTGATTTCTTCAAGAAAAATAGTAAGCCAAGCACCAGTGGCTCACCAGTAATCCTAGCTACTCAGGGGGCTGAGATCTGAGGATCATGGTTTAAGAGAGCCAGGCAGGCAAGCCTGTAAGACTCTCTTACATTTACTAAACTTCTAAAAGAGCTAGAAGTAGAGCTGTGGCTTAAGTAGTAGAGCACTAGCCTTGAACACAAAAGCTCAGGGGACAGCGCCTAGGCCTGAGTTCAAGCCACAGGCTGGGAACCAAAAAACAAAAAAGTTATCTTTAATATTTAAATTTATATTCAAACACACACTTTTTAAAGTAACATGTGCTTTATAAAAAATGTTTTTAAATTTCCCCCAAGAGCTTACACATAATACCCAGACACACACACACACACACACACACACACACACACACACACACACACACACACACGATACTTGGCTTTTCATTTGTTCAATTTTTTTTGTACTTAAATTTTACAGAGAAGTTTGCGGAACATTCTGTTCCCATGTGGTAAAGAAGTAACTCAATACAACTTGAGACACACTTTATTAGGACCAAATGACTATTTATTTTAAATATCAAAATAACACAAAGAACTAATTCAATGTACAAGACACTTCCTATTCTTCACAAATAACTACCTTTTTTCTATAGACATTTATCCATAAGGAATATGAGACAAATTATGTATTAAAACTCACAAGATACTTCACACACAGTTGACAATGACTTTTTGATATTTTAGATTTTCTTTTGTAATTGCTTTCAAGTGTCCTTTATTAAAAACAAAAAGTTATGATGTGAGGCTGAAAACAAGTTCAAAAGCATTTGTAATCAATGTACATCGTAACTCTCCATTAGAACAGTTACTACACAAGGCAGAGCAGCTAAACACCCAGATTCCAGCTTCCGCATTCTCGTGTGGCAGCTACACCCATCAACTGTAGTACAATTTTATTTCTAGGATCAGAAGAGTCTGGTTGTTGGAAGCAATAAAAAAAAGTGTCATTATACCACAGTACACTGTCAAGACTTTCTGCAAGCAGGAATATCAGAGGTACAGCTATACAATGGCGCATTTGTGATCTTCAAGGTAATGTTTTAGAATCTCTGGCAGTAATGCAAACACTGAAATTACCTTTCCTTATCTAAGAATTTGAAAAATATAAGGTCATTTTCTTCTTCATATAACCTCTATGATCTGGATAAAATTCCTAATTTCTCTGTATCTAAACAACTGCAGAGATTGAATTTAAATTCTTTTGGGATTAAGTCACAGATATATAAGATCAATATCCAAAGAGTTGAAAAATGAAAAAGGAGGAAAAGGTACACACATTCTCTACCAAAAATCTCTCATAGTATTACTTCTTTGTTATTGTTACTTCCAAAGAGAGAACAGAACACATGCCACTATTCTCAGAGAAAAGTATCCTAAGTAAAAATAACAGGAAACAAAGGAGGACCTTCCCTTAAAAAAAAAACCAAAAAAAACTACCAGCTGTGCTGAGGAAAATGTATGAAAGAAAAGGGTAGGCTCTATACAAGAATTGTCTAGTTCCCAGAAATGGTTTAGAAAATTATTCCCACATTATCCACTATTGACACAAACAGCAAGTACCATTTGCCATACTACTACTTAAAAAGTTTTCTGAAATGCTATTTGTCCCTTATTAAAAAATACATTTCGGTCATCTAAAATTTGGCACTAAATCTTAGAATATCCGGAGATAACTTTGTTTAAAAGTCCTAATTTTTCCTGAGTTCATTAACTCAATTTACATATGTGTTAAGAGGTTGCCTCCCCTAATGAGAAACTTCTCAAACTAGCACCCCTGCGGAGGATTAAGCAAACTGACACAAGAAGTCTTGCTCACCTGCACGGAGGGGGAGTGATGACAATTGGCTGAAAAGAGAATGAGAGAGGGACAGACAGAGAGAGAGAGAGAGAGAGAGAGAGAGAGAGAGAGAGAGAGAGAGAAAGACTGAGGTGATGGGGCTACTCATTTGATTTTTCAGGTTCTTCCAATTAAGTGTCTAGTGTCTAGCTAGAGACAGTCCCAGGAGTGGCTTCACTATACAGACTTAAAAAAGATAGGAAAATCACAAAAATAAATGTTCACATGTACTTAATGTCAATTTTCCTACATAAACATAAAGCAACCTAAAAAAGAAAAAAATCATTGCCCAACCAGCAGGCAGCACAAACAGAAGACCCCTAACAAAACCAAACAAATCAATCATTAACCTATACAATCTAATCAGCAGAATCAACTGGAAGCAATCACTACACTTTGAAAAGGCACAAAGTATTTAGTCCAGAAAGATGTAAAGATGAAAGGTTAAAAATGTAACTCTTCATAATAAATTAAAAGTGATGTGATAATTCAAGCTATATGCATAGCTGTCTACTTAGTGTTTAAAGCCAATTATAGCAGAAAGCAACAAAGAATATTCATTTATTAGCCCTTAACACTTCTCAGTCACTCTGTAAGGATGATTGACACTTCTTAAGGTTTGGAGAAAATTGTTAGTGTACTTATTCATGACCTACCATCACTTATGATGTAGTCACTTACAAAGCACCAGTTTAAAACCATATTTTTTTACTCCTTTTTTTTCTCTCATCATGAATTTCTAAATCACTTAAATATATGAGAAATCTACCACCTCTACAGTTGTTGATTATAGGTATCCTGCTGATATAAGGAGCTAACCCTAAATTTAAGTATTATTTTAGAATAGCTACAAAAAACAACAACAAAGAAAAACAGGTGGAGGTTTCTTATAAAAATAACTTCAACTTGATCTTCAAAAAAAAAAACTAAGGCAAAAATTATTTTGATAATGTAGTGTAAAAATAAGCTTATTATTCAGCATATGATAGTGTTCACTGAAAACAACATTCAATTAAAACTGAGGAAAACTGTTTGTACTTGTAATTGGTTTATCAGTACGACTATTCCCAGAGTATTTTCTTCTGCTCTTAGTTTTACACATATAAACACAAACATTTAATACTTAATCTCAGTATTCAGACTTAATGGTATTTTTTTTCTTAAAAAAAATCCATTATCCTAAGACTTCAGCTGTGCTTCTTTGGACAAATATTTATTCAAACACCAAGAATGTAAATTCTTAAAAACTATTTAATACCTACTAAAAATCTTTGGTGCATTTAAGTCAAAACTGATCAGGTTAATAGAGTTCTGCACTTGATAAATTATTCAATTTACATATTAAGTGCTAACTGCTATCTGCTAAATATTAATTTAAAACAATAAATTATACTCACAAAATAAAAAAATTCTCACTGAGGCTAAACTTAGTTGTGAGACTCAATGTTTTAGTTACAAAATAAAGAGATTTTAGAGTTACAGAAAGGTGAACTAGAAGAGTAGGCCTCATTTTATACTTTCTATGCCAACTTCAAAATTTTATATACATTCAGTTTTGCCCAACTCCATGAAGATTTGTCCCAAGTAATTTTTTTTTTCTGTTTTTGGAAATTAAAGGCAGCAAGTCTGTTTCCTTGTGGGCTTTTTGTTTGCTGTTTCTATGTGAGAATTCGACAGCCTTCCTCGGAGGAGAATGGAGTGCCTGAGCACAATGAGCATCTATCAGCACTGCCTTCCCATCACCTGCCAGTCGCCCACCAGGCACTGGCCCACCGGCGGCCACACCACTTCTTTCTTCCTAGCCTCAGAATCTCTTTCTCCAAAGAGAAACGCATCACATCGCTTCCATTTTGGAGTGGATTACAAGGGTCCAGTGAGAAGGTATGTGAATGTATTTAGACAACAGTAAACCACTATTCAAGTTCAAGTTATCTATAGTAAGAACAAAACCCAACTATTCACTTTACTTCAGAGCTATATTCCAGAAAAGTTTTATGCAAATCCAGCGCTAAAGTTACATCATATATTTAAAGCATTAGAACATCATTAATAAAAGAATCCTAAATACCTTCCAAAAGCCAAGTATTCTTTTCAATGTGAAAATGCAAATCCTCTTTTCTTGCCACCAAATATACACTATGCCATATATACACACAGACATACCATTTGCCTTATTATAAGTCTGAAGTTTTTACATTAGCTTACACATAAAGCAGAATATATTTTTAGATAAGCTCTGTTTTCATCGTAGTGTAAGATTTTGTCTTACTATAATCTTGCCAGTCTTTATGACAAAGATCACAACAGTCAATTTGAAAGACCAATAAGACTTACAGTACCTTATAGTCAAGCTCAATTGTGTAAGTACCCAAATATACCATTTCCACATAAAGTAAATAAGAATGCTTTAAAAAAATAACAACTACTGGTCCTAAGATAATTACAACCAAACCTTAATAATGAGGCAAAACTCAGGTTGGTTTTATTATTTATAATAACTACTTTGGTTAACGGCCTCAGTTACCCACACTATTATTTCGTGTAATCATCACAAATACGGCAAATGTTCTTAAAAAGTACCTTCATTTCTTCTTAAGTGCTTCAGCAAACCATTTCCTCCACTGCTAACTGGTTAAAATTTTATTCACTAACAACTTATTACTTTGTGATTTTTTTTTTCACATGGGCCAGGCCAGACTTTACAGCTTACACACACATACACACACACACACACACACACATGCACACACACACACAAAGTGCTTAAAGCAATTAGGAGTGTAAACAAAACTGAATTAGAAAACTTTTAAAACTGCTATTTTTCCAGTAGTTTACATACAAATGTCATGTTAACAATAAATCGACCCTGCACCCTGCCTAATCTAACTCTTAAGCAATTCCACTAGGAAAACAAGATCCTAGTTTAAATTGACTTGAAAAAATGGAAAGTGCACATCTTTAAAGACATTTTATAATTTCGAGTTTTTCCTCAATTAAACTTAAACAGTGAGGTTTTACTGTAACTACTTAATCCCATTCACTAAGTCCCCAACTTGTCTCATACAAAAATAAGAAACAAGGATAATTACAGACATTGGGCTTATATGACAGCAAAAAATAAAGATCTGGATTGTATGAAAATCTGTACACAAGAAGTTCCATTCAATTAAAACAACATTAAGTTCAGTGTCTTTTCTGACAATTATACATGAAATTTCTAGATTCTGTCTTCTAATTTCAGTTAGCCAAAGTAAATGAAATGCAAAATAGAATCATAAGTTAGTAACTATCCCTTCCTTGATGACAGGGAGATAGATGCTGTGATATTGCTAATGTTTCTGAGATAATGACAAAGATGAACTTACCTTGAAGATATCTTGTTAAAACCGCACATATTTTTAACTTGTAATTTAATGATTAGAACTATGTTTGCACTTGTTATTCATAATAACTGGAATATACACGAAACCAGATTATCTGGATAATCATTTCAATATTAAAATTCACTTAACATACATTAATTAGATTTTTTGACTTGGCATGTCAGAAATCCAATTAATGATACACAAAGACAAACAGAGACATCCAAGATTTTCTCATCTATTCAAAACCTTAATTTCAATTTAAAAAATTTGGATAAAGTAATAATGAATCTTACGGTAAGAAAGAATTATGATTATCAACTTCCTTTTAAAGGCTACAAGTCCTTAAACTTGTTTGTAAGAAGAGGAAGGGAGAAAAGAATAATGAGACTAAAGAATAAAAATCTGGACTGATTAAAAAAAATTGTCCCCATAATATTAGCAACTAAAAATTCTGCAAAGTTTTAGAATCCATTAAAATTATCACTAAATAATCTTTGAAAATACAAAAAAGTTTACGTCAAATGCTATGCCAAAATGTGTCCAAATAGCATCATGTTCAGTCAACAGAGACATGGTTTTCTGGAGGTGAAACTGAGGACTTGAGAAATTAGAGAAAGTGAAAACAGCAGCTCACAAACTTAAAAGCCACCAGCTTTGGCTACCGTTCCATGTAGCCCTCAGGAGTCTGAGGAATGTTCACTCATGAGTGATGATCACCACTGGAGATGTTCTGAACAGCAGTTGCATTATCAAGGCCCAGTAATGTTCCAAGGTAAGACTGCTCTCTAGGATCAAGCATTTGTTCAGGCCGGACGGGATGAACTATATTTGCAGGTTGAGGAGTCAGCGTGTACTTTTCCAGAAAAGCTAAGTCAGCTGCACGTGGGTAATCAGTGGATTGTGGCTGAGGTGGCAGGACCTCATGGGAGGCTGGCGGAAGTGTGGTTGTATGCTGCACCAGGCCACTGGGAGTGTCAGGCATCTGCACCGGCACCAAGGTAACTGGAACACACACTTCAGCAGACACATTCTGTAACAAAGTCTTGGCTTCTGATTGATAAACTTTGGGTTGGTCTAGATATTGTTTGGTTTCTGTTTGAAAGATTTTATCATCGGATGAGTATTCTACGGGCAAGGACACAAGTTTTTCTTCAGAAGTACTGAGTGGATCATCAGGGGATTTTATCCCATGAACATGGTCAATGTGGTATTTCAGCTTGTCTTTCCGCTTAAATGTTGCATTACAGTGCTGACAATTGAAAGGCCGGGCATCAGAATGAATTACCAGGTGTTTGGTTAAAGTTTTCTTAATTCTAAAAGACTGATTGCAAATTTGACACTTGTATGGTTTTTCACCTATATGAACAAAAATGAAATTAAATGTAAAATATGCCCACTTGTTAATTTAAGCAGCAAACTTTCCATATGCAAATGTGTTAAGAGGAAAACATCTTATGCTATCACAAAATGGAGACAGTAAACTTATAAAGAGAATAAATTTAGTATTAAAAAGATGTCAGTTTAATTCTAGGTATACCTTTTATTAACCAGCTTGGGCTTCTAAGCCTAATTTACCAGTCTGGAACATCCAACAATAGGTTTTGGGATTTTTTTGTTTGTATGTGTCCAGGTCCTGCGGCTTGAACTCAGGTCCTGGGATGTTCCTGAGCTTCTTTTGGTCAAGGCTAGTATTCTACCACTTGAGCCTCAGCTCTGCTTCCAACTTTTTTTTGGTAGTTTATTGGAGATAAGTCTCATAAGCTGGGCACAGGTGGCCCATGTCTGCAACTGAAGCAGTTCAAAGCCAGGCTAGACAGAAAAGTCCATGAGGGGCTGGGAAGGTGGCTCAGTGGTAGAGTGCATGCCTTGCATGCCAGAGGCCCTGGGTTCGATTCCTCAGCACCACATAAGCAAAAAGAAAAAAAAGCCGGAAGTGGTGCTGTGGCTCAAGTGGTAGAGCGCTAGCCTTGAGCTGAAGAGCTGAGGGAAGCGCCCAAGCCCAGAGTTCAGGCCCCATGACCAGACCCCAAAAAAAAAAAAAAAAAAAGAAAAGTCCATGAGACTCTCCAATAAACTACTCAAAGCTAGATAAGTGGCGCTGTGGCTCAAGTGGTAGAGCACTAGCCTTGAGCACAAAGTGAGGTTCAAGGTCAATGCCCAGGCCCTGAGTTCAAGCCCCAGGACTGGCAAATAAATAAATAAAGTCTCAGAGAGGTCCCTGCCCCAGCTGGCTCTGAACCGTGATCCTCAGATCTCAGCCTCCAGAGTAGCTAGGACTACAGGTGTGAACTATCAGTGCCTGGCTCAGCAACCATAGTGTTTAAATGAGAAAGTGAAGTATTTCGTACTACATTGACACCTGATATGTGTGTGATAAGTCTTAGCTATCATTATTATTGCTTACTTTATTTCACTATACCATACAAAGGTTAGTTAAAAATTAAACAGTTACTGGTGAGGTGGCTCATACCTGTAATCCTTGCTACTCAGCAGGCTGAGATCTGAGGATCATGGTTGGAAGCAAACCTGGGCTAAAAGTCCCCATGAGACATTTATCTCCAATTAACTATCAGGAAACTAGAAGTGGCATTATGGCTCTAGAACGCTAGCCTTGAGCAAAAGAGCTCAAGGACAGCACCCAGGTCCTGAGTTCAAGCCCCATAACTGACAAAGTAGTTGACTTCCTTCCACTCATGGAAGATAAACACCAAAACAGTAACTCTTGATTAACCTAGGTGTTTGGATCAGAATGAGAAGTATTAATACTTATCTCCAGTCTGAAGTCAAAATAAGAAATGTTCATGAAGGGAAAGAATAAGGAACACTGAAAACCAAGTCAAGGAGGTAAAAAAAAACCCACACAAGATCTAAAACAAAGCTTCAACAAAGAAATTGAAGCTATCAAATCTGACCAATTAGAAGGAAAGGAAATAAAAAACAAAGTAGAAAGTCTTGACAGTAGGTTAGACCTTGCAGAAGATCGAATCTCCGGGATTGTCAGAACATGACAGGATGAATGGGATAAGACACTAGGAATCAATCTGGATTTATTCTGGAAATACAAGCTTTAATGTTGAGACATCAATGGAATTTACCACATTAATAAAAAATTTAAAATATGGCTGGGTACCTGTAGATCATGCTTGTAATCCCACCTACTCAGGAATATGTAGGATCTGTCTGAAGGCAGCCTGGTTAGAAAAGCTGCAAGACTCCAGCTCTAAAATAACTAGCAAAAAGCAAGGCTGCAGGGAGGCTCAAGTGGTAGATTGTCAGAAGTACAAGCAAGCTGAGCAAAGCTGAGTTCAAACCTCAGTACTAACAACAAAAACTACCCTTCTACATGTGTGTATGTGTATATATATGGATATATACATATATAGATATATGGATATATATATATCCATATATATACACATATGCATATAAATATATGATCACCTCAATAAATGCAGAAAATATGATAAAATTCCATGCTTGCATGCAAATTATTGAAAGCTTTTTGTTTCATTTTGAGATAAGACAAGGATATCATTCTCAAGTATTTCTATTTGTATACTACCAAAAATGTAAACAAAGCAACATGTACCTCACTTTAAAATAATGACAAGTGGGGAAGAAATATTTGCAGTGGTTGTAAAATACATGTACTTCTTATACACATAAAAAAATTGAGTTTGTGGATCTATAAATTTCAGAGCTAGACTAAGGAACATGGCCATCAGATCTTGGGGCAGAAAAATGGTGTCATGTCCTGCTTAGCAACCCTGCTGGTCATTTTAGGAGCTGGAAAACTACAGGGTGTAAACCAAATGCAGCTCCCTTGCCTGTTTCTGCAGTTTTGTAGACAAGCCACATTACTTTGTGCAGTGTCTGAGGCTGGTCTTGTGCTATGGCAGCCGAGGTGAGTGTCTACAATGGACAATCTGATCTGCCTTAGCCCACTGTGTATCATCTCAGCCTTTGTAAATGTTAGCTGACCTGCACTTGATATTATTTCTCCCTCTCATTTCATGTTGTTATAAATAGAGCTCACTTTCTCAATTCTCAAAGGGCAAAGAAGCTGGTCTCTAATTCCAATGAACTATGAAATACAGTTCTATGTTGTCACAGGCCACAAATAAATTACCATAAATCCAGATTTTCAATAACATTAATACAATTTTGCTAGCAGTACTGTATGGTTCCTTTAGAATAGTTCTATACATTTAAATCACTAATAGTCTCATATTAACTTCCCTTAAATTTACTGACTCTTTCAAGTGGCAGTTCTAAAAAAAGTTTTCATTTATAACTGGTATTTATAACATAGTTTTTTCAGTTTTATACTCCCATGTATGTACTATTAAGTTACAGCCTTTTCTTCTGGAAGAGTACAATCTTGTGTGTGTGTGTGTGTGTGTGATGTGTGTGTGTGTGTGATGTGTCGGGTCGTGAGGTCTGAACTCTGGGCCTGGGCACTGTCCCTCAGCTTGGAAGAGTACAATCTTGATTTTAGCAATGGCACTTCATCAGTATTTAAGTTGCCCAAATGCAGTTATCTCTCACTGTGACATTTATGAAATCAATTTTTCCCTTCCAGAACAGCAGCTTGCAAAAATACAAACTGAATATAAAGTAAAGCAGTTATACATAAATAATGGGCTTCATATGTAATCTATTCTTTAAGTTTTACCTGAATGTGTCCGAAAATGCATTTCCAGGCTTGATTTTCCTTTAAAAATTTTCTTACAAACATCACATTGATGAAATGTTGCTTTATATCTAGAAAATAGGTAAGTTTGAGTTCTTTCCATATAATGTCAAGAAATAGCAATGAAAATCAGTTGTAATTTTATAACTGTACATGTAATTATGTATCGACACCAAGGGTGATTTGAAAAACAAATGGTGTTTAGCAGGACTGGGGCTCACACCTATAATCCTAGCTGCCCAGAAGGCTGAGATACGGAAGATTATGACTTGAAGCTAGCACAAGCATAACAGTCCAGGATTTAATTAATCAGCAAAATCCTGGATTAGAGACATGACTGAAATGGTAGAGCACCAGCCATGAGCAAGCAAAGTCAGAGAGAGTGTGAAGCCCCATACTGACAAAAATAAAGATAAACAGAAAACCATTAGCAACTGCATTCATCAGAAAGCATGGCAGTCTGAAGAAACACAGACACTATTTAAATATTGGTTCTTCCTTACAAATAAGTCTATAAAGAAGATCTTAAAGTTGAAAACTGCTTTGAATTACCCATTTTTGTTTTATTCAGCTATTAAATATATGCAGGAAAAATTCTAAGAAGTAAAATAGATCCATGGTTGGCTAGAGGGAAAAGGAGTGACTGGCTGCAAAGGAACAGCAGAAATTTTGTGATGATGGAATTATTCTATATTTTGATGGTTTTGATGTGTACATAACTCAGAACTACACACTAAAAAGATTGAATGACAACTGAATAAAAGAAATTAAAGAGAAACTGCAGCAATCTCAAAACCTGTATACATCAAAAAACTGACGCTGGGGCCAGGCATGGTGATCAACACGTGCAATCTAAGCTACTTAAGAGAAGGTAGAATTATTAAGATCCTAAGACAGCTCAGGCAAAAGCACAAGACCCTATCAGATAAAGTAAAGCAAAAAGGCTAAGGGGTCCTAGAAGGCTTGTCTTGCCTAACACAAGGCCCTGAGTTCAAACTTGAGTACTGAAAAAAACAAAAACAAAAACAGAAAGAAAACAAATCCCACAGGCTGCCCCAAGTTAGACTCAGTAAACAGCACAGTTGGGTACCTAGGAAGTATTTTCAAGTTAATCTCAAATTCAAAATTTGTGAGGACCAAGATACTTGTGATACAACTAGCGCTTGTCAATGTCTAACCTCCTGGCCTTAGAATTGAGAGTAAACAGGAAAGGAATAGGGGGAAAAAAATCTACTTTGTTCAATGCATTTAGGACTGTAGAGAAGCTAAGTAAACTGAAGAAAAAGAGCCAGCTAGCCTATCCCCAATTACACAAAATAAACAAAACAGATTTAACTTTTCTTGAAGCAGGACTCAGCTAGTTTGGCACTGACAATGAGGTGTATATGCTCACTCACTTTTGCCACACTTTCTCTCCAAGGTGCACACTTTTGTAATGAACAGTAAGATGATCTCTACGACCAAAGCATTTTCCACACTCTTCACACTGGTGAGCCTTTTCACCTAGAAATAAAGACCCAGATACCTTAATCGGAATATGCATTTGCATTTTAGTTTAGTTTTGCTTTTCTCCAGAAATAAAGACCAAACAATAAGAGGACATGGTGGAAAGAGCAGGTAAGATTTGGTTATTTCCTTTGTATTTCTTACTCAAATATGTTTCCTCAAAGAATCTTAGGTTGATCTCATGGGTGTATCCTTTTTTCCCACATGGAGAAAAAAACAAATCAGTAGCCTATGGCTGTAGACTTCAAACCTTACCTTTCAAAAGGTCTGAGTTCAAGAAAAAGTGAGTCAAATATTCCCGAATATTCTTTTAGGAGTATATGCCTGAATACAAAAACCTTTATGTTTTTGTATTCTATCTTTCTGTTTATAAAAACTATCTTTATAAAATCTATCTATAAGATCTTTATAAAAACTGTTTATAAAAGGCCTTAAACATTTGAAAATGATCCTTGTACTTCATTTGTAAATGAAGGATTTCTTACATTTTTTTGAACCAAAATGAAATTTCTAGTAGAAGATTATATTCTTACATTTAGTTACAAGAGTTTAGTCTTTAAAAATCTGTGTGTTTATTGAGAACTGATGACTCACACCTGTGATCCTAGCTACTCAGGAGGCTGAGATCTGAGGATCCTAATATAAAGCCAGCCAAAAAATCGGGTGTGGGGGTGTGGCTCAAATGGTAGAGCACCAGCCTTGAGTGAAAAAGCAAAAACAAGAGAATGAGGTTCCAAACCCCAAAACACACCCAGAGAAAAATCTGTCTTGGTAACCAGGTGCAATTAATGCACATGACTTCTAGAATTCCTCTCAATTTAGGAGAATAATCCTAGGAATAAAAATATATAAATTCAACAAAAAACCATTAAACCTTTAAGATCTCTTCAGTGACCTCACTGAGATTATGTACAGAAGGGATCAGCATCCCTGTGTATTTGAATCTATGCTGACAATCTTCATAGTCACCTGTTCTACTGAGCGTGTGCAGAGAGAGGGCCCTGCCCTGCCTGCACTGTGCTTGCCTCCTAGATGGCTCTCTCAGCCATCAGATTGAACATCAATCTGAGAGGAAAACATGGGAGAAATTCCCAGAATATAAAGATTATGAATACTATATGAAGATTTGAAATTAAGCAGGATAATTATGGAGCTTTTTTCCATGCCTAAGATTGCAAAACTCACTGTAACAGACACTCGTAGCACCCAGTTACAGACATGTGCCTTTAGAAGACCAAAATTTCACTTTTTGTCAAATTTAGTCAAAATGAGATCAAGGTTTCCTTCTTTAAGAAAGTGTCAGTAACAATTCCTGCACACATCAATGTCATAGAGAAATTGCAAATTTGAGACTTTGCTTAGAAGTTACAACTTCAAAATCTTCACCGTCATAGATAACACTCAAAATTCAGCAAACGTGTTACAGAATTCCCCTTTGAGATGCTTTTTCAGAAAAGCTTTTAGAGCCAGAATTACAAAGGGGTGATTTACATAGCAAATTATTAAAACAGCAAATGTAAACAGGATGAGGTACTGTATTCTCAAAGGGTACTTTATAATCATTGTGGAAATGGAATCATAAAGCATCATTACCTGAATGTATTTTTTTGTGCTTTGTAAGGTGGTCATGACGAATGAATGTCTTTCCGCATTCATCACACTCATATCTTTTATCATCATGATGTACTCGTAAGTGAAGTCTATAAAGAAAGACACTGGAGACCATTAAACTGATGATGCAGAAGGAACATGCGTGATAATGAGGAGGTACTGAAAACTGCTCTTTATTCAACCACCCCATGTTTGCTTTGTATCTGTGACTTCCAAGGCATTTCTCATTTCTCACCAGCTGAGCCCAGTATTCCCAGCCACCTCTCAGAAAAGAATAGTCACATTTGCACATGCTCAAATCATTTCTGGAGTAGAGGTCTTCCAATATAAATCTTAGGTCTTAAATCTGCTTCACTAACTCTGCCAAAGGCCTGGGATTGTTAAATTATCAGAAGGGTCAAATTCCAGAAATGCACAAGTTTGAATATTCAAGTTGCCAAAACAAATGCTATTCTGCAATAACCAAAATGAGCAAACAGTCACTAGAACTAGACTACATCTAAAGTTAAGAGTTTAAATAGTCTGTTTAAACTAAAACAGTCAACAAATGGAAGCATAAATATTAAAGCCCAAAGTTACAATTCTAGAGAGCAGTAATAAAAAACTCACAGACACTGTTCATAATAAATTACCCATTTATTTAGGAAGATCAGCTTTTCATTAACTGAATATATGGTAGAAGATTCAACCATAAAAACAAACAGCTAACAATGCAGAAAAGACTTTCAAAAATTTAAGAGTTCCAGAGTTCTTAATCTTACCATATTTTTATGCTACAGATTTTTACTTCTACAAGAAGGAATAACGAAGTTGGACATTGGTGTCTCACACCTCTCTACTCCTCTCTATTCAAGAGGCTGAGATTTGAGGATAGCAGTTTCAAAGTTGCCCAGGAAGAAAAGTACACAGGACTCTATCTTCAATTGACAAGGACAGAAGGGTTAGGACATGGCAGGAAAGGAAAAGGAAAAAGAAGAAAGGAGGAAAGGAAAGAGGAAAGGGAAAAGGGAAAGAGGTGGACAAGAGGTAAGGCTCAAGTGGTAGAGCACACACACTAGCTTCAGATAAAAAAGCCAAGTGAGAGCCAGGCGCTGGTGGCTCATGCCTGTAAACCTAGCTACTCAGGAGGCTGAGATCTGAGGATCGTGGTTCAAAGCCAGCCTGGACAGGACTGGAGATATGTGAGACACTTATCTCCAATAAGCTACCAGAAAACCAGAAGTGGCACTGTGGCTCAAGTGGAAGAGTGCTGGCCTTGAGCTGAAGAGCTGGGGGATAACACCCAGGCCCAGAGTTCAAGCCCCGTGACTGACAAAAAAAAAAAGCCACATGAGGACAGGAGGCCCTGAGTTCAAGTCCTGGTACTGACCCAGAACTAAAAGTAAAGAATGAAGAAAAACACCAAAAGCTCGGAACATCAGTTTTAATTTTCATTCAAAGACAAATAAATATTGAAATAATGACAATTTCATAGATGCTTCAGTAAACTTGGTAATGAATAAACATTTAATATTCTCATACACAGAATGGAAATAACATCAAATGTTGTAGGGAAAAATATATTTAGTAAAGTTTGCATACAACTTTACGTATCATATGGACTAAGAAATGTATTCATTGAAACAACAATTAGAGCAAGACAGGTTGGTGGTGCACGGCTATCGTGTTAGCTACCTGGGAAGATTGAAAGTTCAAGGCCAGCTAAAACCAAAAGACCTGAAGGCATGGCTTCTAGTACCACAAAAAAAAATTAATTAATCATAGCAATTATAATAGAACTAAAACAAGAAATGTAATTTAATCTTACTTAACCCAAAGGGAAACAGCTTTTACCTGTATGAGCTTCCATGACGAAAGCTCTGCCCGCAAATACTGCAAAGATGAGGCTTCTCTCCACTGTGGATTCTTAAATGCTCTTTCAACGTAGTTCTGTGTTCGGAAAAAAATATTATGTTTTAGAATTTCTTCTTTAGACATTTTAAACCAAAAGCACATCAAGTATTTTGTATCTTGAGTTACTCAGCCCCCTGTAAGCCATCCTCATAATTAATTCTATGTAAAAGCACTAAACTTTTCTGGGTTTTGCAGATCATTCTTCACCTTTCTCTCACTGATTTTCCACAAATAAAACAAGTCCATTTTCTCTTCCCACCATGAGTACACTCAATATGACGTTTCAGATTCCCTGTGTCATTGAACTGGCGGCCACATATGTCACATGGAAAAGGACCTAAAATTAAAAAAGAATGACATGCATTTAGAGTTTGAAGATAAAAGTTTAATAGGTGTATCACAAGAAAAGCAAACCACTCTTGGTGGCAGCAGAGGCAGAATACACTATAATTATTTACTATTATTTACTTTTCTATTCCCTTCTAGATTTCTGATTCCAGCAAAGCAGGTGACAGTCACTGCCACATCTCTAGAGTCCAAGTATAGGGGTTGGCATCTAAAAGACATAAATTGAAATGGCCAAATTCTACTTTCAGATGAAAACAAAGTAAAAACTACTGCATACTAAATTTCTGTGAATTTCTAAGTTTCCTACTAGCAAAACTACTTCTAAATTATTTACTGTACTTAGTTGAAGGCTCCAGCTAGGTAGAAAGAGAAATGAAGTCTTCTCATAAGATTCAGTTATTTATGGTCCTTCAAAGGAAAAAAACTTAAGTTTTGGGGGGAAAAGGGTTGTTCCTACACTGGATATTCAATTTTGTATGCAGTGAAATCTCTATGAACTTTTCATGTATGAAACCAAACTTAAAACTAATACTTAGGCAGGTCTTCATACTAACTCTCTAAACAGGGTAGCAGCATAGGCTGTAACTGAACTCAGGGCTTGAACACTGCCCCTTAGCCTTTGAGGGTCAAGGCTGGTTCTCTACCACTTGTGCTACAGCTCTCCTTCTAAGTAGACCCAAAATATACAAAGAATTTTCAAAACTCAACAGCAAAAAAAAAACAACAACCGAACTATAAAAAATGTCTAGATAGAAAATACACCAAACAAAAGACACATAAATGGCAAGTTAAGTACATGAAAAGATGGGCCTTACCACATATAATGCACTACAAAACGTGATACCATCAGACAATATTATAAAGGCCACAATACTAGATGGCTGTTAGGACAGGAAATAGGTGCTCTCATTCACTGCTAGTGGGAGGGCTGGGAATAGTTAATGCTAGAGTGTTTGCCTGGCATGTATGAAGCCCTGGATTCAATTCCTCAGTACCACATAAAAAGCTGAAAAGTGGTGCTGTGGCTCAAGTGGTAGTGTCCTAGCCTTGAGCAAAAGCAGCTCAGTGCCTAGGTCCTGAGTTCAAGACTAAGAACTGGTAAAAAATAAAGTGGAGACTTGCGTTTCTAAAGGGAATGCAGACAGGTCCAGCTGCTTTTGAAGAGACAACACAGCTGCTTCTTACAATCAAAATATATTTGAACCATCTAATACGGCCTTTAGGCTACTAGATTATTTACCTAAAGGAATGAAACACATTGGTCCTCAAAAACCTAGCACACATATAATTCTAGCAATCTTATTCCTTATCAGGAAGAGCTGGGAATATTTCCATTTTCACCAATGTCCAATATGGTGGGAGGTATGAGTAACAGGGATAGTATGCATAATGAAGGCGCGATGTGAAATGGGAATATGTGTATCTTCTTAATATTTCTGGCAATGTAAAACACCTTTGAAAATATTAACAACTTTTAAAAGTATAGTTTAACAGTGGTAGACTTTCCAGCATGATGGAATAAATAATTGCTATGACTGCTTTAAGAAAACATAATCTGCTTACCCAGATGGAACTTCTCCTGATGCTTCAACCGTGCAAACCGAGATTTGAAATGTTCTTCACAGTAGGTACACTTGAAAGGTTTGTCTTGAGAATGGAGAATCATATGTTCCTCCAAGTGTGGTCTTCGAGTAAAAGATTTCTTACAAATCTAGGTGAAAAATGTATGTAAAATGTAAGATAAGCTGAAAGTATACATTTATAATGACGAAAAATGAGTATATGGATTCAAGTAGACATCAATTGCTCCCAACAAAAATTGTTAACTTGCCAAATTATAATCAAATTGTAATTTGCAAGAAAACAGAACAACAATGGCAAAATTTAAGAATTACATTAATGGTGATGACAGCTGAATTACAACTCCTTACATTCAGAGCTACAGAATAATCTTACTCAGTTCTAAATAGCAATTTCCTAATCCATGGAATGTATATTCACAAACCAATTATATGTCAGGAATATATATATATATATATATATATATATATATATATATATATATATATATATATATATGTAAAAAATCATGGTTGCCATATGTTTGGTTAGGAATAATAAAATGTCCCAGAAAAACAGCTGGCTGGCTGGAAAGAAGAAATGCAAATTCTGGTACTAAGTAAATAAAACCAAGAAGGCTGGGTCATAGCTCAAGTGGTGGAGCAGCTGACTAGCAAGCATGAAGCTCTGGGTTCAATGCCCAGCACTAAAAAAAATAAAATAGGGGCTGGGAAGGTGGCTCAGTGGTAGAGCGCTTCCCTTGTATGCATGAGGCCCTGGGTTCGATTCCTCAGCGCCACATAAGCAGGAAAAAAAAAGCCAGAAGTGGCGCTGTGGCTCAAGTGGTAGAGTGCTAGTCTTGAGCTGAAGAGCTGAGGGACAGCGCCCAGGCCCAGAGTTCAGGCCCCACGACCGGACCCAAAAATAAAAATAAAATAAAATACTAACTTTTGAATTATTGGAATAAAGAAGATACAGTGATTGAGAATATTAAATACAAAACAATATTAACCTAAATACTGAAAAAATAAGTTAGTGGCTTGAAGAATAAAGATGTTCATAAAGTCTCTGTAATTCCTCCCACTGTAAGATAAATTATCCCCTAAATCTGCCTCCTTCACCAAAAATTAAGAGTAACTTTATATAACTGAATCTAAAGGTGAAACAAACTAAGGTATGTTTCTGTAAAACCTAATTTTCATCCCCCAAAGTAACATTATTATGTTTATTCACTTTGGCTTTCTAATTTAAATTAAAAACTCTTACATCACACTTCCAACTTTCACTCTTAGATTTCTTGATGGAAATAAATTCTTGTGCATTTTCAGGATGAAATCTATCAGAGAAAAGGAAAAAAATGATTAGGACAAGATAATATTAAGTCAATATCCCATATGAATCTGTCAACAATGATTCCAAGATTCAAGTACTAGCTGGGCATGGTGGCAGACAACTATAACTCCAGCATTCAAGAAGCTGAGGGACGACAAGTGTGAACTCAAGACCAGCCTGGGCTGCAGAGTAAACCTCTGTCTCAAAACAAAAACAAAAAGAAAAACCAGGGACTTACATTCTAGAGACCAGCTAAGAATATATCCACATCATTTTGATGTGAATGTGTCTATGCAGAAATAGTTATTCTAATCACATTTAAGCACAGTTAGGAGCCCAATTAGCAACAATTTGCAACAAGTATTTTATCAACAGATAATATTCTGCAAGGTAACTTTTTTTTAAATTCCAGATTTCAGAAAATTTAGTATTGCACATATATGTATTTTTATAAACGTTTACACACTAAACAAAAACTTAAATGTAAAAAACTAAATTATCTAGAGGTCTAAAATGATGTATTTCTGAAGACAGGCATTCCAGAGACATTCTTCTTTGCTACCTATCCCCATTAGGAGGCACAATGCATTACATATGAAATGAGCCACTACTTGCCTCTTGACATGCTTGGCTAAGGTCTTCTTGCTGGCATGGAGTTTGTTACAGTAAGGGCACTTGTGCTCCTTCTTATGGAACTCAGTTTCATTACTGTGCTTCTTTCTGTGGACGGTAAGGTTAGACTTGGTAGAATAGCGCTGGTGACAGATATCACACTCAAAGGGCTTCTCACCTGTGTGCACACGGGTGTGGCTTTCATATTTCCCTAGAGAAAGAGAGAAAGCAAAATTAAATTCAGTTTATTTACTGACATTAAAATCTGACCACGGAATAAAATTGCGTGATTTAGCAAAGTGAATACACATACCAAACACATAAAAGCAAGAAAAACTTTACCTTAATTTCTAACTCACATTAACCTCAACAATTTTCTGTCTTGAGCTTAGTGCTCACAGAAAACTTTCCCTCAAAAACAGGTTGGCTAGGTGCCAGGAGGCTTAAATCCGAGGATCTGGTTAAAGCCAGCATGGGCAGACAAACCTGAGACCTGTACATAATGGCTTTAATAGTTTAGTATGAAGCACAAAGAAGATGTAACTGATAAACATTTAGCGTTCTATATACTGTAAAACCTTTGCATTACAATCTGAATGTTTCTAAATATATTCAGAATAGATACTATAGGCCTTTCCAATAGAATTTATAAAAATAACTCTAAGAAGAATTTTCAAAAAGAAAACAATATAAAATTAAAAGATACATTTTGGTTTAATTTTATCATTTCTATTTAGAATAAAATTCTCTCAGACTATTGACAACACAAATGTCTACATTCCAAGAGCAGAAGAGCATCACAGATAAACACAGGCCAAATTTGCATATGCCAGGATATAAATCCTGGTTCTCAAATAACGGGCTGGGTGAATTGAACACATCGATGACACAAACCTTTCCTGACTGAAACTTCATAATCCTATTTACATGTAGGACTGTTGTTAGAATAATACATGAAGCATTTACAACAATATCTAACACACTGTAAAGTTTCAGTTAAGATTATGCTTTCCTGACTATGCATATAGCTTGAAACAGTAATTTCAATAGAGAGTACTTTTAAACAAAAGACAATAAAAATAAGAAAAACCCTAACAACATTGAGGAATGATTTTCACTTGAAAGCTTAGCCTTTTGCTTTGTTTGGCAAATACATTTATAAATAAATTTTCCTTGGGCTAAATCTAGTATGAATATTTAATATTTCTGTCATGCACTTAGAATAAATCCTTTATCATGACAATTAGAAAAAAAACTCAAGAATTCCAAGGCCACTGAGGAATTTGTCTACTTGACAAAATATTCACCAACTTATTAGGTATATTTATATCTTACTAAATTTAAGCAAATATTAATGTTATCCAGACATTAATTATGCTGTTTATCATATAAGCTAAGGAAATCAGGGTATGAGGATGTCATTCAAAGACAAAAAAAAAAGCATGAGAAAAGCCTACTAAGTATTTAAAAACTGACTATGTAGGTAATGGCCTATGTATTTTTTTTTCAAGCATGTAGCCAGAAACATAGACAATACTTGAGCACCACCTAAATGATCTTAAGCCAATAATCTTTTCTCTATATATCTAAATATATCTATATATCTAAATCCCATCGCTTTATGGGATTATAAGAAGTAAATGAACTTATGCTGATAACACACTTAAGACTAGTACTAGTTACTAGTACTAGTACAAGTAAGTACTAGTAAGTCGTAGCGATTATTATTAACATACGGATTACCAATCAGTGTAGATCTGTAGGTTTATCTCAAACTCAAATCTGGATATACCTTATGTATGAATACATTATATGTGTTAACACTCTGGAAACAGCGAAAGGATTTTGCCTTCCCCTCTGCCACTGCCTAGAACCCACAGGCCTCATACACAGCTGGGGCACACACTCCCATATTCACGTGCACATAAATACCCTCATGATTTTCACTGTGTTCAAGAGATCAGATCTAATACTGGAGAACAAAGTGCGGAGGTCTCTATATATAAAATTTTAAGAAAAGTTTTCCATGATTATTCAAGCTTTCACATTGCATTTTCTTACACCAATAATAGAAACCCATAAAAGTATACACCAATCAAGAGTATTTTATGGTCTAATTAAAAAAAAAATGTCATGGGGCTTAAATCCAGGGCCTGGGCACTGTCCTGAGCTATTTCCACTCAAGGCTAACACTTTGAGCCACAGCGCCACTTCTGGTTTTCTGGTAGTTAAATGGAGTCTCACAGACTTTCCTTCCCAGGCTGACATCATCAATCCTCAGATCTCAGCCTCCTAAGTAGCCAGGATTATAGACATAGTATAATTTTTAAATGATTAACAAAGTTACAAAGCCCATTTTTCACTGGGGTTTAACTGTGCATGTTTAGCATAATGTGAAGTGGTTTATTACATAGCAACAGATAACCAAAGTGGATGAGAAATTCTAATTCTTTCCTATTAGGATTGAAAGAGAATTTATCAACCTCCTAATGGTTAAATTACTTCAATTTTCTTTCCAATTAAATGAAAACAATAACTTAAGGTACTCAGAACAGTGATCTCAAGGTAGAAGAAAACTTTGTGCCATGTCTTATTTCTTATAAAAACACTTTTCTTGTAAAGATGTTCGCTGAGTAACTACTGGTATTTTCCTTAAAGTCAAAGTCCTTCATTTACAAATAAAAACTAAGTTACATGTACTAAGTTACATTGGATAAAAACCCATCAAAATAGCTGTTAAATTAAAAAAGCATTTTTACTGTTCAACTTTTACTGTCCTACAGATCAGCACAAATAAAAAGACTTAAGCAAAAAAAAAAAAGTAGGAATTTAAGCTGAAATGCCAATGTTAGACAAACCTATTGATATTTTAAAAAACTCTATTAAATAGATTCTGAGACAAATGAAAATAGAGAAACTTAGGTAATTATGAATCTCAGAAGTTACTAATTCAAAATGTGTGCATACTTGCATTTATTATTTCCATGGATTTGGATTTCTAAACAAGACCAGGAGAAAGAACCTGTGGTCTCAGAAGAAGCAGGTAGCAGTGGAAGGGGCAAGGAGCGGTGCTCACAGACACGAACAAATTTGACTTGTGTTTCAGAATGAATTCCCTTATACAGGTCACGTAAAAATTACTATTTTCAAATATTAATGTGGGGTTTATTGCCCAACCTTAAACTATGCCTTGAGTCCATTCATAGCACACACTGAAGACATAACTAAAATATTTAACCTCAGAATAGAGAATTATATCATTGTTAAAACTCTTCTCTAAGCCGAGCACTGGTGGCTCAAGCCTGTAATTCTAGCTACCCAGGAGGCTGAGATTTAAGGATCTCGGTTCAAAGCCAGCCCGGGCAGGAAAGTCCGTGAGACTCTTATCTCCAATAAACCACTAGAAATCTGGAAGTGGGGCTGTGGCTCAAGCAGTAGAGTGCTCGCCTTGAGCTGAAGAGCACAGGGATAGCACCCAAGCCCAGATTTCAAGCCCCACGACCGACCAAAATAACAACAACAAAAACGAACAAAAAAAAACCTTTTCTCTAAAAATAAAGTCGAATGCCTTGAAAGGAATACGTTGTGATTTGAGAAGAACTGGAAGGTAGCCACTGAACTGTTTTTGAGATAAGCCAGGACATTTTTAAGATATCTCTTCTACATATTCTTTCACTCCACCTACCCCCATCTACTTCATCTACATTTAGCCTACCTTCACTCAAGTGCCACTCCCGGCCCCAATCTCAGCAATCTCCCAATCTTGGGTAGTCTTCAGTCTACTCCTTTGCTATAGCTCCTCCTATCAACTTGGTTTTCTCTTCCCTTTCCAATTTCCTTCTCCACAATGAAGCCACTGTAATCTGGCTATCATTTTCTTTGTGAATTTTGTTCAACCATTTCCATTGGATAAAATCTAAAGTATGATGTATAGCACACAAGCAAGCCAATTACTTGCCAACCCTGACCTGCCATTTTTACTATCTTCCTGCATGATGGTCCTTGGAAACTATTTTCAAGACTCAGCTCAAATAAGACTTGCTCTGTGAAATTTCCCATCTCCCTGAGGATTCTATATTCAACCTGAGGAAATAACTTATATTGTACCACAACTGTTTTTTTTGCATGTATTCAACTGAGTTCCTTGATGGGTAAGGACAGAGATTATAACATTTACTTCTTTAGCAGCAGTGTGGCAGATTGGACACTCAAAAAGTATGTCTGGTTAATGAATAGTAAAAAGCAGCAAACATTTCTTGAAAACATTAATTTTGTGTAGTATTTTAAGTGATTCCCTAGAATAGTCATTTAGTATTACTCATATCCTTCCACTGGAGGGAACTATTAGCATATTTTGTTTTACTTAGGAAGAAACAAAAGCACACACAGTAAATAACTCTCACCCAAGACCCGGATTCAAAAACCCCAGACAGTCTGACATTACTTTAGCTCATGATTTTTCATCTTTATAAGATGAGATAAACAGGAGACAAAACATCCAACAAAGAGACACACTAATGTAATGGAGATGAGAAAAACTAGTGAAAAATAAGAAGCCCTGATGTGGATAAAGGGAAGAGGTGAAGGAGTTTACTGTAAAATGCGTTTTAAAAGGTTGGTTAGAAATAACCCTACAATGTGAACTACTGATTTCCACAACTAAGAAAAGGCATTTCACTGCCTTTCTGGCAATAAGTCAGAACCTTAATGTTCATCAGCGTTCTCCCAATTTGTCTTAAAACTCCAGCTTCCTGGAACATTAAAAGAAGTACTCCAAAGTACTCCTGTGATAAAGTAATTTCTAGGTTAAGTAAAATGAACAGGTCTGTATTATTACAGAATGTCCTAAGAGTTAACATTGACCCCATGTACTAGTTTTCCCTATGTTACTATGTTCCCCAAAATCTTCTCTCATAAAATCTATCACAGGTCTAGTGCTCAAAGGGATAGTTTGAGATCTATGCTCTTGATCTTTAGTGCATGTGAACTGACTCCTGCTCATTTATCTCCAAGTCAAATTAGGTCAATAAAAGCAGAACACAGGAAGCATGTTCTAAGAGCACAAAGTCTGAGATGTACAGAGAAGATAAAATGTTCCCAGGTACCAAAGAAGCTTTCTTCTCTGTACCTCACAGATGTGTTGACAGCTCTTACAATATAGTACTTAAGTAGCCTGATTCCAACCAGTTTCTTGTATATATAAGCGCTTCCAACTGCCTAAATTACTCAGTAAGTTATTTTACTCATCTCTGTACCAAGTCTCAAAGTAAAAAATATTAATAATTTTTGAAATATTGTCCGAAGTATTGTGACTCAGAGAATGCATGCAAAAGGCATTATAAAAAAGCAAACTGAAGCTATTCTAATGCCATAGTATATTTACACCTTATAAAACTAATTTCAATGTATACCAATAACAGAAGTAATAAACAGAAAAACACATATGGGGATGAATTTAAACTGTGTAAGAAGATCAGATTACACATTGTTTTTTATCATTATGTGTAAAATATTTCAGCTTCATAACCTCAATATATATGTCTGTAAATAGCTTAGTTATTGTAATTAAAATTTATACACAATATACAAGGCATTTCTCTAAATTATTTTACTAGCAAATATTAAACATCTCAAATTTAAATATGCAGTGACAAAACTGCAGGGAGCAGACGACATTCCCACGTATTCTTTTCTAATAGGGAAAAGAGTGATTTACTCATTAATCCAAAACCTAAAACATTCCAACTGTAAAAGGTTCTGAATATTGGAAACATGAATATATTATAACTTATGTTGCCATGCAAAAGGAAAACACAAATTACTGATTTTCATGACTCAAAATTAGTGTTACTTCTGAAATGTATGACATATGAAGCAAAACTGTATATACCTATTTATACTCAGGTGTCTTTCATCCAAATACAATATTAATCATCTATTACCTGTGGGCCTGATGAATAAGCTGGATACTGGTGGCTCATGGCTGTGATCCTAGCTACTCAGGATTTGAAGCCAGGCCAGGCAGGGAAGTTCATGAGACTCTTATCTCCAATTAACCACTAAAAAGCAGAAAATGTAGCTGTGGCTCAAGTGGAAGAATATCTCCTTGAGCAAAAAAGCATATGGACAGCAACCAGGCCCTGAATGTAAGACCCAGTGTGAGCACCAAAAGAAAATAATGAAAAAGGGTAAATAAAGAGTAATATAGTAATAAAAACACTGAACTTCTGAATCCCAATTTACAATAACAATAAATGTGTACTGAAAACCAAATTATGTTCCATTCTAATAGTTTTTTTGAAGGTTACTTTCAAAGTCTAACTTTAGTTATCCCCTTTAAAACATCCACGAAACATAAGTAAAAAGAGATAAAAAGCAAGCTTTCTTTCCTTACCTATTCGGTCAAATGTCTTATCACACTTAGGACACTGCAATATTTTCTTGTTACTGTTCTGAATGATTACTGGTGTTAACCCCTCGTGAATGTTTCCTACAGAATCCCCTGCCTCGGGTTCCTCTTCTGCCTCATTATCTCGGTCACTCTGTTCTTCAATGTCAGAGTATTCATCCGACATTTCCTCCTCTAGCTCATCTTCTTCAGCATTATATTCACTTCCAGCATCCTCAGAATCGTTTCTGTCTGACTTTTCCTTATCGAAGCTTTCTTGATTCAAATTGTCTGACCCATCCGCACTTTCTGGTTCATCCTCACTTGTGTCATCAAACTTCACAGGACATTTACGATTCCTTTTGGACCTTCTTGCAGAAAAACTTCTCTCCAGCATTTTTAACCCATGTTTTTTCCCTAACAAAAGGGACCTATGAGCTTTAGTCAAATGATTCTCTAAGGACTTTTTATAACAAAAATGTCTACTACAGAATTTGCACTGATGATTATTTGACAGTCTTCCCGTTAATTCATTTAGTGTCTCTTCTGGTGATGACTTTTCCGTTAGTTCTGCCTGAAAAGCTGCAACATTTTCATTATTTAGCAGTTTAACTGCATCAATAATGTCCAAAAACTTTGCAGCCTCTAAAACAAGAGGTATTTCGTATTTGTACACAAAAAACTCTGATGTGTAAAGGAACTCAAGCAAATGCCGAAACACTGAATGTGTTACGTGATCCAGGGTGACAACATCAGTGCTGGGATTTTTGCTCAAACAAGCATGAAAATAACTACTGCCAACAGCAACCACTACTTTATGAGCACTAAATTCCTTCCCTTCTACTATGATAAGTAAGTCGCAGAAAGATGGTTGCTTCTGCCTATCATCATTTAGATACTTCAACAAATTCTTATTATACTGCAAAGAACTCAGAAGAGTTCTCTGATCTGGCGAGGGAGGAAGTTCCTGGTAACGGTGGAGAGCTTCGGGGGCTGGTCTTTCTGAGGAGTAAGGACAGGTCACTTGGTCACACTGCACTGTGACATTTCCCTCTGGAGACTCTTTATGATAGCCCAGATGGATCTTCTCGTCAAGACTGGAAGCAACCTTTCTCCTCCTCTTCATTGCAGTGCAGCAATCCCCGAACGAGAAAACTTCATTAAGTGTCGGAAGAGATTTCTAAAGGAAGGCTAGATTGTCTTCGACCACGGCTTCTGGAGGGGCGTGCCCGACGGTTTCATGGTCTGCAAAGGAGTGAGAATCACATCAAAACCACTCCACGGGGACAAGCCCTCATCCGCAGGGACCAAAAGCCCATTGGCCGACGCATCCCCTCCTCTCGATCGGATAAAGTCACAGCTCGCACCCATTCGTGGCTCAGATTATTATTATTTTTTAGGGCGGAGAAAAAGGAGGGCCAGGTTTGGGGAGGGGGGTGGAGAGGGGGGGGGGGGAAGACAGCCAACAAAAGAATAATCTTAAAGGAAGCCGCGAGCGCACCCACGCTCCGGGCCGGCGGGGCGGGGAGGGACGGACGGCCCGCGCAGCCCGAGGGGGCCGCGGCCGAGCGGGGGGGGGGGGGGGGCGCTGGGACGGTGACAATAAGGGCCCCGCGGCCCCCGGTGCGCACGCTTTCCGGGCCGGGCGGGGCGCACCGGCGGGGCCCCGCGCGCCCCCTCGGCCCCACGCCCCGACGCGGGCGGCGGGCCTGGAGGGGCGCCCGGCCCGAGCGGCGGCTCCTCGGGGAGACGCGGCTCCGAAGGCGGCGCCTCGGCCTCTCCAGGCCGCGGCCGGGCGAACGCCGCGCTCGCCGGCCCGGGCCCGCCCCCCACCTTCCCGCCCGGCTTCCCCGGGGGAACGCCCCTCACGCCCATTACCGGGACCCCAGGGTTCCCCCGCTGGCTCCCGGCCGCCGAGCTCGGCTCCCGGCGCGCCCGCCCCGGCGCTCTCCACTTCCGGGTTCGGCCCCGCCTCAGCGCCCGCCCCGGCGCTCCGGCCCGTGACGGAGTCCCGTCGTCCCCGCGGCACCGCCTACGTCACCCGCGCGCGCCGCCGCCGAGCTCGCGGCCGCCCCTAGGGAAAAACCCGGCGCGCGTGCGTCCAAGGAGCCCGGCGCGCGCTCCGGAAGCCCTACGCACGGTGCGCAGGCGTGTGTCTTCTTAACGCATGCGCGGTTTCCCTCGAGCGCGCGCGCGGAATCCCCGCTAACTCCTGACATCCGCAGCTCCGGGTTTTCCCGGTGGTCCACGGTGGTGGGGTGGGGGGAGAGGGGGGCTGAGGTGGTGGAGGGCGGGGAGATGATGGAGGTGGCGGGGCTGAGAAGCAGGGGCCCGCGGCCACGGCACCCGGGCGTCCCACTTGGCCGGTGTGGCTCGGGAAGCCGGGGCCGGCCGCGGCCCGCACACCTGCGGGACGCGGGACGCGGGACGCGGGGCGGGCCGGGCCGGTGGCTCCCTGCGAGCGCTGCTGAAAGTCTACGGTCCTTTCTTTCGTTAATTATGCACAGAAAGCAGGAAAGCGACGTGCAGATTTCCAGCTAGTAAGTGAAGAAAAGGGGGGAAGGACGCCGGCACCCGAGGAAGGATCGGGAGCTGGTGCTGGGCCGGCATGGCTGGTCCGACCCCGGGCCCCGACTGCACACACCCCGGCCCCGAAGCCCAGCCTGACAGCCGGGGACCAGGAAGGCCCTGCCCTCTGCCCGTCCACGCTCACGCCACACCTCCCCGTGGGGATCCCAGCGGAAGAACGGGGGGCAGGGGGCGGAGGATGATCAGACAGCCTTCTGGAAGCCTCCATGAAGACGTGCTTTAGATGCAGTCAATAGGCAAATCCGTAGACTATGTAGATCGCTAGCGAGGATGCACCTCTTACTACTAGTTGAAGGCCTCAGGCTTCAGCTTGATAATCGTGCCTGAGTATTCAGCCCTGAAGCATTCAGACTCTCATCTGGACTGTAAACTCCTACTTAACTTTCCAGCCGCAGCGTCCTTTTGACCCTTCTTCCCTGCCATCGTGTGATAATTCCTGCAAGGGAATCAAATCTGTCTTTTGTTATACTTCTCCATCTCACGATTCTGTTTCTCTAGAAGATTCTGAATAATCCACCAGCAATCAGAAGAGTAGAAATTAAGTACTGCATAATTTTCTCAATCACGCTGCATTCCTACTAGGATATCCAAATCAGTAAAAAGCCACAAGTATTTGTTAGTAGCCGGAAAGATGAGGGCCCATAAGCAAAGAGGCAGACAAGGAAGAAAGGGAAGCTCTACACCTAAAAATTCCTAGTGTCTTCCTTTTGCTGATCGGTTACCATTAACACACCCTTTCACAAGTTTATTTCTGGATATGAAAATGTTCTCCATTTATTTATTTGGATATCCATGGAAAAAGTACTTTGTACTATGAATGTGGCCATTTAAATTAGAATTTTTTTCAAAACATTGCAAATATAAAATACTTTGGAAAGCTGGGCACTGGTGACCTGCTTGCAATCTTAGCTACTCAGAGGCTGAGATCTGAGGATCCCAGTTTCAAGCCAGCCTGAACAGAAAAGTCTGTGAGACTCTTTATCTCCAACTGACCACCAAAAAGCTGGAGTGGAGATATGACTCAAGTGACCGAGCACCAGTATTGAGTGGAAAAAAAAAAAAAAAAGCTCAGTCAACACCATGAGTTCAAGCCTAAGTACCAGCACACACACACACACACCACGTCAGTAATAGTCAAGTGTGGTGATGCTCATATGTAAGCCCAGAACCTGAGAGACTGAGGCAGAAGGATCATAAGTTTGAGGCCAACCTGAGCAGGTCATCCTAGATTACATAGCAAGACTTGTCTGAGAAAAAAATAAAACAGAACAAAATAGTACTATAATAAAGCACAAACATAAATCAGAGTAAAATGTTTAATGTTCCTCCTCTGTGCTTTTTTAGAATAATTAGAAGTAAAATAAAAGGATTATAAACCAATAAAATGAATGGCAAGAGCAAAAATGAGGAACTTAGAAGATTAAAACATGGAACCAGTAACACTAAACATTAAATTTGGATGGAGAAGGCACTCGAGGGGTGAGAACAAACCTTGCTTGCCTTGTAATTGTGGAGCTGGGCTTCTTCCAGACAAGACCAAAGAAGGGGGCCACCACAGCATGCCAGAATTAGGCCATGGCAACAAGAGGTTTAGGAAACCGAAGTAAATATTGTCTGCTTTCTTTTGAGAAGAGCTAGTTTGATTTGTCAGGGACAGTGAATATTTTGCAAAGTGCTTCTATAGGGAGAAAGATTTATTTCTTAGTATAATTCTCTAGGAGGAGGAAACCTGTAAATCCTCTCAAGAGATGGTAAGGATAAAGATAACTTAGTTATACTTGGACTGTCATACTCAGCTTTGGCCTGGAGTGGAGAAGGTGAGGAAAGGGAAGACTTAGAGTTATAGTTAGAAGAAAAGAGATATCTAGAGGCTGTATTGCAGTAGAGAGAAAGAAGCCAAAGGGAGGAATTTCTAGGAGAGAGGAGACCTAGAGAGGAGGCTTCAGTTCTATCTGGACTTTTGTTCCATGGTGTGATATTGAAGCATAAGAAATGGAAGGCAGAGCAGTTGTTGGCTTCAGTACCCACAAAATAGGGCTGCAATACTGAGTTCGGTTTTGGATTCAGGTCAGTGTTCCAACAAACCTTATCTGCCAGTGTCAGCTTTCACACTTGTCAAACTGGACTGGAAAACAAGAGATGTGGACACTCTTGCAGCTCTTTCTGAAAAACAAAAACTGTACCAATGGTCGTTAACAGTTTTTACTCTGAAATATCATACATATTGTTATTTTGAAGTGGAATGAAACATTTGCTTGATTTTTTTTTTAATGTGTGGTCTTTTTATGTAGCTCAAATGAACTTGGGTCTTGCCATTTCCCTAGTTCAGCCTCCTGAGTACTGGATTACAAGTATGGGCTACTATCCCTGAAGCCCTGATGATAATTTTTAAACAAACGCATTTCTTGACTTCTACTTGTTGAAGGCTCCATCTTCATGGTCCAAGCTTTATCACCAGGCGGACTTAAATCTTTGTTTATTTTTTTAATGGAGACTGTATATGAGACTGTTTTGACTGATCACCATAGAAATAGTAAGGGAAGGAAACATCAATTCATAAGCACTTAGAGCTGATCCTGATATCTGGTCTAGGCTCAGATCTACTTATTTTCCTTTCTCTGTTCATCTGTTCTTCAGTTTATGAGATGAACATGTCATTGCAGTTTTAATTTAACTATTTCTAAAATTTTCTGTTCCAATATCAAGCAACTATAGATCTTTCCAACACAAATGTTTAACCAAAGGAATATAAATAGAAGTTATTAATACAAAAATTCAACATCTTTAACACCAAGAGATGCTTGCTATATGTAAAAACATTTTTAAGTAAATAGTTAAGGATGTTCTAGAAAATATTCAGTTATAGACATAAGCCTATAATCTGATTTGATTTCTAAATTTTTTTCTTGAAGTTCTTTTACTTCTCCAATATTAAATGCCCTATTAACATAATAAAGTTGAAAACTCAGAACAGCACCATGGGGACTCAGAAAGTATTATTGGTTATATCTAATAGACTGATATACATTTGTTTGGGTCATAGCATAGAATTACATTTTTAAAACTTTTGGGCAGAAACTCATTTGAATACATCAAAGCTGCAAACATATAGACAAATACACTCTTAAGTTTTTATGGATAAACATTTTTCCACTGGAGGGTGCAATTTGACAGCATATTAATATTTTTACAGTTCTTTCAATGACTATAGTTTAAAAAATATCACAGACTCGGTTTTTTCAAAATACTAATAAAGAATACTGAGAAGACTTCATAACTTTAAAATTAATGGCACTAATTTGAATTCGAGCATTATTGCACAATTTTTTAAAGATTTACTTAGGATCAAGTCATTTACAAACTAAACAAAATCATATTCTTTTGTTATATCTTTATGGATAACATATATGAGTTTCCTTCCTATTAATACTGCAAAAGTATATGCCATTAATTCATGATGAAGGAAAATACAGTCCCATCTCTTTTTTATTACAAATATTGATGATTTTTTCTAGTGCCCTATTCATTCACTTACATTTGTATATCAATATAAACTACTTTCCATTTATTAGACTTTATGCCCAGTAGTAATGTATGGCCTAAGAGTAAATTTTATAAACATAAAACTAATATATAGTGTGTAGTCTGGTGGTTCATGCCTTTAGTTCCAGTCTCTTGAGGAAAAGAGTAGAAGAATCATTGTCCAAGGACTGCTTGAGCAAAGTGAGAATCTCGATCTAAATGTGAAATTCCACTTCCTTCCCACCCACCTCCCAGGTGATGAGCACCAAAATTCCTAGAAGTAGATGGGGCAGAGGACTTAACCAGGTTCCAGGACCTTCCAGACCTCACTCAGGAGACCCTCAATCCTCAGCTACCTGCGACCCTGCCCCCTACCATTTGAACCCCCTAAATCCCTCCACCCCTGCCACCATTATGCCATGTGTCATGTCTCCTGACTATCCTCAGTTCAAAGTGGAGTCCCTCTTCAACTTCCAGTAAACTTGATTTGATCTGTTGAGTTCATTTTCTCCTCTTTTTAAAAAATAAATTCTCATACTATGATTCAGTTTCCTAACACCAAGGATCATTTTTTTTTAATTTTTTTATTGTAAAGATACTATACAGAGGGTTACAGTTACATGAGTGAGGTAATGAGTACACTTCCTCACCAAGGATCATTTTAAGAAATGGAAATGTAAGGAGAGCGGCCAGGAGTGCAATGGGAGTATGGCGTTCTGTGTTCTGCCATGCATCTTCATGCATTCTACCCTTTACCTATCACCAATGTTTTTAGAAGTCACTTCCCCTAGATCCTGTCCTCTCACAACTGCCTCTTTCTGGTTGAATCTGCCCCTCTTTTACCAGACTTTTCTTTCATGCTTCTTTACAACAGACCCATGCTGATACCGTTCATCATTTTTGCTATAGTTCCTGCTTTGTAACATGGGTGACCTCTAATCAGGAAACTGTCACTTTTTTGTTTTGTTTTGTTTGTTTGTTTTGTCGGTCCTGGGACCTGAACTCTGGGCCTGGGCGCTGTCCCTCAGGTCTTCAGCTCAAGGCTAGCACTCTACCACTTGACCTATAACACCACTTCTGGCTTTTTCTGCTTATGTGGTGCTGAGGAATCAAACCCAGGGCCTCATGCACGCAAGGCAAGCACTCTTACCACTGAGCCACCTTCCCAGCCCCTGTCACAGTTTTTTTCTCTCTCTCTTCTTTCCTCTATCTCTCTCTTTCCCCTTTTCTTTGTGAGATTCAGAATAAAAGTGTACCTTATAATTAATAATGGTTTAGATTCAATAAATATATAACTGATGTGGGGTCACAGTAAATAAACCCTTGCATAGTTAAAAATATGCACAGTGTTTAGAGTAACTCAGATGTGTGGGATAACTGTTTCTTTAAACACTGGCTTCAATGTTACTCTTTTTTTCAAATTTTTGGTTAGTACAGGACCTTTTTTGTTAGTACTTTCTTCAGTTAAATTTTTTTCTCCAGCAAAATCGGCTACAGATACTTGTTTATATTTTCTACTGTCACAGTGTTCCTAAAGAAATCTGAATGTTTTGAAAATACCTCCTATTTTGATTCTAAATGTTTTTGCATATTTTGCCACTTGTGTTTGCTTGTCAGAATGGCACAAAGAAAGTTTTCAGAGTCATAATGTTGACCAATACTGATCCTCCCTAAGAGCCATACACAGCAAATCTCGAACTAAATTTGGAGAGCGCAATGCAAAGAGTGAAGAAAAAAATTATTTCCAGCTTAACTAAACTTTCAAGGGCACTTAACAATTAGAAGAAGCTTATAAGTACAGACAGATTTCCTGATTAGAAGGTTCATTAGTAAGAAGGTACAGAATACTAATCACAAGACTTGCATTTGCTGTGACAAGGTCTGACCTAGCTAGCATTCATCAGTGACAGTGGAATTGCTCCCCGGTGGTATCCACCACAGGCGAGGCAGGAAAAACGTGTTCTCCGTGGAGGAATTCATCAGACGGAAGCAGAACTGCATCACACACCATTGCTTCCTGGAGCTCCCCAGAGGGCAGCTAGCATCTTATCCAAATCAATGTGTTTGGTCTGTAAAATAGAAAATGCTCAGGGGACCTTCACATGTTTAAGGAAAGTTTAAACTTAGGAGATTTGGAACAACCTCTGTCATCTGACTCTGGGCCTAAAATAATGTAATTGGCCCTGAGTAGGTGCTCTGGGCTGTATTAAATCTGTAAGCAGGAAAGGATACTCTGTATTAAGTATCTGGAACTTAAAATTGGTATACATTCTTGTAAATCTTCCCAGTTTAAAATATCATGACACTGTAATGCTAATTATGTGTTTACATCAATCAAAACTTCATATTATAAGGCTGGAAGGGCCTTCCATTGAAATGTGTATTTAATGGCTGTTTCCCCAAGTGATGCTTTAGGACAGAATCTGTTCTCATCGTGTAAATGCATCTCGTAAGTGATGGTTAAGTTTGTAGAGTTACGTGTGGTTCTCTGAAGGACAAAAATGAGTCCTGACAATTTTCCACATGCAGAAGACTTATGACTAATTCATTATGAAATTTAAAAATTGAATACATCCATTAGAATTATCTAACACAAAACTCATCTGCATGAAGTCTGGAGTCAGACAAATCTGATTTTGAAATTTCTTACTTGTTTATGCAGTTATTGGTCTCACTTAACTTCTCTTAAAATGGAAACTAGTAGGCTCACAAGACAGTACTGAGCTTAGAGATCTGAGGACGGTGGTTCAAATCCTGCTTAGGTAGGAAAGTCTGTGAGACTCTTATTTAAAGAGCTGTGGCTCATGTGCTAGAGGGCTAGCCTTGAGCAATAAAAACCCAGAAAAAACACCTAGGCCCTGAGTTTAAGCCCCAGTACTGGCACAAAAGAAAAAAAAAAAGCAGAACACTAGAAGGAACAAGACCCTGAGTTCAAACTGCAGTTTAAAAGGAGAAGGTGTGGTGAGTATTGAATTTTTCCTAACATATATATATATATATATATATATATTTCCTAATATATATGGTTATTATTATTTTAAATTGTTTAGTAAACAGTGCAATTATGAGAAAACACCAAAAGAGGAGAGAATCAATGAGTCAAGTAAAAACCTAGAGGAGTGGAGACTTGGATTAGGCCTTAAATATTATAATTTATTACAATTATTATAATTAAAATTTTAGTTTTTGTTTTAAGGTTTTTGAAATGGATGGTAAATGAGTAAGATTTTAGGTAAGGATTAAATGATAATTTAATTCAGTTAGCATTGTCTGCATATCTGTAGACCATGAGATTCCCAAAGATAGATGAAAATTCCCTTGATTTAAGTCATTATCAAGTAAAATTTCTTTACAATCCATAAGCCTTAAGGATTCAAAGTTAAAAAAATTCTCCCAGATTTTCCTTTTGTTTGTTTCAAGTTATGTATTTCAACAGTTTCACACGTTACTATATAGAGATCGGACCCGTGTAGTTATAGCAAAGGGATATTTTCGTAGTCTGGTGTTTGTTGATATTATCATAACAACAGTAGCTTTTCTGTCTAATTTACTACATTTTGTTTTGTTTTGTTTTGTGCCAATCCTTGGGCTTGAACACAGGGCATAGGTGTTGTCTCTAACATTTTTTTTTCTTTTTTTACTTAAGACTAGTGCTCTACCACTTGAACCACAGCTATACTTCTGGATTTTTTTGATGTCTAATTGGAGATAAGAGTCTCATGAGCTTTTCTGCCTGGGCTTTTCTGCCTGTGAATTGTGATCCTCAGGGCTCAGCCTCCTGAGTAGCTAGGATTTTAGGTGTGAACTATTGGTGCTCAGCTAATATACTTTTATACCCAACCTCCACTGGGATCACGTGTGTGGCTTGACATAATTTCCAGGGGGGCGGGCAGCAGGCTGAGCTACCCCTCAGAAAGAAAAAGTCCTGCTTCTTTACTACATGTGTGTGTGTGCGCACACACACACTCAGACATGTTTTGTATATGGTATGGCTTTTCTCTCCCATCAAATCCCTCGTACAGCCTCTTTGGAAGGTCACTGACTTGCATAATGATTTTTCAAGCGAAGTAATTTCCATCTGCCGTCCATTCTGGTTCCTGTGGGCCTCACCTGCAACTCCAGGTTTTAAATCATTTCCATCAAGTGTAGTTACTACTCCCATTCACAGAAAATTCAGAATACAGACGTAACACCGCTGTCTGCATTTCATTTTATCTTTGCAGTGATGAAAATCGTGAACTGGGCACACACGCTATCTGCCTCTCAGACACAGCCCTGCCCCCTCAAACTACAGATAATGGTGCCATTTGCTCAGCTCCCCTGGACTTTGGTCCCCTCATCTTTAGAAGGACAAAGGTATGTGAAATTTTACATGCATTCATACAGAGTGCTTACAGCAGGTTGGACATGAAACAGACAGGATGGAACCATTTCTGTCCATTTCCCTCACCCTTCTCATCACAGTGGTAGTGGTTTGTATTCACAGAAGACCCCAATAAGGTACTAGTGGGGGGGGCTAGCTTAAGAGGACATGGCAGACAGAGAAGCACAAAGATCCAGCTGTCCTGCAGGTACAGCAAGCATGCAAATGGGGGCAAGGGGAACAAGGAAGGGATTCCAGCTTGGGAAATGGACCAGATGGAAGGCAGCACTTGTTGCACACATAATATTTGCATCATGGTCCAGGACAGAGCTAGCTGGTCAACAGGGCCTACAAAAAGAGAAGAGATATAGCCAATCAACAAAAGCCCCAGTCACCCCTGAAAGCCTGTTCCCCACCCCAAATTGATGCAGCTGGGATAGCAGCAAAAGCAGCACTATACATCTCAGCCATGATGCCAGGTCTTGGACCAGCATCCTGTGAACCTTTGTTTCCCTTATCTTCCTGACTCAGTCAATTCTTCTACCAACCCAAGACCCCTTAAAAATATCCATAACAATACTTGCCCAAGAAAGAGAGATGGTAAACTCACACAATCTCACGTGCATGCGATGGTTGACTTACAATGAAGCCATGTCCTGATAAGCCCACAGTACGCCGAAACTACCCTGTGTCAGAAATTACTGCATCTCAGTTACAGAGCGTCATAGCTTAGCCACACGGTACACAGAAGAGACATGCAGAGTATGAGGGCCCAATTGTACATCTCACTTTCACTGCCCAGAGGAATGACAGGGCATCATTCTCACTGTTACCAGGTCAGGAGAAGGTCAAAATTTAAAGTATGGTTTCTCCAGAGTTCCTGTCACTTTCATACCTCCAGAAAGTGATAAATCGAAAGTCCAATCTCTGTAACTTGGAGATTGCCTGTAATCACCCAATAGATGGTTGATATTCATTAACTATTTAGTCAGTTAGTGAAGTTAGAAAGCTAGGTTTATAACCCAGGATTGGATGACATCAAAGTTGAGCTTTTAATCCCTGTTCTTTAGAGTAGCTCTTCAACTTCCACTGGTTAATTGGAGATGGAAGATTGTGTGTGTGTGTGTGTGTGTGTGTGTGTGTGTGTGTGTGTGTGTGTGTGTGTTCTTTTCTTCCTTTTTCTTTTTTGCCCAAGTTTGCCTCAAAACTCAATCCTCCCAATCTCATTATAAGCATGAGCTACCAGAACCTTGCACCTTTTTCTTGAGGTCTGTCATGGGCATTTGCTCCTTTTGGTTGCCTGAATCTCACCCCGTTAGTCCTTTTGGAGACTTACCATTTTTGCATTTGGTGTAGTTTTGTGTGTGTGTGTGGGGGTGCTGCATGGCTATTCTGACACCCATTTCCTGACTTTTGAAAATCAGGAAACATGCTGGAATTAACTCTCCTGAATGGAATTACCTCACTGAAGCTGTGCATTCTTGTTTCTGTCTTAACCGTGTACTGCCATGGCTCCATTCTATTCCCATCTGTTCTTCTGGCTAGCCTCTGTTACACAAGGTGCTAAGTAGTCTTACAATACATATTTTCTGAAGGGAACCTGTTACTTGTTCTTTGATGTGAATCCTGTCAAAGAAAATACTCATTTAGTGTCAATATTTTTCAAATGCATGCATCCTTAGTGGAAATGAACCTCAGTGATTATCAGAAGGAATCCGTAGTTCAGTGCGTCTGGATTGCCGGTTTGGGAGGAACTTGGACTCCTCTGCCTGCCAATCAACTGCCTCCTTCCAGATGCTCAGCTACAGTCACAAAGAAACTGCCCACCGAAGGCTCAGTCTTGTAGATCTGACTGTGTTTGTACTGAAACAGTGCAAATTATATACAGTAGATGTAATCTTCGTGATACATGTATAACAACTCTCATTTGTTAATCTTTGTATAGACATATTAACAGATAATGTTAATTTATATATGTATATATAAAATATATTAGTATACCATGTAAGTGCTCTGACATTGGACAACATATCCAGTCCCCAAAGATTTGTATTTTTTCTTTTTTCTTTTGTGCCAGTTCTGGGGCTTAAACTCAAGCTTAGGTACTGTCCCTGGGCTTTTTACTTAAGGCAAGCTCTCTGTCACTTCCAAAGATTTGTATTTCTAATCTAAATATCTCTCATCAGTTCCAGAATCCTGAACTCACAGACACACATATGTATATATGTATGTTATATGTGTGTTTAAATGTACATAAAATAAGTCATAAATTACATTTAAAGTCATGTTCTTAATAATAGGAAGAGACCATGTGATAGTACTAATACCAATCAGATAATAAAAACAAACTAATTTTAACTATTAGAAATTTCCACAAAGTTTCCAAGGATACTATAACCTTTAGGACTTAAACAATTTAATTTGAAATATCTGGTATTAAAAAATCAGTGTAATTTTTAAATAAGCAAACATTTGTCTTGACCAACGATGATAAAGCAAAAATGAGAGTTCCTAGAAGATATAATATCATGCTCAGGGTTTAAAAATGGCTATGATTTTGTGGGTGGGGGGAAAACAACGCTCAGATCTCCACAATGCTGCCCATTTTATCTGGGAAACTTCATTTTCATCTCTCTTGAACTGCCTTGTCAGCAACAGGAATCTAAGGGAGTTGTGAGCGTTAAGTTTAGAAGCATAAAAATGTGAATCATGATCTGTAGATGAACATAAACACACAAGAAGATAGGATCAAAAGTCACTAGATCATCATAACTGTGTTCCAAGACCAGCATCCAAAGGAGCAAGTGAAGGACTGAACCGAGAGCAGGTCCTTCTGAGATGTTTTGTCAAGTCCAGAAGACCTGGGGGTGAGGGATGAATCCAGTCCAGCCTGGGAAAATCTGCTCCAGATTTGAAAAATCACCTCATCTTCCCTGTAAGAGGCTAAGAGCACACACTGCCTTTAGAGTAAGTCTGTTCAGGAGCTGGAAGAGGGGTGAACAGAGTTGGCCTCTGGGGTGGGTGAGACACCTGTTCCCTTCTGAGTTGAGAACTGGACTGGGAGCATTAGGACCGCTTCAAGAATGTTCTCTGAGTAAGACCATGGCACTTCCGACCATCTACTCCCTTCTCATCTTCTACTTCAGTGTCTTCCTGCTCATCTCCATAAAGAGTAAGCCTTTTGTGTCCATTGAACTCCTTTATTGGCTTATTATATTGTTTTGTGACTAGTTCTAAGGTTGCATGTTCTATGAAATACAGTGCCTTGCACAGAAGTATTTGCTTCTTTTTGGTGTCATCAGGTGTCCTGTATTAAACGAATCCGTGATCTCAGTCATTGTGGTAACCTGTGGTATGCCTTTTTGATTTCAGCAAGTATTTTAAGTTGGGAAACCTGTTTCCCCACCCATTTAGAGATGAGCAGAAGGACAAGAGCTGTAGAAAATAAGGTATTTTGTTGTGTGTGTGTGTGTGTGTGTGTGTGTGTGTGTGTGTGCTTCTAGAAAACAGAATTAACACTTTATAATCACTTTCTTTGCAAAGGAAGTTCTTCATGAGCTGTATCACATTTTATTCCCACCTCTTACATTTTTGTCCTCACTTCTAAAGAATTCTGTATTGCAGCCTTTGCTGTCTCAACGATCCCCAAAGTATCTCTTTTGTCAGAGGAATGGATATCTGTTGTCATATGCTACCATCTCATAAATGCGGAGAGGGTTTGCCACAAACTGTTGCCAGTGTTTCTGGGACAATCTTGTCAGCTGTTCAGCAGTACGGGAAATCAGATGGGAGCAAATGGCCACTGCTGGGTGATCGTGAAGGATGGTAGCTATTGAACATGCTTCACAGGAAGACACAGAGAGAGTGTGCTTGTCAAAGGGGCGATGTGATTTGTGTCTGTTGGATCTGAATATCAATAAGGCACAGCCTAGAGCAGCTGCCATTGGACAAGACAACCTGGTGCTCATTCCCAGGGTTGTGTCAACGAGGCCAGTTTCTGTGGCTACCGCAGAGAGATCGTTCTTGTAGTGTTTACAACTGAACACGTGTCAGAGGTGAGGTAGATATCTGCCCAAGGAGATGTTATGGACAGAGGGCCAAAGACAAGTAAACTTTGAAACGAATAGTGAAACACACAGGAATATTGTGCAAAAATGTATTTGTCCAAATGTTGTTTCTTACACTCTTGGAAACTTGAAATGGGCTCCACGGTCCTCTAAAGTGAGTAACATGTATTCTGCCAGCATATGCAGGTGTGAGGGAAGGGGAAAGAAGAAATGAAACATAAACTAAAGATATGGTGGCACAGTGGCCTATCGTGTAGCAGAGTATTTTGACATTTTAATACAAAATATATTAAAAAAAAACAATCCTGGAGTTTGCTGCAGTTTGCTCTTGAGGTGATCGATGTGGAACTCGTAAATGACATATATTAGAGGTACCATCACAATGATGGATAATTACGCTCCTAGATTTGCTTTCTCTTATCTTTGAGTGGGCAATTTCATTGCTGAATTCTAAATGAATACGTTGTAATTTTTTGATTACATTCTAGCACCATATTTTAGTAGCTTGGAAAAGTAAACATGAAGCCCTGTTGTGACTTGCTTATTTTTAGTTATTATATTTAAACAGTCCTACCAAGAGATTTCAATTCAACATGTCGATACACCTGTAAAATGCATTCTGATCAGTGTCTCTCATTCCATTATGTGGCCAAGAATTTGTTGTTGTTGTTGTTGGTTGTGGGGCCTGAACTCTGGGCCTGGGCGCTGTCCCTCAGCTCTTCAGCTCAAGGCTAGCACTCTACCACTTGAGCCACAGCGCCACTTCCGGCTTTTTTCTTTTTGCTTATGTGGTGGTGAGGAATCAAACCCAGGGCCTCATGCATGCAAGGCAAGCACTCTACCACTGAGCCACCTTCCCAGCCCTGGCCAAGACTTTTTGAAGTTGCAGTCCTCATAGCTGCCTGAGTGTTGTGTACCACATACCTCCATACCTACCATAGTTGAGACTGTTTCTTTTTTTAAAAAAAAAACAAAAAAAAAACCTAATGTTTTCTTTTTAACGTGTCTTTAAATTTTCCTAAACCTGATGCTGCCATCTTTCTCCCACTTACCACCTTGAGTGGAAAATAAATCCTATGATGCCATCAAATAAGTAATGATAATCAAATGATAAAATGACTATATTAAGCAATATATTTGTGTATATATTATGTTCCATTTAATTCTTACTGAAACACTTTAAGAGAGATCCTACTATGATCATCTACATTGTACAAGCAAAGCAGTCCACTGTGGTGCACATTAGAGAGAGCATGCCCTTGTAAGATGTAGCCTCTAAGTCCATCCATGCATGGTTAGTGCATATGCACTCAATCCTAGGAGCCCATGATTTTCACAAGTTCTCTATTTCTAATGCAGGCGATCGGAATTGCACAACAGATCTTCCCTGGGCATCCACTACGTTATGATGCTAGGAATCATAAGAATAATTTGATCATTTCTCTCAACAGGACTGTTTAGTATAAACCGTTGGTCAATATGATTTTTTGAGTATTATTCCCACCTTCATGCCTAACCACCTCACATAAAGTTTAATATTAAATCCCCTTTATAGATGATAAACCAGAGGCACAGGGATTTATTAACTTGCTCAATGCTATACACAGGGGAGCGGCTGATGGGGGACTTGAACTTGGTGGTTTGGATCTGGAATCTGTGCTCTGAACTGGACACAGGCTGACCCCCTGGAGGAAAATGTATTAAGGTTGTAGCTCTTGCCTCACAGCTCACAAGTGTGAGGGAAATTTCAATTATTAGTTTCATACTGATTGACATTAATATCATACTAGTTTATTTTACATGTGCACTTTGAAGATAATATCCTTAAATGTAAGAGAAAAGATTCATTGCTGGCTGTGTTCTTAGAGGGACACTGTATATGTCACCTGTCTGATGCCCAGCACCTTTTGTGTCCTTTGATGAAAGGCAGGTGATACAAAGGATAGGAAAGCAGAGTTCAGGAAGTGGCCCTCACTTCCTGCTCTGAGTAGGTGGTCACTTCCCCTTCTTCCTTGCAGTTGCAATGAGTTTGTTGCTACATTCTCCCGATTGTTTTCATGCTTGCTTCATAAGACTGCAAAATTAATCTGAAAGCATGGACTCACGTGAGTTTTAATCATTTCAAAAGGAGCTGTCCTGTTTTTGTCTTTGCACATATTCAAGGAGAACTTTATCAGTGCAAGACTCTCCTGTAGCTGGGCTGGGAAGGTGGCTCAGTGGTAGAGCGCTTGCCTTGCATGCATGAGGCCCTGGGTTTGATTCCTCAGCACCACATAGCAGAAAAAAAAAAAAGCCAGAAGTGGCGCTGTGGCTCAAGTGGTAGAGTGCTAGCCTTGAGCTGAAGAGCTGAGGGACAGCGCGCAGGCCCAGAGTTCAGGCCCATGACCGGACACCCCCTCCCAAAAGAAGACTCTCCTGTAGCCTATTATTTGGGGGCTATTTTAAATAATAAGAGTACTTTATAATTAGGACTGTGGTATAAATCTCTTTAAAAGGCCTTAAGGAAAGTACCATATTAAAGCAACCATGAATTATAAAATGGTTTGCAGCTCCATTTCCTGAGTCTATTATAACTTTGGTGATAAACTGAATATTTTCAATGTAATTGTCACATCTAGAGAAATGATTTCAATTCATATTCAAAGCCATAGTTAGGATGTATAAGTGATAGGTCGTTTGACAAAACTTTTAGTAGGGTTATTTGAATAACTTCAAAGAATTTTCAGAGTCATTCAATCTTCTAGAACCCATTAGTGATTACTAACTGAATTTAGATAATTATCTTAAAGAAAACTTCCTTTCTCATCTACCTAAAAGTATAAAGAACTAATAGGACCTATGGAAACTAAATATGATCTAATGTATCCAATCTTGATACTCTTGTTAAGAGATAATTGAACCTTCTCAATAGATCAAAGAAAATTGATTATCATTCATTTATATATAGCCACCTACTTTAAAGAATTCTATATTTGCAGAAAAATGTAAAAAAGTTTGATATCCACCATGTAAGTCAATATTCTTTCAGCAGCATACTGGAAAGTGCCCAGATAATTATATGAATGAGAATATGGTATTTTTGGTTCTTTCTTACTCAATTATAATCTTACCAGCTTGTTGGTTGAGATAAAGCTCTCGTCTTGCCGAGTTTTTGCTCAGGCTAGTCTCAAACCACGATCATCTCAATCTCTGCCTTCTAACTTGCTAGGATTACAGTCATACACCACTATGCTTGGATTACAGTCATACACCACTATCCTTGGATTACAGTCATACACCACTATGCTTGGCATGAAGAATAATTTTACTATTCTAAAGTTACTTCATGTCTTATCTCTTTTCCCCTCCTTCCCTGTACCTGATTCACTTGCAACCAATGATCCTTGGGATTGGAGGCATGGTTTACTTGGTAGGTAGAGTGTTAGCCAACGAGTGAAAGCCTGTTACTGAGTTTGAGGCCCAGTCTTGGACAAGGAAGGAAGGAAGGAAGGAAGGAAGGAATTTATCTTTTCCTAGTTCTGGAGATAAGCAGTCTGAAGTCAGAGTGTCTGTAGACCTTTGCTCCCTCTGAGCCTCTGGTTGGAGCCTGCGTGGCCTGTGGAGCTCAGCGGTCTTCAGTTCTCACTGATCCTTTGATTGCAGCTGCCTCATTCATCTCTAACTGTCCCCACATGGCGTTTTTCCTTCCTTGGCCTCTATCTTTCCTCCTTGTCTAAGGAGACCAGCCATGTTGGTTAAGATACTTGAAACTAAGCTATACAGTAATACAAATGGGATTTAAACCTCAGTCTCTCAGATGCTAAGTTTCATACTCTCTCACAAAATTAAAAAAGATGAACACTTGGGAATTTTGCATCCCAATCATAAGAGCATTGTTCATTTGAAGTCAGCTCTGGTGGAAATAATTGCAAAAATGACAAATCAAGGCTTTGAGTGGGAAGGGTATTCCTAGGAAAAGGTAAACTGGTCATACTTCTCCAATTTATCATGTTTGCAATTTCTACTGCTATCTTAGTCCTGCAACTCAAGCCTTAGGGGAAGGAATTGCTAGTGTCTAACTTAGGTGAATGCTGTGCAGTCAGCCTTTTTTTTTTTTGTTTCCCACATTATTGTCTTGATAATTCCCACATGGCTGATTCTTTTGTCTAACTTCAGAACTCTTTGGAACTCTTAAGTAAGGATATTTTAGGACAGTTAGTGAGGGCAGGTTGCTAATGAGGCTGAGTTTATGGGTCAGTCTCCGTGCAGTTGAATTTGCTCTGTCCAGAGACCATCCCTGAACAAGAACTCATGTCTGGTCAGATGGTTGCTAATTGGTTGTTTTGAACACAAGGGGAGAACATGAATTAGCTTTCTGATTAGCAAACCAAGTATCACCACTGGTCAAACAAACTGTGGGTTATCAGGGATAACTTTTTCATTCAGATAATGCCAAAAGATGATTTCATACGTGTTTATCATTTTAGTTATTTGTGGTGATTTCATGTAAGCAAAGAACAAACACTGATATTTAGCATTTTTAGGAAGATCAGTAAATGAGGATTCTGGTTCTAGTCACTACAAGTTAGTTCTGTATTGGTAAGGCAGCATTTAAGCTCTCTAACCCTCTAATTTATCACTTTTAAACTCATGAGGTGAGACTGCATTACAACCATGTTTCTGGAAAGATTTGCTGCTTATGATTTCAAAATTGTTCCAAGACATTGAGGAGCAGTGTTTTAGTGACTGCCCCTGGTAGGAGCCAGCTGTCATTAGGTTTTATTACAAAAAAAAAAAAAAAAGCAAGATCTATATCTTAGTCTTCACACAAGGTTTATATCTTCTCAACATCTATTGACCTTGGCTTTTCTTTACTTGCCTTCCTCATTGCTATAGACTGAGAGTTTGTGTCTTTCTCACAAAATTTACACAGCCATACCCAATACTCAGAGTGGTGGTACCAGCCTTCAGTAGGTAAGGCATGGGGGAAAAACCTCTCACAAGTTGGA